TGGTTGTGTGTCCCTGGATCAAGATAGGTAGATGATTAGTCTCCGTGTTGATTATACCTTGGTTGTATGCAACGGGTTGTTCTTCCACAGTGCTGAGAGTGTATGGTTATCCCTTCCATTTCCATTGTAGTTGTGCCTGATTGACGATGCGTGGGGATATGAAGTTTCCCTGAGCGCCACTGTTCAATAGTGCGCTGTATCTGTGTCCAAAGATGTATGCATCGAGCTTGATGTGAGCGTAGTTCGTTTTAGAGGCTTCACATAGGAACTGTCCTGGTTCGATTGTCTGTAGTCCCGTTACAGGCGATCCTGTTCTTTTGGGGTCTCTGAAGGCCGCTTGCCTTTTCCTTGAGCCCGTGTGGCTGCTTCTTGGGCGAGCTTCTTGGCTTGCTTCTGCCCGTATCATTGTTGCCGTTGGTCATCTTTCTATCGATGCCAATTGCGAACCTTGTCATTGATGTGGATGGTGCAGAGTGTTGTCTTGCACTGCTACCATTCCATTTGCTTAGTTACGCAGATCCTGGGGCAATCGTCCGGTAGATCAATATACGCATTATGGTTGTTTCTGCTGAGAACTTGCCGAAATCATAGGTCTGCTTCTTTTGTAGCCTGAATAATTTGTTCGGATTCTCTTGCTGGAAATCATTCGTGATTGATCTTCTCGGAAAAGTGGTTTCTGCAGCTGTGACTAACGCAGGAGATCCATGCCAGTTCCCAGTGCTTGGGGTGTGATATGCTGATCCTTGGATCTTCGTACTGCGTAGCTTCCGTATTGTGGATGGGAACGCTGGTGAAAAGTTCTTTTAAGTCTAGTCCGTATACGATGTGTTCGACGATCGTGTTTTGCTTATTCCATCCAAATCCTCGTGAATGCTATCCTGGCTTCATCGAGGCCTGGCTCTCGCTGTTGGTATCGCTGAGAGTTATCTGTGACAGTTCGTCTGGCTGTCTTTCCGGTAGGTGCTCTTCCTGGCTGGAGAGTCGTTCGTACCAGTGTCCGAGGGGATACCATCCCTTGTCTGTGTCTCGGAACATCGCCTGTGGTGCTGGTGATGGGGAATGCTGGAGAGTGCCGCTACTGAGGGCTTTCTGGAGTGCTTCCTTTGTGGCACTTGAGCAATCCGAGTCGTTGCTGTCTGTTCGTCGTCCCACCGCCAGTTGCTTTTTCCCTTTAGGTGCTTTGGGGAACCATCCTGAGCCTTCCTTCGCCGCGAGGTGTGTTAAGCAGCTATTGTTGTAACAGAAGGTCCAATTAAGAGTTCTGTGGTCGATAGGGTCCGACACTTGCTCCGGTAGGGTGTTATTACTCAGATGATTGGATTCCTGTCGTCGAGCAACATTCACCTGTCGTCCTTTCTGGACTGGTTGCCACTTGCCTTTCCTGGGCTAACGGCAGTTGCGTGAGATATATCCCTGTTTGTTGCAGTTGTAGCAGGTGATATTGCTCCCTTTGCTGTACTATCTGTTAGCAGCGTCGAGCTCCATAGGGCCAGCGTGCATAGTGCCGCTCTGGGCTGTGCTACCGTGTCAACCGCCGTTCTTGTATTGGAGTTTCTTGCCCATATTGGCTGGAAACCTCCAAGTCTGGCTTCCTCCCTTCTTGGACTTCTCCATCCGTTGTTCGTACAGACGGTTGTCGATGCGGATTGCCTGGTTTGAGAACGTCGCGAAGTCCTCCGGCCAATCCTGCTTGGAGATTTCGTCCTTAACTTCGTCCTTGAGTCCCTTGTAGTAGTGCTCCATGAGGTTTTTGTCTTCCCATGGGAGTCGTGCCGAGAGTTGCTTGAACCTGACCGTGTAAGCAGAAGCTGACTTAGTCTGCTTCAGGTCCATGAGTTGCTGAGCTGTGGTACGTTCTTCGTTGGGATCGCCGAAAGTTTCTCTTAGAGCCTTCTCAAAGCCTGCAAAGGAATCGAACATGTCCTTTGTGCCTTGGGTGCGCGCGTCGAGGTCGTCCTGGTGCTCCAGATGATTGCGCAGAGAGGGTTCGTACCAGATGAGAGCATCCTTCTCAAGGCGGGTTCCAGCGAGAATGACTTTTTCGTGTTCGGATGTGAACTGGGTCGCATGGTGTAGGAAGTACGCCTTACAGTGGGTGAGAAACCCATGAAGCGTCTTCTGAGTACCGTCGTACATGGCCGGCTTGTCCATCTTGTACGCTTTCCCGGCGTTATTGGTGATCGTAGAGGTGGGCTGCGCCTGCTGAGCCTGTTGGGCTTGCCGTTCTAGCTGGGCCTGCTGGTTGGCAATGGTGGTGCTCTGGGCCTGCTGCTGGTCGCGCAGTTCCTGGATACGCTGGGTGAGCTGGTACACCTGGTTGACCAGTTCTTCCTGAGTAGGGGCGCGTGAGGACGAAGGGGATCCTTGAGGAGCCATCGTGTTCCGTATTGCTCAAGGGGATAACACTGGACCGTTCTTGAACAAGAGTCGTCAAAATGTAATGAGCACTGCAGTAATCCGAGGATTCCTAAGTACCGATGGGGTTTATGCTAGCAAGAGCGATATCAAAGTGTCAAGTCCTTGAATACGGAACCGTACAAGTTCTAATAAGCGATGCAAGTGTTCACTGCCTTTGGGGCTACTCAGTATATAAGACTGAATACTTAGATTGACGACTGAAGAGCTATGTACAAGATCTATCTACTGGTGGTAATAACTGTGGTTATATATCCGGCTCTTCAGCCCTGACTATCTTGACTATGTGCTGATTCCTCATAGTCGTTTCCTGAATATGTTGACTATGTCCATAGTCAACATAGTCACGCTAGTAATCCTATCCCTGGATTGCATAATCAGGATTCTGCCAATGTTGCATTGGTTTTTCTGCTGTCCTGTACCCCGCTGTTGGTGTGGTTGGCTTTCGCAACCTGCATGTTGAATGGGTCATAACAATACCGCTGTTGCGGAACGTTTGCCTCTTCGCAGTATTGATGCCATGGACCACGGCGGCATGGTTCTGCAGGTGCGACTTGTTTCTGAGACTGACATCACAGATCGGACAATGAGACGCCTGATGACCCCCCACAGGATTCAAGTGCTCCGTCTCGAAGTGTTTACGAATGTTACGCCGACTGGCGTAGTTGCGGCAGTACTGGGCTAACATGATGTCGTCCGGCGGCAGACGAAGAGCCTTTCCGACGCAGATGAAACATCGGTTGTATTGTTCGCCTGTCTCGCTGAGCAGGACTGAGTTCTTGAGTGCCTGCGTATCCAGCCCGCCGTTTCGCTGCAGCTCGGGCGGAACTGACGGCGCCACGGCCTCCAGCACTTTGGTTGTGCGAGGTTGTTCCACTTCGCAATAACGCAAGAGCGCCGTCACGGCATTGGCTCGACGAATATGCTGGGCTTCAAGGTCGTTGATCAGCGGGGCTGTAAGTGCTTCAACGACTCTTTCCTGCGCCGGGCTCATGGGACGTAAACGCTGAGCATGATGGCTTGCGCTTACTGGTTGCTCGAACGCTTGCCCTTGCACCTGGAGCTCAATATCCATCGCAGCCTGCTTATCGGCCCATTCGCTCCGGAATTTTTTTCTTGGTCGCCAGAGTCAGTTTGGCCTCGGCGGCCTGCAATCTGCGATAGGCCTCACGACGCTCTTCAGTCCGTTCGGGAAGCTCCTGCATCTTCTGTCTCAGGCGCAGGAGCTTGGGGTGTGACTTGAGCGCCTGTTTTCCTGCGTCGTCCAGATCGGCAGGACGACGCGCATCCCTAGAGTGCCCGTGGCTCGTGGCCTTCGATATGAGCGCTTGTTTTGGGGCACGAGATCCCGGTGGACAGCCATCAGATCGACACAGATGAACCGACTGAGGTAATGTTTTTGAAAGGGTATCGGACAACGGAGCATGGCCCAACATAAGATTGCGGAGGGCGTCGCTGATGTTGACTAAGCTGGTCAGCAAACTAAAAGATATAAAGCATACGGAATTGGCATACCATTCTGATCCATGTTATTGCCCGCCAAAGCCCAATGCGACGTTGAGAACGTTGTTGTCGAGCTCTTCCTTGCCATGCGCTTTCCCCTTCCCACTTTGCGTTTGACAGCTTGGGCAATGCCGCAACCGGCTGTCCATTTCCGACAGTGGCCATTCCGTCTCGTCACCCGATAGGCCCGGGAGAGCCGCCTGTGCTTGCGAAAGTTTGCTTCTTCAAGGCATGACATCCTTCACAGCCTATCAACGCGGTCAGCGCCGTATGTCCCCGCAGCGAACGATGCGACAGGTTAGTCACTGGGGGCCATTGGAGTCTGCTCGTTTGCAAGCAGTATTGTGTTGTCGGGCTTGGTTGGTGATATTTACGGCATGGGCCTGTCAAGAGTCCAATAAGACAGAGAGGGTCGTTGTACTGTTGTGGGGATGGGATGCGGCTCGACGGGGCAGGGTAGGAAAATTGGGTACGCCGTAACCTGTCACATGCATATCCAGATATCCAAGTGGGGCTGGTGGTCTGGCAGCCCCCGGCGGTAGAATCCGGCTAACGCAAAGTGATAAACGTAAGCCAGGTTAGCCGGATTCTGCTGCCGGGGGGCTGGCTGGCAGGTGAGAACCCACCCCTGCCTTCCAGTGTGTTTGCTTGACTTGGCAGCTTGGGTCCATTCAGCTGCAGCTCACCATCAATGCCAAGACATAGCATGCATGAGATTGCGCTGCAACCTCCAAAGGTTCTGCTGTGTGACAAGTCACATTGCATCTCAAACTTCCTTGTTCCAAGGCAGGCAGGCAGGCAGGCCAGAGGTCGAACAATTCTTTGTCTCCATCCACCCACCTGGCTCACAGGCCCAGAGCCACCCCCGCGGTAAAATCCGGCCAATACTCAGTGATGACATAAGCCAGCTTGGCCGGATTTTACCGCTACGGGACTGCCGGTCTGCTATTGTGGCAGCTACTACGTAGATAGGTGCAACAACAACCTTGGTCTGAGCGATTGAGCGCTGAGCATTTCATATTGTAGGACATACTAGTAGCAGGAGGAAACAGGACAGCATAGCAACAAGATAGATTTTGGCCTCAATTGGTGTCTGTGACGACTAGTGACATGCTCAGCTCCTCTTTGGTCTTGGTAGACGAGATGCCATACTGCTTTCTCGCCGCTGCTCGCAAATCATCAAATGTGAAGGCCTCATAGTAGGCCGCACTCATGCTACCGTGGCACTTGATGATCAAGCCTATCAGCTCCTCAGGAGACCTGTGCACCTTGATTTTGCGTTTCACGCACTCTCGTCGTATGACACGAGATGTCCAAGTGGCGTAAATGCTCTGCTTCCTTGTTTCTTGACGGGTGTGGCGTCGACTGGCTATAGCAGTAACATTGGCACCAATAGCCTCCTGGGTTGCTTGCATAGGGTATTCGTCCGACCCTGTGACGCCGCTTGAGCTACTTGTCACAACTGCTTATGGTTTTAGTATTATAAAATGCTCATTGCACCCAGGCAATATGCTTGTGACTCTTGCAGACGGGTGACTAACCTCTAGAATCCAAACATTGCTAGAAATAAGCTTGAAGACAAATTTGAAACCCATTCGAGTTCGTGATCTCGCATGTGCTCAATGCTCCTCTGATTTTCAAGAGGGTGGTTGGCGAAAGCTGCAGATTTACAGTTGGGTGCAGAGCAGCAAATTACTACTCATTGACTGCCACTTTGGGGCCAAACAAAAACGTGGGCTTGTAGCGGGAATTGCACATTCTTCGATTGTTCTGGCCTTGGACAAAATCTGGCTGGCTGGCTGGCCGTGTAGCCTGTCTACGAGTGCTCCCGAAGCGAGACGTTCCCAATCCGCAACACGCTGCTTGTACTATGTGAGAACAGTCTCATTGTGTACAGCAACATCCATTCCGCTCAAGTTGCGGCTTTCATCAGTTACTGTATTGTAATGCTTAGCATTGCTTGCAGCAAAAGAGAAGGGTTAGAGGACTTGCTATGTCTGCTATGCTTGGAAAGCATTATCTGGGTGTTGGGGAAAGCTACTCTGTGTACAGCTCTGAAATGCTCTAGAGCAGTTCTCCCGAGAGGCTGCTCATGGAAATGTCGCGGCATAACGTCATGTGTCGTAGCAGTTGTGTTTCCGTCGAGAGAGTCTCTTGGAATGGCCATGCCAGGGCAAGAACATGTTATACAGAATCCCAGACCCTTTAGATTGCAACAGATCCACAGCTTCTGCTGCTTGGCTTCTGATAACATCAAAGGGTCTAGAAACTCAACATGCACGATGTTTGATTCTGGGTCAATGAGGGGAGGGGGCGGAGAAATCTGCAGAATCTCGGTTGAAGCTCCATGCGGAGCCGTCGGGATTGCCAGACTGTGCCCATCAGGAGGAGGAGTCGCTACTTTATCGTCGAGAGAGATGGGACCAGACCTGTCTCTGGTCCCGCTTTGTAGAGCTCGGCCAGTCGCTGGCGACGCTATGGCCAGACTGCTCATGTCGCAGCGAGAAGCAGATCTGTTATGAGCGGCAGAGAAAGGGTCAGGGCCCTCGCTCAACACCCTGCGAAAAGCAGAGCCAGCTACTGCTTCAGTACGCTCACTCCAAAGTGGCCCAGATGCATTGCCGGTGGTGGTACGAGAGCGACGGCTTTGGTAAGGTTGGCCCAGGACTGTCTCGGTCTCTGCGATCTCGCGGCGCGGCTTGTTCTTCTGGGCGGTATCTTGCTCTCCGATGATCTGCCAAGTCTCCCGCCGTCCATCTTCGGGCAAGACGACGACATTGAAGTGGTCCGGGTCCCTTGCGTCTGGATAGTCCCAAAGCTGCTCAGCCAGCCAGCCTGCATCTTCCGTTTGACCAGCATCTTGCAATTCGGTGATTGCGGCGTTGGACTTCCGGTGCCAGGCTCGAAATCGCTCTTTGTATCGCCTCCAGTTGTTGAGAGCTTCCTGGCGGAATTCGTTCACCCATGCAAACTGAGCTTCTTCCATTTCTTTCAGTTCCGAAGTTAGCTGGAATGCATAACGCTTTGCTATTCAGCTGGGGCTGGGGTTTTCCATCGCCATGCTGGTGCTGTCCGGTGTCTTATGTTGAGCAATACTTGAGGAAGTGTGTGTATATGTGTCCTGGAAATCAGCTGGTAATGGGAACCAAATTGACTTAAAAGGGCGAACCGACAGGGGTTCACTCTGATATGCGCTCTGCGTTTCGGAAGGAGGCGGGTTGCAATCTGATTACCTGCAGTCTTCCCAAAATGTTCGAGGAGGATGTGGGGGGGGGGGGGGTTGCAGGTGCAGCTCGAGGCGTTTGCCTCGTACCCATTCGCAACCTCGAGTAATAGGACAGCGGATGATCGAGCTGTCCCAATCTCTTCCTCCAAAGCTATTCTTTTGAGACTATTCTGCGGTTGCACGTCGTGATGATCTCACTTGCTCATCGTTGTAGCATGGCTTTCCAAAACGTCTTTGGCCCTCTACGGCCTCCACAAATGTTAACAGACGGGTTTGTTTTCCGACTGCCTACGCAAATATGTAAAACCCTGAGTTGACAGACAAGGCAGATCTCTTGGCCAAGACCTTGGATCTCATGCCTCTGAAATATCACTCGCATATAAGAATACTGCGGGCAATACTCATGTCCTCCCAATCGCCTTGATCAGTGCGTTCGACTATCCGGAGAAGCGCAACCGGAGAACTAGTGACATGCAGTTCGAGTTTTATGCCTACGCAACTATTTTTGAGGGCGAAATCCTCATCAGCATGATAGCCTTGGACCATGACGGATATTTTCCATTGAAGACGCTGCTTGCCTACAGTGCTGATATGCATCCAGCTCCCACCCGCTGTCACAGTCCAGAGTCTTACGCGATACAGGTATTGCCCGGTCCACAATCTCAACACTTCCCGGCGGCCCTCGGATCTTGGAAGCTATCAACAGCCATGAGATCACGCAGGACTTGATAGACAAAGGCCTGTCTGCACACGTCAGGAGCTCCAGAGGAACAGTGAGCTGCAAGAGTCGGAGGCAGGTATCAAGATCCGAACAATCAATTTGTCCTTCCCGCATTACCTCTTTCGCCGACGGAACGGCGCACACGACCTGACCTTGTACCTCTCTCGCTATATGCATTTTATTCGTCAGGAATGGGGCGTTGGCATCGATGTTAGGACAATCAATGAGGGATTTGCACTATGCTTGTACATAACGGAACCGTTTTATGATATTCACCTCGCTACGTCTCGGCAACAACTTGCCGACGTCTTCGGCAAACTTGATCGATCGAAGGGGATCAATCTGATGATCATCGACATAGGAGGAAGCAGCGTGGTACGTAAAAGTCTCCCGATGTCTGCATCTCGTCAACTTCACTCCAGCCCCGAAACAATGAGTTCTTCCTCTGCTTACCATAATTGCTAGAATATCCAAGTCGTCAGTCTATACTTTGATGAACAGGGCTGCTTTCAGTGCAGTCAAGGCCAGGAATGGTCTCCCGGTACGCTTTTACATCTCCAGCCCAGTTTGACCTCAGCATGCTAATCGACTCAAGGCACCGTGGGCGGCAGTGACCTATGCAACAGCAAGATCATGGATTTCGCCCGGGGGCAGTTGCAGTCTGCCTTACAGGATCATATCCCTGCCGGGGAGCTTCCGGAGATAATGAGAGACTTTGAGCAGCAGAAATGGAATCTCGACTTCGCGGCGACCGTGGACGCGGAAGGGAACAACCTGAACGGGAAGATCATGCTTGATGGGAAACCCAAGAGCCAGCTCACGCTTAGAGGAACCAGTCAGAAGGTGATCGTCTCTACCGATAGGGTCAGGACGCTCTATACAGATATTTTTGCTCAAGGTTGCCATATCTGGAATGCCGAGATCGACCGCTAGATTAGGATTGGAAAACCTTTTTGCATTCTCTACTGCGATGGGAGCTTTGGGAATCCGGGGCTGAATAGTCTCGCTCGGTCGGACGTGGAGTTGCGGAAACAGAAGAACCCCAGCATCCAACTCGAATATGCATTTCTTGGGGAATACGATCCAAGAAGGTATGTCTTATCAACTCATTATCCTAGACTCGTTTGCTGACATATAGCAGCGCATTAGCAGTTGCAACAGGCGCGGCTATCTCTCGTATGCGGCTGCCTAGACCAGCCGAACTGCTCCATGGCGCAGCTGTAATGATCCAGAAGAAGTTCAGGCGTACTTCACAAGCCCAAACGTGGTCGGAGCAACCGAAAGCTGACACTCTCTTCTATCAAGTGCGTACATAGCAAGACACCCCCAAATGACGATGCTGACGCCTTGAGCAGGGCTCCGGAGGTAGAATGTACTTTGTTGACTACCGGGTTACTCCCTCATGGGCACCTCGACTCAGGTTTTCTCTGATCTGCGACCCGAATTATCATCGACTCGTCCAAGATGGTAAGGGTCCTGCTTTCACCCATATCCCCTTCGCGCAAGATGTCTGGAACAGCCCGCTTGGATGCTACGATCTTGATCTTGACATTGACGGGAGTACTCTCCCTCAAAACGACGACAAGGGCTCCTTGGTCCGCTTCGAAGTCACAGGCCGGTACTTGGAAGACCTTGACACAGACAAACACGACTTGACGGACGACCCGAAGGAAAACACTATCCATCTCGTCCTCAGTTGCTACAAGATCGATGGTCGCGGCAATAAGTTGCATGATCTCCGCGACAAACGGTGGATTCTATCTCTGATCACGCACGGGCAAAGCAAGCTTTTGACTCTGGATGACGTAGATGTTGAGACATGTTCAATGTGGTGTGACAATTGTGATCAAGAGATGACAGATGCGGTTTACGCTTGCCAAGAGTGCGATACGAGTGGTTATGCATGTATGGATTGCTATCTTGCTGGTGAGGCTCACCGAGACGTGGATACGGACGGCGGGCATGAGATTCTCGCGATTTCTCTGGCTGTATGAAGATGACTTGCGAATGGTATTACCTACTGAAGTATGTATCCAGAGACAAAAGCTACTTAGATACATTGGCTGCCTTGCTCTACTGCCTTTGGCGTCGACCAGTGCCTTGACCTTTGGCCACGCTGCTTCTCTGAGCACTTCACTGGTACTTACGGGACTATAAGTTCGGGTTGGAACGCGCGCGTGTCGTATGTGAACGAGCTTGCCATGTCGTGCGATGTGGCGGGAGGGCCCAGTCGTCCATTCCCGTCCTCGCTGGAACCATCGTCCGCGGCCGAGTCCTCGTCATCAGTCATGCTCTGATCCGAGTCCGAGTCCGAGGCCGAATCTTCGTCGCCACTTGTTCTTTCATCCGCAGTGGGGTCTTTCCCATTAATTGCTCCATCGCGACAGCCGCCCTGTCTGGGTCTCAGAACATGGTCTGACCGTAGTTGGAACATAACTTCCTCCACAGCTCTAGCCTCCTCAAGTCCGGAGCCGCCCCCATCCGAGAAATCAGAAATGCCTTCAATTGCTGACATATCTTCGACGTTGGCGTAGGGTTCACAGCCGAAGAGCCCAGAGCCATCTCCATCGGAGACATCAGACATGTCACTGGTGTCCGCCATATCTTCATCGCTGTCAGCAGTGCTACCTCTCACAGTGTTACTGAAGTTGTTCCTGGGAACGCGGCTAGGACTGAAAGCGCGGCCCAAGGCTGGACTTGGACGCTTGCGGTATGCTTTCTTGCGAGTAATCCGATGAGTTGGCTTACGGAATGAGGGCTGGTATGTTGGCTTCCGAGATGACAGCTTGCGAGACAGCTTTCGGGATGATGGCTTGGAAGTCGACCAGCGAGGTGTCTTCAGAGTCTGCTTGCGGGATGTTGGCTTGCAAGCTAGGAATTTCTGCTCGAAGATTTCACGGGCGATGGCTTCCCGAGCAGCTTCCCTCATAGCAACGGAATGTAGCAGAGCGGCCGACTGCTTTGGAGCGACCAGCTCCCGTGTGCTTGACTGGGATCCAGACTGTACGGGACCCGATGGTTTGGATGTGACTCGGTGGAAGCGAGATAGATCCAGAGCTGGGGCTTCCTGAAGTTCGGCAATAGCATGTCGGAGCAGCTCCATCTTTTTTTGAGAAGGAGTATCAGCTGGCTTTGGGCATCTGGGCCTGCGAATTGTCGTCCAAAGGCCCGAGGGACTCTGGAGTGTACAGCTCGATCAGCGGGAAACCTGCCTCCACCTGTCGTATTTTGTCAGAAGCAGCATGGAGATGGGATCAGTGTAGTCTACTTACCATGTCCAGCAACGTCGGAGGCCACGCCCTGTTCCGGGGCTGTGTCGTGTACACACTGATCTGCTGTCTGTGGAGCGCAACGACGAAGAGCTCCGTATCGCCAACAAGGTGCACCTCAGGATTCCGGGCGGATCCAAACCAACCCCTCCCAAGCGGAGACCGGGTTCCCTGCCTTGGTCTTTGGCAACCCACGCAAGGCTTTTTGCTTCGGCGTTGTACCTACTTGTCAGTTGTGATGATGTGGGTATAGGTGGTGTGGGGTTGGAATGGATTACCGGAGGGGGGAAAGACAGACAAGAGACAGTCAGACAGAAAGGAGTGAAAAGGAAGAGAGAAAGGGAGAGAGAGAGAGGCAGAGAGAGGCAGAGAGAGGGTGGGGGGTTTTTAGAAACAGGGTCTTGGTCACACAAAAGTGAGATAAGCAAAGTTGAATGTCTTTTTGTCTGACTTGCTTCTTCCTTGGATCTTTTAGGACGTGACAGGAATTCAATGTTCAGGGTTCATCAGGCAGATGAGACCCCAGAGAGCAGATGCGATAGCGAAAGCGATGAGAACGCCGACCGGGTCTGCCCGTCTTCTGTCTCAGACCACACATCTTTCACCTCATGATGGTAGAAGGTGCATCCCACTGGTGACTTATTGGCTGGTATTCACTAGGTGAGTGGCAGGCAGAGATGGAGCAAGAGGAGAGGCTGGGTTCTGCAATATTCACATCGACCCAAGTTTGAAGCAGAACTTGGTCTGGTTATGTAAGGAGGATGGTGCTTCTGGGCCAGGATGTACTTGCCTGGAAATAGTAGCTTAAGAAGAAGAAGCCTAATGTGTGGAGCTATAGGCTGAAGAAGGGTCAGGAGAGCTGTGTGTGCTGTCAGCCCTAAACTTTCTGAGAAGAGGCATCATGGGACAGGCGCACCTGATGAGGATGGATGCGCGCTCCATGGGTCATAAACAGCGTTGGAATAGTATGGCAGTGGCCATAGGGGCCTCAAGTGAATGAGGCCTTGTGCGAGGCCAGGTGAGTCACTGGCCCCACTATCGCCAGCCAACCTCTGTCTATAGCCTCAGATAGCCAGCTGTTTTTCCTTTTCTTTTCCTTCCTTTTCCTTCCCTTCCCAGCCCTGCTGCTGCGGTCGTGCGGCCTCTGTACCCCCCCCCCCCTCTGGTAGTAGGAGGAGGAATCGTTCCACATCTTGCGGGTGTCCCTGTGCATACTGCCGGCAGGGGAGATGTAGGTACGCGTCTCGGTCCTGAACTCCATTCCGTGCCACTGGCTCAACTCTCTTTGGAGGCTCTTGAACTGTTACCGGCTCAGCGCCTCATGCACTTGCATTCTCCTCTCCGCAGACTGGCCAGATCTCACTTGGCGGAGGCTTTCAGCTATAACAGGCACCGCCTTTTCCACCAACGTTATATGGGTGTCCCCCGCTATATTAGAGCAGGCTTCCTCGACTTGTCGAACAAAGCCTGCCCACTCAGGAGAAGTGAAGAGGGGATGCGCGAAGATCGGGTGGAGAGGGAATTGTCTGCGGATGATAACCGAATCCTGTAAAAAGATTCGATCATGGCACCGGTCGAGAGGTGGACGGTTTCGAAGCCGCCGGATCCGGGCTGTTGCTTTTCCAGTTCCCATGCCCGGGCCCAGCGGTTCAGCTCTGGCCAGACCTGGCTGCGGAGGGTTGCCGGCGGCTCGACCGTTGCGCGGGGCGGAGTCTAGATATGCGGCCTCGACTGCCTTGCGGATCAGGGTGACCTGGCCTTCGTCGTAGCTAGGGGTGATGTCATGTGTGTCGAGCTCCCATATGCCGTAATCATAGGGCATCCTGATTTTGTCGATGACATAGGTCAGGCCCCATTCCTTTCTAAGCAGGCGGAACAGTGGTCGAGTATGAGAAGATCCAGATCTTGCGCATGTTCTGTCGAAAACAGGGCGTTAGTAATTCTTGGGAGCAAGTTAACGTGTCCTTATATATCCTGCTCTTCAGTGTGGACCGTAGTAGTTGACGAGCGACTGTTGCGGTCCCTCTCTGATTGGTCCCCATACCTAACCCTAACCCTTGATTACCTAATCCTGGTTGGGTTGTCCGCGTGCTAGGTTGTAATCGCTGGTCCTTTGTTGGCGGGGCCTGTTTCGTGACCTGCATGCTGGATGGGTCATAACATCCACGTATCCACGCGCATGATATCGAATGGCTGATAGATATCCAACGATGAAACACTTTGGTCCGATACAACGCTAGCTTATATGCAGCTGATGCTCTTTATTATCACCAGCGCCCGCGCTCGTTGTCATTTTCTGCAAGACGCTCTTCATGGCGATACTGCAGAACCGGAAGAGACAACGAGCACACGAGGACTTGCAAGACGGTTGTTGTGCGAAGTCCCAGAAGATAGATCCGTCCTTGCCAGACAAGAATTCAGCCGAGACACCACGTCGAGACCAGACAGCACCCGACAACTCCTCAGCGGAGAGTATCGATCCGCCGGCCCTCAACCACTCCAGTCCCTGGCACTACCCACCTGAGTTTTGGGACAGACTCTCGACAATTCCGCTTATCCGCTCGGCCCTGGAAGAACTCGACCGACGGAATCGTGCACGACCTGCCTTTTCGCCTCCGCCGCCGCCAACAGGGTCCGCTCAGAACCTCGCTCGATTTGCACGCCACGGCGGGCCAGATCTGTGTGATCTTCGAGGGTATCCCGCTCCTGTAGTAAGGGATCACCAAACCGCCAGCGCCATGAGCTCCTCGTCCCGAAGCCGAGCAACCAAATCTACCGATCCAACAACGGTCACGACCAAGTCAGGGACGACCAAGAGTAGGAAGTCATCCACTTACAATCCTGGATTCGATCAGCATTTGATCGACCATGGTATTCATACTACCTGGAACTCGCAAGAGATAGACTTGGATACTGTCTACACTATACTTGCAAAACCACGACCATCTTTATCGCCCTCCCAGATCTCTGATGATACATTCAAGATCTTCTGCAAAACCAATGCCCAGGCAAAGGATGAAGATGATGTGTGCAAATACGTTCTTCCTACCATTACTGGCCCTCGGGAAGACAATTATCCCTCCACTGCGAATATGGCTTTCGGGAATCTGGCACCGCTCACTGACGGGACCATAGTAGCAGCCAAGCCAGACATCGCTCTAGGAGCCCTCCCTGAACAACTCAACCCAACTATTCGCAGCGAGCTCCAACACCACATTATCCCTTCCACTTCGACGGATCGATTGATAGCGCCCAACTTCTTTCTGGAGGCGAAGGGCCCGGACGGATCTGCGGCAGTGATGATGCGACAGGCTCGCTACGACGGAGCAGTCGGAGCCCGCGCTATGCACAGCCTGCAGAACTATGGTCGAGAGGAGCCCGTATACGACGGCCATGCCTACACCTACAGCTCGACCTATCACAATAGCCAGCTCCAGCTATTCGCCCACCATGCTACTGCGCCCGCAACATCAGAAGGCCAGCCCGAGTATCACATGAACAAGATCAGGGGATTCGATATGACAGATACACAGGAAACCTTTATCCAAGGAGCTACTGCATACAGAAACGCGAGAGATCTGGCGAAGCAGCATCGAGATACTTTCATCCAGGATGCGAACGCTAGGTACCAAGCGGAGACTGCAGCAGCGCGGGAAACCCCCACGGGCGAGGCATGCTCCGAGAACAATGCCAGCTCGGACGGCTACGTGGACTGCGAGGCTTATTATACACCCCAGGCCGTCGACAGAGCACTACACCCCGACGGGCAAGATCGCCAACTGGGGCACAGTCGGACATCTGGTTCCACATTTGCTGCTGCTGCTAAACCAGCGGCGAGCATTGATACAAGCTTTACGTCGAGCTTGACATCGGGGAAAAGCCACAGCAGCCACAGCCGCCAGAAAGCCCCTTCTAAGCGCTACAGAGACTCGCACAGTCCGACGTCGGGCTCCCATCGCAAGAAACACAGTTCTGGAAAGTCCAGATAGAGGATCAATGCCAGGTTGGAGGAGGAATAACCAAGTTCGAGGGGACAATAGTATAGCGGTCTGGTGGGCGTGGTCAGGTGGGCGTGGTCAGGTGGGCGTGGTCAGGCAGAGGCCGGAGGCCATATTGTTATAACCCATCCAACATGCAGGGCATTCAAGCGTATATTACGAATGGCTGGGAGCAGCACCCGTCAGCATTGCGTACATACTTGGCTTGGGCTGGTCCTCACAGACGAAGCCCTTCGACTGGTTGAGCAGGTTCTCCAGCTGGTCCAAGAAGCATCCCCATGCAGGCAATCTCGCGGCGTTTGGGCGCCGATACGTTCTCGGCAGGCTCGGCCTGTGGTGATGAGGCCATGGCTAGCTGGCTGTTCCGTCCAGGTGAGGGCGCGTGGCTGGTCTTGCCGCCGCTGCTGCTGCTGCTGTCCTCGCCGTCGCGAAGAATGCCGAGGAGGGGGAGGTAGTGGTGGGCGAGCTTCGCAAGCGAGGGGGTGAAGGCTGACGAGGAGCTGAGACCTGCCTCACGTGCTTCTCATAGGTTGGTTAAATTGATGGTGAAGGGCAGAAGTAGGGCGCGTTGGGCAGGCATAAAAACGGGGCTGCGCGGTTTGCGTGGAGGGAGAGAGAGAGAGAGAGCGGGCCCAGGTCACGAAGCAACATGTAATGAGCACTGCAGTTATCCGAAGATTCCTAAGTATACGAAAGGTTTATGCCCTCATCACCTGATGCCTTGGTGTTGCTTGTTCCAACCGATCTATCTGTGCTGCCATCGATGCAATCTGTTGCCCCTGCCGTTCTAGAAAAGCCAACAGCGCTGGGTCTGTTGACGATGCTTGCGTGGCCTTGCTGCCAGCCTTGCTACGTCTCTTCACCACCCGCCCGCTCTGTGTGCTATTGGCTCGCTGCGATGCTTGTGCCAGGAACTGAGCGCTCTCTTCATCGTGGGAAGGTTTGCGTCTGGCAAGCTCGCTGACAGTATATTCGTAAGGTACAGCACGAGGGCCATGTTCAACTGGCTGGCGGCGCTAGCCAGGGAGGGTTCTCGGGTCAGGTTCTTGTTGTCGAGCGAGCACTGCATCAGAAAGAGGCTGTATCTGTTAGATCGTATTCTCTGCGAGGAAGGAAGCTACTTATCATATCCTCAACCAAATGCTAGTGTATGCGAGGGGAAAAAAGCTCGTATTGTAGTGCGCTGAAGAGAAAAGAGAAAGGAAGAGAAACGCCACGAGGCCAGCTATCTAGGGCTATAAACAGGTCTAGCTGTTGGCTGGCTGGAGGGGCCGTGCACGGCCCTGGGCCAGTGACTCACTGGCCCTCGCACAGATGGAGTTCAGGACTATGTAATAGTAAATATCACATCGATGTCCTGACTGCTGATTTGATAGTCCCTCAACACTCTAGATTTAGATTGAGAGATGCGATAGAGTTGAAAGAACTCCTGACTTGGATTATTATATTGTGGCCTGTTTAGCACTGGGACCAGGAATGTAAGATAGTCTTGTTGGCAGTGTGTGGTTGCTCTCGGGATGTAGAGTGGACTGGGTCCTGAGTCCTGGCGGAGTGTTAAGTACACACGCCGGGGCTTAGCATGCTTCAAGACCGGGAGACCTTATTTACTTCATAGACTATGAAACCTGAAAAGAGAAAGCTTGCAATCATCGTCGAATGCAGGTCGTGGCGACCTCGGACACAGCGCTCGCGGGGACAGACGTTCAGGACTCCGACGCTGTACCCTTGCGTCCGAGTGGAGCATTTGGTCGCTCGTAGACGCAGCCTAAACAGCAGTAACACTGGCTGCACTCATGTTAGAGACAGGAAGGAGGAGACTACACTGGTGCTGTCAGTACTCGGACAGCAGAGGAGCTGGATAGAAAGCATGCAGGTACCAGCTTGTGTGCTCTCATTCGGCATGCGAGGCAAAGCCGCATTAGTTCCGGAAGCCTGCTTGCCACGTGAATTAATATGCGACAGCTAAAAGGAGTGACCACTCCCAACGTATTTTTTCCTCACCAACACACCCTCCCTTTCGTCAACAACTATCGCGATGGCGTCTATCCCTGGCCCTGAGGACCCTCCAGGCCCTTTTCAGACGTGCATAGAGGCTGCCCGCCAGGTTCCTAGCCATCCAGGCTCGAGAAGACAAGGCTCACGATGCTTTCCTGACCAACCTCGAGGCGTGGCGAGTGCGTCGAGGGCGCCATCGCCAAGGGAGGCGCCCTCGAGAAGACCCCAAGCCTATCAAGCTCTCAAGAGCCTCTCTTCGCTCTTTTGCTGATCGTATGCTATACAGCAGAACTAGCATTACAAAGCATATCCTCGAGATACAGCGAAACGGCTTGCCTGCCCTCACATCAAAGCCTCCAGGCTACCCATACTACCTCAAGCCCTGGGAAGATGAAGCTTTCGTTAGATATGTGATGCAGCTTGATTCAAGCAACTTTTCCTCGCTCAGGCCAATGCTTATTGCTGCTGCCAATTCTATGCATGCAATGCATCAGAGAGAGCTAGTTGGTTCTCATTTTGTATAGTGATGGCTAAACAGGCATTCTGAGCTTGATCCAAATCATATGAAGTTTGTTGAGGCAGGTTGTTAAGGCTTTGAGCTTGTAATAGCTAATTTGAAGAGCTTTTTCGATAAATATAAAGCTGCTATAGCTTTGTACAAGCTGATATTCTCAGCTATCTGGAATGCTAATGAATATAGTAACTGTATTAGCATGCTATCTGGTTGCATTTAATGCATTATTATTGCTATAAATTTCCGGCTTGGCATTACCGCTTTCGGTATGTAAGTTGCTGTCGGGCCCCAGTCGGCTCGATTGCCATGCCAAGCCTTCCTGGGTCATGTACCTTTTCCATTTGCGCAATGTATCTTCCTGCCCGTGAATGAATCCAACCAAGGTCTGCAAGTACCGTTGCAATCCCTACGCCTAAACAACCTGACCCCATCGTCCTGCTCCTTGGCTCTGGCATTTGTGATCGAAATCGAAGAGTAAAAGCCATTTGACCAGACTACATTTTAAATTATTTCTGTTTACGCCACTGCTGTGCTACTGCACCGGCACTTCTTCCCAGCAGATCCCCTACACGTTGGTCTGTCCAACCTTCGAGTTTCCGCTCGCGCAGCACCTTGCGGTCTTGAGGAGTCCATACGCGCGGGCGACGACTGCCCTTGGGGCGTGAGTGCCGCATCGCGTTTGTGGCCCTTGCGCTGTCTTGTTCGTTGTTGTCGTCCTCTCCATTATCCTCGTCATCGTCTCCTATATCCTTGCGATGGGACACCTCCTCATCTGCGTCGTCGAGACCGGCAAGATCTTCAGGGTCGAGTGAACCTAAATCAAACTGGAAACCTGAGCAGTGGCTTCGTTGCAAGGACCTTCTTGGTGATGGCAGATGTTTTAGCTGCTGGCGTCCCAAAAAGTTCTTCTGCGACACCTGCCATAGCTTCGATTGCCTGCGTGGCCTTGACCATCCTTTGATACTCTTCTATGGGGACTCCGATATATGATGATCCAGCCCTTTTTCCTGTCGCATTTGATTTTGTTTGCGGCGGGGCTCGTGCGGCCGCCCGGTTATCGTCCGATTTATCCAATATGCCGGCTTCACCGGAATCGTGGAACGGTCCCAGGGAGGACGAAATAGCATCATCACAGTTAGCCAGCGCGCTGTCTGCGTCCTCTTGGACAACATTAGTGCATTGCCTTTGCTCGTCAACGTCATCTTCATCATCGACCTCATCCTCATCCTCACCCCCCGCCTCGGCATCGCAGGATGCATCAGATTCACCATCGTATGGACATGTGATGGCCTTCAAAGCATGATCTGGATGAAATTTGCGGCAACTTGAACACAAGTTGGTGTCCAGGCAGACTTGACACTCGTAGCGCAGGTCATATAAAAGTTCCTCGCACACATCGCATTGCGGCGCTCGTGAGCGGCTAACTGAACCGCCCAGGCTGGTCTGATCCCGTTCGCCTTCCTGACCTGGATCGTTCTGCAGATCTGGCCTTGAAATGTGAAAGGAGTGGCCTGGATGGAGTGCCGGAATATTGATAGCACAGTCCTGGCAGTATCGAAGACCGGGACACTGCGAGCACTGATGCCAAACTATATGCTGGAGGCTGGCGTCGCATAGGCTGCAAGCTTTCGTCCACATTCCCCGGGCTTCTACTTCTGATGCTCGAATTAGATCGTCGTGGACGAGGCACTTCTTGCTGCTCGTTCTCCCTTGTGCCGACAGCAGATACATCCTGCCTTTTCCTCTTTGCGCGATTGGGAGATGTGTTCCGCGCGTCGACCAAGCGCTCTGCAGAAGTGTTCGCTCTTTCAGTCTGTATGCTGCTCGGCCGGATTATTTTGTTGATAGCCCGGTCCTCCCCAGCTGTATGCAGCGATTTGTCTGGTATAAGTTTCGGCTCCACTGATTGCACTGTCGTAGAAATGGCCTGGAGTACCGCTGGAGCGAGGGTTGAGGGGCTCGAGGGGTGTACGGATGTCGAGGGGAGCGTCGGCGCACGAGTATCCGTCGAGTGCCCGCGGGGCCTGCTTCCGCGTCGCGTGGACCGCCCTTTGTATCGTAGTACCTGCGCGAAAGAAGAAGCATCGTGATTTCGCTGGGCGGAGAACATTGGATTGTATCGCATGATTGTTATGACGCTGTCATGGTTCTTGCGAGCTGCTGTTTCAGGCGGCACCGAATCCTCCTGCCGCGGCCGGCCTGCCCATGTATAGCCTGGGAGGCTGGAAAGGAGACAGCCTCAGCGTAGCTTATTCTTTTTAATTCTTTGCAGGTTTTTAAATTATTGAGATTTAAAACTGAATGCCTATAAGAGATGTTTAGGTACAGAAGCCAATAATCTAATTCAACCAACGCTTTAAGCCCAGCTAGGCTTCCCATCTAGTTCTCTTCACGACAGCCGTTCTGATCCCATGCACTCTTTCAGTGTAGTTCTGAAGGTGCTTTTTATGAATCAAGGTTACCTTGCAGATGGGACACTCAAAGATGTCCTTTGGCTGTAGACAGCTCAGGTGTGTGTGGGTGAAATGATATGCCAACTTGTACTTGTGTGAAAACACTCGGCACAACACGTCGAACATTCCATGGTTCGGCCCCAGACGCTCTGCCTTAGCAACACAAATATAGCACCTGAGCACGCCGCTGCTACCAGCCATAGACACGAGCATCGAGTTTTTGATCAGGGTTATGCTCTCTTTTGGCGCGAAGGGGAGGCTAAGCTCGGAGGGCCGAGGCGGTCGTCTGGCGTCCAGGACTTTCGTATTAGAAGAGTCTTCTTCCTGGCAGTAGGCCACGATTGCGGCGATGGCGTCGGCCCGGCGGAGCAGCTGTGCCTGTAGCTCCTTCACAGGTGGCACTGCCAATGCTTCCAGCATCTTTTGTTGTACTGGATTCGCATGGAGATCTGGTTCAGGGTTGACAGTCGAGCCAGGGTCGGCTGTCTTGGGAGCGGAGCCCTTGCCTTGGAGCTGCCGCTCGATGTCCTCAACGCCTTGGTCATTGTCCCACTGCTCTCGCACTTCTGCGAGCTTCAGCCTTCGCAAGCGGTCCAGGCAGGATTTGCATTTACTGGCAATCTCGCGGTACTTCTTGGATCTCATAGGAAAGCTGTGGAGCCGTTTTTTTCAGAGCCTGATACTCGGGGTCATCCTTCAGCGAATCGACTTGTTCTTTGGTCAGTTTGGTTGGCCGTCGCTTGCTCACGGAATGCCCATGGCTGCTCAACTGCTGCATGAGCTGTTTCTGGGGTTCCAGATTTCGTGCAATCGCCAAGACATCAATAGGAACATTTCTGCCGAGGTAATGGGCCTGGAAGACACTGGAGTTCGGAGCATGACCCATGACAAGGTTGCGAAGGGAGTTGCTGACGTCAACTGCATAAAAGTCAGGATATAATGCTGTACCGTAACAAGCCACCGAGGGATACCGACGATCAAGGGCGCGCTGACTTGATCAGATACAGAGAATACCAGAGAACGAGCTCTACATATGTAGGGTAAGACGTACCGTGTTGATCGAGATTGTTGCCAGCTATATAACGAAGACTATAAGAAATAGTGCTGTTCTGGAAACCTGCCAATAGTCCGATCTTCGAGACGATTTTGGCCACCATCGTCCCAGCAATGGGATCCTCGCCAACCTCGAAGCCTGCGGCGGTCTGCACAGCTTTTCTGAAGACAAATTTCTCGGCAAAGTCCGGCCTCAGAGCAAGCTTGGTCCGTCTCTCCCCATCGGCGACTCGCAAAGAGCCTAGCGTGTGTGGGCTTTCGTTCAAGCTGGCAGATTTGAAAGCCTTGTGCCGGAACAAGATTGCCAGCAGAAACACGTGCGGACTGAGGAACAAACTAGAGTCACCCAGGTCCTCTGTGAAAACGAAGTGGTTCCTGTGAAGGCATTAGACCAATTCAAGGGGAGTTGAGATGCGGAAAAGCCCAGACGTACGTGGCCTTTTGTCCCATGTATTCCTTCGTATGTTCCAGGCTCATTCTGATTACAACCAGGAGCTGACCATCTGGATCAGCAGGAGAGCGGACGAGAAGGACCTCCAAGTGTTTGAACTTGAGCGCGAGAATAGCACCGGGGCGTGAGCCCGCCGGAGCTAGCATGAGAAGATAGAGAACCGCAAGGACGCGTATCTCTCCCAGCTTGAAAGCTTTCTCGGTAGTACGCAGGGTTGTCTCGATTTGGCGCCGAAGATCGTCAGTGGTCATAGGACGATTCTCGCGCAGGTTATGTTTCAAACGCCTTCCCAACCTCGCCAGAGCCTGCTCGATGTCAGCATGATGTCTAGCAGCATTCGTCCCGAGACAATCTCACATTGGTTACTAAGCGGTTATCAATAACCAAATCGATCTTCTTAAGCAGAGCCAGTTCGTAGACAAGCCGAAAGTTGCACCAGAAGACGGTCAATGACATTCTGGCCTTGATTGGTGGCTTTCTTTTGCCCATTCTTGCCGGTGCGCTGGTTTAGGTGCCACTTGAGGAAGTGTTGGAGCACCGCGAAGTCGATGCGCCGCAGACAACCCTTCCAGTCCTTCTGCTGCAGAATCGTCTCACAAAACCTACGCAAGTTAGCGACTTTAGGACGCTATGCAAAGGTAATCAGGATTACTTACTGTTTCCACTGACGTTCGCAGGCATTGATTGCGTACATAGTGGATGGCTTGTATTGCTTGCGTGCGAAATCATCTTCGTTCAAGACTTGGATGCCCTCACGATAGAACTCCGGGGGGTGTAAGTTGCCATGGAAGAGATCGTCCTCGTCGTATGCGTCCTTGTCCAGTGTCTGAGGACTCCGAAGACTGGCGTCAATCTGCTGTATCTCGGCCTCGATCTCTGTCACTTCCGACTCCCTCTGGGGCGGTTCAAGGTCTTGCAGTCCAGGAAGCTCGGGCTCGGGCCCATTGTCGGACACGTCCACCATTTCTTCGTCTGAAACTTCCGATGCTGGATCGTCCTCGTACTCCGACACGGGATCAGAAGCCAAGTCCGACCTGGTTGACTCATTGTCAGATTGCTGCAGCGAGGAGTCGTCCTGGTATTCGGACCCGGACTCGGACCCAGGCAAGTCGTCCATCTTCTTGAACAAGTATTGTTACCTAAGAGCCGAACGGGACAGGGCGTGAGTACAATGGCAAAGTACAGGGACTGCAGAATATTCACCTGGGGAGAAGACGACAGGACAATATACACTACGCGATTGTCTTCAAGTCTAAGACCCCCGGCGGCCGTTGTGATGACGTTCGAGGCAGGAGTCAGGGGCCCACGGAGCACTCGCAATTGCTGTAAGGAGGACGCTAGGGAGTGCGCCGTGTGAGCATGCCGTCGACCGGCCCAAACATGCATTAAATTAGCGGCTGTTGCTTCAAAGCCGGCAGTCCCCAACTGGATCATGACAATAGGCGAACATTAAATCATCGGGTACTCCCATTGAGCCCACCAAAGCTGCTAGACGACATCTGGACTAGCCGACCACCCAAGCTGCGGAAGACGCCGAAGTACCACACTCTCTCTTGAGACACAACAAAACCAGTAGCAGTCGCTATGAGTGAGGATGTGCTTGGACAAAAGGGTGGCATTCCGACAGTCTCCACAACATTACTACTCAAGCTTCGAAGCCCGGCCCGCCTAGACTGATTTCAAGACACCTTCTAATACCTTCGTAAGCCTGAGCGCGCATGCAATAGGCTTTTTGAGGCTAGCAAGAGTATAACGCGGGAACGCCACTTGCAGATCTTCCCATTTGAGTGTACCACATCTTGCATGTGTGGGCCACGATTGCATTGATACGACAAATATGAAGCCAGTTGGTTGGCAGCCAAATCGAGCCAACCCCAAAATCAATGCATTACCATTTTTCCATCACAAGAACTTCCACTACAATGTGTATGGAGATTTTCTTGTATGAATCTCTTCGTCGGAGTCAGCATTTTATTCTGATATTTTTTACATTATTGAAAACGCTATTCAAGAAGCGTTTTGGGCTTTTGAGTAGGCTTGGCCAAACTGAAGGTTGCCCTGATTTAGCCGCCGACCGACTGGAAGCCTGCCTTGCCGTGACGCCGCCCCTTGCCAAACGGGCACGCAGGATAGTCGCTTGGGACCCCACATCAAAAAAAAAACCCCTGGCCTGATTTGCGGGTTAGCGTTTGCCATGCCTGCACTATGCTGCATACATACCTAGCTGCTGCCCACGGCTGCAGGGCTGCTTCTGCCACGCATGCTTTTACATGAGATAATGCAACGCGATTTGCTAGTTCCGAACTGCGCTGCAAGTTCCCACAACCAGAACAGCTCGACAGCTCGAATACTTCCTATATCCCTGAAAAGAAATGTTAGCATGTGCACACTCGTCCAATGAGATTTCCTTACCATTTGTCGCTGAGCAAACAAGAGAATCGCAAGCAGTCGATTGCTGGAGCCAGCAGCTACAGAGACTGTGCAGCTGAGAACCCTTGTCGAGTCAATCACAAACACGCTCGAAAGCCCGGCAAACCCTCGGAACCCGCTGGACCAGGCTTATGTGACCAAGCCGTCAATGGTATGTGGGATCACAATAGAGGCTAAGGGCTGTTTCAGGAACCCGAGGTTGGAGCAAGTCGGATGATTTGGAGAATAAAGATGACTGGGTTGATGTGCATCATGTAGACGCTGCTCTGCTGCGTGATATAGATCGCGTCCGTCGTCTCTCAAGAGGCTCTATCTCAGCGCGTGTCCTTTCCGGCATGGCGCCAGCAGCAGCATCATTTGAAAAGCCCATCCTGCGCCTCTTGGATCGCGAAGCCGTACCCCCATCATCATACATGCTGTCAGAACCACTGCTGCTGCTAGGGTCACTGCTGTGCGTCTTGTCCTCGTCCTCAGCCTTTTCGACGTCTGAATCCCATTGCACATGCATAGCCTTCCGCTTCTTGGGCGGTCGCGCGTCCCGCTCCTTCTTTTCAGCGTCCACTTGTGCTTGCAGGCGCTCGCTATCCTCCAAAAATTCGCAAAGCAGACGTGCTGGTAAGTCAAGGTTGCTCTGTTTGACCTGGGCGCGAACCTGGGGACTGAGTCGCCTGAGGACATTGTTTGGAATGAAATCGGACAAGAGCAGTGGCAATGTGCAGTCGGTAGTACGGCCCTGAGCATCGCGGAACGCTTCATTCTTGAAGATGCGATTTGGGCCACGATAGAGACAAAACGCTGCAGTGCGGTCCGCGGCGTCGGCATAGGGCAGGTCGATGGTAAGAACTGTCTTGATTTTCCCATCACTGCATTCGTAGTAGTCCTTTGCACATTGTTTCAGGTCCTCAGCCTTCTGGTTGTAGCCAACTTCTGTCACAAGTTGTGGCGTTGTAGTCTGTCGCAGTGCGGGCGGTGCGGCTGATTGTATGTATAAGAACTGGCCGTCTGGAGATCGCTTGCCTTGGCCCTTGTTTCCTTGCAGTTGTACCCATGCATGACCGCAGGCAATAATATGTGAGGCATGGCGCGCAAGCTCTCCTTCTCTCGCAGCTAGATCACGCAGCCTCGTCTTGATCTCGTCGGAGATGCACAGCTTCATGCGCTCATGCAGATGACTGGCCATCAGCCGGAGGACAAGAGTCCCGCGATCAGGATTCCAATCGTATCGCAATGCACCGTGATCAAAGTACTCGAGCAGACCGTGGTCTTCCAGCCGTTGGCGCAGCTCCAAATATCGACTTGGAGAGATCTGAAGAGCAACGCGATCAAGAGACTCAGAACTGTCTGATAGCAATCCACGCTGAGACGCTTGGATCAGAGAGAACGCTCTCTCCAGATCGTCGCGTGATTGTATTCGTTCCTCCTCTTGCTGACCACCGTGGCTGCCAAGAGCGAGAGCTCGCAGTGGCCTCGCGGGCTCGTGCTGAAGGTCTGATGTGAAGCTGGAGGTGACGGATCGCGCGTGCGGCTGGGCGTCTGCGAGTGACGAGGTAATCGAGGCAGGAGGTGAATCTGATCGTGATCGTTGCGGACCGTGTCCTTTCTGAGTGTCGTCGAGGTCGCGATCAGACGCGCCGCCATTTGGGCTCGCACTGAGGGGAGGAGACGGGGCAAAGGATAGCGCGGTCGCTTCCTTGCCGCAAGTAACCATCGTCAAGAATCTTGATGGACTTGCAAATATGTTGATGATGTTGTCGATTGCGACGCGGAGAGTGGGCTGTCAGATGCAGCAGACCAGGAGAAGAGATCCAATCTCAGCGTGCACTTGCCAGCCATAGCCGCCCAACCACCCTGCCACCTTAGCGCCTTAGGCCCCTGTCCATGATTTCGTCACCCGGCTTGTACGGGAGGAACAGAATGGTAGCAGGCTTATGTAATGCATACGGGTTCCTGCCTACCGGTACTTGCCACGCAGTTTATACCTGAGACTAATACTTGGCAGCCGCATTTCAACATGCACTTGGACATTGCGGGAGCTTTTACATAACGTCTTTTCCTCAAATGAGCAACCTCTTTACGTCTTTTACTGCCCTCGCTCTAGGTGGCTATCTATGGCCGTAAAGTCTTGCTCTGCTGGGTGACAGGCCGCCCCTCCGCTGCCATTGTACTGGTACAGACAGGACAATACCATTTCCCTCGGAACTCAGACTCCGTCCTAATACAGGTGCCATGGAACTACTCGTATTGATACTGCTCGTTGTTACATGCGATCATGAACCCGTGCTCGACATTCCGACAAAAGCAATATACGGGATTGCGGGTCTCGCATCTATCATCGCTGCTTTTGTTTGATTGAACCTGGCTGCGGACTCTTAACGGCAGGGTAATGGCTGTATACTTCTCCGATGGTTTCGAGGGACCAACATCTGCCTTCGGACGGTTCTCAATCACTATAACTTTCAGTCAGCATAGCCTTAGATAAGTATTTTTGTTTTTATATATATACTCCTAAAAGCAAACAACTGCATGAGCTGGTATTTGTTATGGAGATGGAGGTCATGATTCTCAAAGTGGGTGATTGCTCGATCCCTCTGTAAGGGATGCTTGCTGAAAGCTTGCAAAGGACAATCCGGCTTAGCACACAAGACTGCCACCAGCTCCCCATCTGCATCAGGCCAGCGGAATGTACATGTATTCTCGGGCAAGGAGCTTGATCTGATCGTTCTTATTATGGCCCTCTGATGCTGTTCCATCCCTTGCAGCTCTACAAGGTTGTCCCAGTCAGTAACGGCGCGATGATATCTCATCAGCACAGCGCTATTGTGGCCAGCAATGGTCCACTTGTTCAGATGCGGGACATTGACTACGTGGAACGGTTAGCTGCATGCTGTCTCAGTGGCCCTATGGCGGCACTCACGTTCTTGTCCGTGCTCTGCGAGCAACGATGGTAAGTCAGAGAACCTTTCTTTGTGTATGTCCCGAAAATGGCTCAAGACTTCGTCTCCAGCGATATACCTAGGCATCCAGTCGTATGTTGGTTCTGATGGATTCAACAGCAAGGTCGGTGCCAGGACGCGTGGACATGCGCAGAGGATATGATAGGCGATGAACCGTGCCAGATAAATGTAGCGCTCCGAGTCAACAACCGGCGTCGTGAAGGCCAAGGCCGTCAGATCCATATCGACGTCCACTGGCCTACCGAGGGCGTGAAACCGCAGTGCTTCTTGTTCAGTTATGCCTCTACGAGCGGCAGGCAAGGCAGCGTGGCCGCCGCCATTGCCTGCGATGTCAGCATCGCTTTCGACATCACTGTCGCTATCACTATCAGTTACTCAGTGCATTTCCGTATACAAGTTGTTTGATCAGTTCACCTCTCTTGCCTACTATAAACCAATCGGTACTCAGGATCCTTTGGATTACTACAGTGCTCATTACACTATTCCTCTAAGGCCTATCGCTAAGACTTGCCCTTTAAGACAGCATCAATAGCCTCGGCTAGCTGCGCTTCGGTATATGGCTTCACCTGGGTCGAATTAATGTTCAGTAACAACATGAAGTTATTCGAATTAGAATTGACGAAGAAAAGCTACAAAACTATGGGGTGGTGGGTGAAGCGGTGTGGCCAGCCAGGGTGGCCGGAAGTGGGGAGGAAGTTACCCCCTGTGACTTAATGTCTGGGTCTGTACAGCCTTCTGCGAGGACTTTCCGTACCTTGGCATACAGCCCTGGATCCTCATACTTCCAACGATCACCCCCAGGAAAGATCGCCTCCCGCAATCTGTTTGCAAGTGGGATCAGTGGCCGATAATAATCGGTAAAGTTCTGTGCAGCTGTCTGCGCGAATATACTGCTGTTGACCTCACCAATTTTGACCTTGAGCAGCGTATTCGTATCCATGTAGTTCCACTTATCAAACTCGGGAACAGTTCTCTCCTTGCCCGGGCCCTCGTAGTGAATGCAGATCCAAAAGAGAACCCAAAAGAAGGACTCTATGTCGTGCATAAAAGAATGCTGCTCACCCATGAGTGCTCCTACAGCCATAAAAGCCCTGGTTCCGGTTATGCTTTTCGCGCCTGACGCACTATCTCGCTTTATCTCGATAGCGAGGTCCAGATCAATCAGGAATGACTGCCAGGATAGATTGCTAGGATCCTCGTTAATGATAAGATTATTGATCGAGATGTCTCTATGCAGAAGTCCTGCTCGGTACAGAGACTCATGTCCCGCAAGACAGCCCTCCAGTCCAGCGAGCAGGCTCGCCCGGGAGCTTGCCTTGTAGATGGGCTGCCCGTAGTCACGGACAATAGTACGCCTATGTTCCCGGTTTAACAGGGTAGTGATGCTAGCCTCGCTAGGGTTCTGCAATAGGCGGGATCGTTTTCTGGGTGGCATCGGTGCGTCGGTACAGCTGACCGGCCGTTTGGTCGAGGGCAGACGTGTGCCTGGCTGGCTGGAAAGCTGCCTGCCGAGGGCGGAGTTAGCTTGGCTAGATCGTCGCTCGCTTGGTAACCGAGATGGGCTGGCCTGGCTGGACGGTGGGCTGAACGGTATAAAGAATTTGCCAGCCTGGCTGGACAGTCGTTTGCTGCCTGCTGACTGTCTTCTTGGAGGTAAAGGGGAGCCGGGAGGCTGGGAGGAACATGGCTCTATGCCGGCGACATTGCTGCTTCGGCCTCTCTGGGAGACACTTGTTACTCCTGCGCGCAGCCCAATATCTAGCCAGTCCGGCTTGTAGTTAGAAGCCTTTGTGATATCCAGCCCCCTGCGCACGCTGCTTTGAATATCATCATCGATACCGCCCACCTGGACAGTTTCGTGATGATAATACCGGGCCACATTGATAACCTTGTTATCAGTCGCCTTGCGGAGCAGATCGCCTTCCACATCCCGCTCCGGGAATTGCCACGAGTCCTTGATAACAAGTCTTATCTGAGGATCGTCTTCAGGGTAGGCTCTCCAGCAGGTTGTTGCCCGGCCAGCTATACAGTGCTGGCGTATCATTGCTCCGTCGATCATGAGGCGCTCGCTAGCGCCGTTCCGGCTGATTTCGATAAATTGCTGGCCGCTAGGCATCCTCTTGAAGGTCGGATCGAAACCGAGCTCCTCCGAGCTCATCCATAGGAAGCCGAGCATTGTATGCACGAACTGCAGCCCGTCCTTATTAATATCGAACTGTTTGGACGCAATGCCCCCAAGCCGATCAAACTCCCAAAGCCTCATAAGGGAGCCACAGAGAGTAAAGCACAGAACAAAGCGGCGAGTGTTGCAGGCAGAGAGCACCTCCCTTGCGTATGTTGCAATGCTTATCCACGCGATCGAGGGTATATCGTCAGACGGACCCATCTTCAGCTCGCCCGGCACGAGGACGTGCGACCATCGATATCTGAAATCGCCTGCTGCTGCTGCTATAAGGTCGTCCTTCACAAAGCCGATATCCATGCTGCGTTTTCCCGCAGAGCCTGGGAGTGGCGTATTAGGTTGTGCCAGCAGCTTTCGACGAGGTGTTGGCGCAGTTGCGGGTGTGGATGCCAGCGCAGCACTGTAGTCTTTTGCAAATGCCTCCAGCTTGGGGAATAGGTTGTGGAACCAGCACACCACATTCTTCTCTGATGTGACTGCTGGCCAGCCGCGCCACCCTTGGGAGCCAAAGAGCGGGTTGCTGCCCTCCACGCACTTCTTGAAGACAGCCTTGGACCCTGCCTCCAGGCCAGCTACCTGTCCGAAGTATGTCTCGCTAAAGGAAGGAACATCGACATAGAGAGGACCAAGCTCCAGCTTAAGGATCCTGTCCACCTCTTCGCGCTTCTCGGACGAGTTCATTATGCCGCTCGTGGTGTAGATCCATGGGGTTTGCTCAAGGAAGGTTGCAATCGGTTGTCTCGGCGGCGGGGTGCGCTGCGGCTGGGGGGGGGGGGGTTGCTGCAGCGACGGGATATCGGCTATCAGGCAGTAGATGTGTTCCCAGATGCGCTCATCAGAGTCGCGTTCGAGGATAGAGCAGAGGAGGGGCTTTATGCTATCGAAATCGAAAGTATCGGAGTTGACTGCCGAGTTCAGTCGGATCAAATCGGTTCGAAGGATGCCATGGCCTGACCCGGAAGGTAGAAGACGAGCAACGGGCAGCAGCCGGAGTTTGAGAATAAGAGTTAATATGAGATCTTGCATATCTGTTCGTGTATTAGAAGAGGCATTTCAAGCCAAGAACTGGTCTGCTTGCCTTCTCGTCCCAGCCGCTCCAGCGCGTCCAGTGTACAGATGCCTGCCTTGTCGCAGATCGAGTTGAACATGGTGTGAAAATCATCGAGACCCTTTCCGATCGGATGATCTTTGATGTAATTCTGCTGGTCTGCCATGATGATAGCAGCAGAGGAGGTGGTAGTAACAGTAGTGGTGGATGGAGGTGTGGTGGTGGTGGTGGTAGTGAACATCGAGCCTACGTTTGTTGTTTTCAAGGAGGCAAGACAATATCCAGGGTGGTGGCAGCTGAAGGAGCACACAGATTATGCAATATATACTTTAACTCCGATTGCATACGAGTTACCACAGGCCCGGGTGACGTGGGTGACGGTCACCTCCCGCCTGCCAGATCAGCCTGATTTACGCGACCGCTGCTGCCTCAGGCCGCCCTCGCGCTACCCCTAAAACCGTAACCCCACCCCCGCGATCCTCATACCTGCAAACTGGAAGCGGCTTCCGCTAACGAGCTCCCTGCAAGCTGTCTGCGGCCAAAAAGAGAGACTTCAGGAGATGTACCGCGATGTCTACCCTCACCCCGGCCGAGGTGGACGCGACCTGCCCCGCTTCAAGTGGGCTTCATTGGCAGATCTTCAGAAGCGCTTCGGTGCGGATATAAAGGAAATGATTCAGAATGTGGCAGCCAGGAACGTGAAAGATCCAGAGATGTGGTAGGAGCGTAGCAGACTGCTATCCTTGTTCAATAGCTACTTGGTATACGTCTAATACAACGCTTTGCACTTTACAACGTAGCATGCGTTATCATTGTGTGTCCATTTAGCATTCTACTTTCCTCCATAGCAAGTCTAGCGCTATAGAAATCTACCTAGGTAGGAAACGCTGCTCTCTTCACTATCGGAGACGGGGGCCGGGGTCACGTGTGAGACCGGGCGTGGCCCGGGTAGTTACCTAAGTTCTTACCTAATTAATGTAAACAGCCTTATCATACCATATTTCACAATCTTGGAAGGTTCTCCGTTGCCTGCTCACCGGCTTTCGTTTGTCGAAAACAGGAACCAGCAATCCTTATTCTGTTTATAAGTAAACGGAGTGTTGCGTTACGTAGAACGAAGGCAAATCCGGAACTGGATAGTTAGGTAAGCCTTCAACGTACACTTTTAAGGCGGCTGATCCCTACGCAGGAACCAGGTAGGAGTCAAGGCTGCTTCGCGTCCTCAGTCGTCATCATGGCTACGAACGTAACAATTTCCTCTCGTCGGCGCTGTGATCAAGGCGGCCCCGTCGTAGGTCGCGATACGTGGAGGTCAACGCTTCAGATCGAAGTCGGGCTTCAGTAGAGCATTACAGCGTGACCGGCGGGGGCTATACACAACAGGCCATGCGAAGCAAGGAACAAGAACTGCAGAGATCAAAAGCAGACCAGAACGCAAAGATTGCACATCGCTGGGGTATCCATTACCTCGAGGAAAATAAGCCAAACAAGAAAGTCCGATTCGCGCCGGAGGTGTGCCAAGGCAACGAACTGACCGAGGCTGTTCGTAACCTGCGCCTGGACGGACGTTCCTTGGTCGACACAGCGCTCAAGGCCGACAACCGCGACAGTCCGCAGGCATGGTTGGATGCACTGATTTCAAACGCGCCGTGCGTCATGTCTTGGCTGTCAAAAGAAGTCTAGGCGCTTGCCGATGTCTGCCTCGCCGGGCTGTGAGAGGGAAAGCTCGTCACGGCCTCATCATTTTCTGACCAATATTTACGGGGAAATTGTTAGTGAGTGGTCGTCCCACCTTTTGGCTATTCTGATTTACTGGACGGTCGAAATGCACAACTGCCCAGGTGGCACCTCCCGAGCTTAAAGATATAATTCATCTAAGAAAAGTACAACCATGACAATACCTAGCTCCAAGCTTTTTACTGTAAATAGCACTTATAGGCATGTGCATACCATCCTCTTACTTCCTCCTAGATGCCCCTAGAATACTTCTCCAGCAATAATCTCTATATTACAAGGCCCTTTCACTATGCGCCTTCACATATATCACATGCGTATACGTGCCCTCCTAAGTAATATATCCCATCTCCGTAATAGGGAATTAATTCAGCATCGGCAATTCCTGGTCGCTTCGGATCCCGCAGTTGATGGGTCGGTTGCTTCCCCTAGCTCACTCCCCCCCTCCTCTGCGTGGCTTGGTCTGAGCTCGGACTCTTGCCTCTAGACAGGACCGAGGAGAGGACACGAGGTGCGTGTTGGCTGAGACGCGATGAATGTTGTTGTGCATATCGTATTTTGGTGATAGGGGACGCGTGGTATTACTGTAACAATGTGATTGAGGGTAGGTGATGTGGGTCTCTTGGTTTGTGTTATTTTTTCTTGGGCGAGAAGTCGTCGCTCCCATTTCTGATCTAGCGCCAGGCAACAGCGTCCTCACATGCTGTGACCTTACATCATCATTATGGAATCCTGCAAGGAAAAACAGTCTTTCTGTGAGCATTGGATGAGTGAATTGGATTACTTTTTAGGAAAATGAACAAATAAAAAAGCGCTTAGAAAGAGTGTTTTATACGCCCAAAATAGGTCAAGGTTAGGGTCGTTTTCCCGACAGTATTAATCCCCCATGTTCAGGATCTCGGTATGGTTTTATTAGCAAAGTTGGTTGTGCCTGTCCCGCTGCGAAGTTTGGATCTAATGGACGGAGAGGAAGTCTTGATTAGATTGGGGATTCGGTGAGACTACCTAGGTAGGAAGTTGTCGGGAACAAGATTGTGGAAAGACAGCCTCCATCGCCGTCGGACGGCCCCCTGAAATTGAGTTTAGATGATTCATCCAGTCTGCCGTAGTGTTGGGTCACAGCGTAACAAACTTGTTTGTTGATCTGGACTCACTCCTTCTCAGGCGAGAGCAACCTGACCTTCTTGGCTCCGTCTGCAGGTCCTCGCATCACCTCCTCCTCCCTCTGCCGTCTCCTGCAGTCATCCCTTTGCTGTTCCCTCCTCCGTAGAGGCTCCCAGGCTGTGTGCTGCAGGGCTTCTTCAGCGCTTGGTCGATTATCAGGTTCCCACGCCAGCATCGACAAGTAGCAGGCTATGTAAAGGCTCGTATATACGCTGTAGGCGGCACCTTTCCTCCAAAGATCTGACAATGCCGTGGTGAAAGCCCTCGTTCACCCTGACGAGACCAGCCGGAGGGATTAAAAATGCGCGGAGCCACGAGGCTGCTAGGGCCCATACGTCTGCCTTGCTTGAGTAACACGTCTCCTTGGAGCTGGTCCAGACCTCAGGGGGCGACCCAATATCCTGTGTGATCCGGTAGGCCGTAGTTGCGAGTGCCAGATGGCAGAAGTTATCGCTGCCCTGGTTGAAGGGCAATGTCCAGGATCTGACACAATCATGAGTGACTTTGGTCGAATTCTGCCATGAATGAATCCTCTACTGTGGATCTTGTTCAGTCCCGACAACGTTTGATGAAGATAACCAAGGCGAGTGCTGTCTCCCAGCTTGCGCCACTGTGCGGATAGTCATGTCCTCGAAGTCAGACTCGGCGAGCGGCATGCTGTAGAACACGTCTTCACTTCCCTCTTGAGGCTTACCAGCCAGTCCATTTCTTTTTCGATCCAACACGGCGGAGATTCTCCATGCTCGCACCAACTCGTGATCATGCCGAGCACGCCGTCGCTTGTTCCACAACTTGTTGACGCTACCTGCAGCTCAGCCCTCGCGCGACGCCCTGTTTCCCGACCTACCTTGTAGACAATCCTCTTCACGGCTACAGGTCGCCCAGAATGGAGCTGGATCCCATAATGCACAGACTCGGGTAGCCGATTCGATATTTCGCCATGCACCCTCACGTCCCAGAGTGTGAAGTGCTGCTCATTTGGAACCGGGCCTAGGCGCGTCGCTGGGCGGATCTGACACAAGCGATTCCGCTCCGCGGTAAAGGTGTTGTAATCTTGGGACTGCAGGTTGAATTCGAGAATGAAGTTGTATTCCCCAAAGTGAAGATGATTGCTCTGCCTCAAAAGCACACAACTTGAGTCCGGACCACCGCCTCTCAACGTGAGATCATCGCCGTTGACATCCCCACTCTCGTAGATGATAGGCAGAGAACAGACATTGCGCAGGAGGAGCGACTCAGATTCGGGATGAAATAGTAATATGGCGTGGATGCTCTTGATGGATTTGCGTGCATGTTTCGAGCTATGTGAGCTGCCCGGCGGACAGAGAAGAATGTCGACTTTGGAACAACATGTCTGTGTTTTGGGCAGAGATGGCGATGGCCCGGCACCCACACGCTATTTGCCTAATGGAGCAGGCGAATCAACCGAGCCGTTGGGCAGCGGCGGAAGCGATAAGAGGTAGGCGATTCCGTCCTCCTTGTTGATGAGACATGGCGTCGGGGCATTGCCAGGCCGGAGCGTCGCGAATGGTATGCTCCTTGCCTCGCAGACTTGGCCCTGCATGCTCTGAGTAAGTATATAGCAATTCAGACATTCGCTTCCAAGGTTTCTCACGACTTCTGAGGTCGATGCCTCAAAGAGACTTGGGTTGACACCTGCCTAGGCTACGCCGCAGGAGAGGTGAGGGGGCTGCCTGCCGTCTCACTCACGCAATCATGTGCAGCGGGCATCCTTGCCGGCATGGGACGCCGCAGCCCAAGCTTTTTTTTTCCTGCTCCCTCCTTCCAGCGCCTGGCTGCGCACACCGAAGGTGCCCGCGTGGTGTATGTGAGCATCTGCAGCAAGGAGGCCTGCCGAGGGAAACACGTGAGAGGACGAGCGCGACGCGTGCTTTCTTGCTGCTTCCACAACCACCGCTGCCTTCACACCTCTCTCTCTCTCTACGCGCCCTCCCCTCCTTTCGATTCTCGAACCTTCTGCCCCCGCACCAGCTCATCTGTCGGCTTTCGGCCCCTCGCCAGCACCGCGTCCACGTTCCTTCCTCTCGCATCCTTCTCGCCAAAGCTCTCTTGTCTGCCGACCTCCCACCCAGACCTCCTGGCCATCACCGAAAGCGATGTTCTCCACCTTTTTTCTCCCTGCTCGGCACGCCCAGAGACTGCTGATAGCAGGCCGCGGCAATATCTTTCTGCTTGGCCTGTCTGTACAACATGCGGGTGTAGGCTTAGGAGAACGCCTGTATGCTCTCTCTTCCCATAGCTCCCCTCCCTGCTGTTTATATGCTTCCCTCCACAGCGCCTGCGCATGCCTGCCACCGAGATCTGCTCACACAGTCACGCACCCTCTTTCGAGATCTGGGACCGCGACCACAGTGCCAACCCTAGAAATATGAGCGAGTATGGCGTCCGCGCCGCTACACTAGCGTCTGCGCACAAGGCAATCTAGGAGAATGCTTTCCATGCTGCCGATATTGGTGGCCAGGGCGCCCAGCGCATGTTCAACAAGCTTCAAGGTGAGAATTGCCGCCGGCCCTCTCGCCGATCCCTACCAGCCTCTCTATACCGGGGCACTGAAGCTAATTTTTTTTTGCGCCCAGCCCGCTGCTATCCGAATCACCTGGCAGTTACTCGAGATCTGAACGAGGTGGTTGCCAATGCGTCTCCAGAAGATGCTACATTTGTCTTTATCTCTTATACGTATATTCGTTATCTTGGCATGAATTATTTATGCTAATAGGAAATGGCAAGCAGTGGCTGAAGTGGTTCACTATGTCGCCTTCTTAGGATGCGATGAGATAAGCGAAGAGGCTTATGATAAGATTCTCACTCTCCTCTATTCTCATTGTCTGGCGGAGATTGCGGCGCTGAGGGATGCAGCTGCGGCGAAGAGGGAGGAGGACAAGAACAGGGATGATAATAAGGACGAGGACAAGGGTGAGGATAAGGGCAACGATCAGGGCGACGGCGAGGAAGATGCTGTTCAGCATCTGGCTCTCTAGACAACTGTCTCTTCGCTTTGACCCTGCCGTAAGAGCGGATAGTTAACGGAGGCTCTTAAGAGCCAGTATGCAAGCGCAAGATAAACTCTTCTCCCCCTGCGAGGCTTCTCTTCTAGCGGACAAGAATGCCCAGGGCATCAATTCATCTCCACTATCTATCGTCTTTCCATCTGCGTGATATCCGTCCTTGCATAGACCGCTTCCGGGCTTCGGAAAAGCTGCACGAGCGCTGATATGAGAGGTTCTCAGGGCACCCAAGCTCCCGGCGCCCTCCAGCTCTTTCTGTCTCTCCGCCCCCCTGCTTACCCATGCTCTCTCGTCTATAGACCTCCCTCATGCCTGCGCGCCCTGCCTGTCCTCAACGGCCTCTCATCCAGCCTTTTGGCCTTTTGCTTCATCAATCAACAGGCAGCTGCGTCTTCCTCCTGCCAGCAAGCCAGTAGACCAGCCAGCCGGCCGCATCGCGCGGCGGCGTCGTCGACAGACCTTACGTGCCTGGCCATCACCAGAAGCGATACTCTGCACCTTCCTCCCGGCGCAGAACTCCAGGTGGCCGCCGACAGTAGGCCGCAATGTCTTTCTGCCCGGGCCGTCTGCGCGCCTTTCAGGCGAAGGCTTCTGAGGACACCAGTATGCGCCCCCCGCCCCCCCCCCCCGACCCAGTCTTCGTAGGCTCCTCGCCGCAGCGCCTGCTCATACCTGCCGCCGATATCTGCTGACACAGTCGCGCACCTGCACCTTCAAAAACCAGACCACCCTCTCGACCACTGGGTCTGCGCCCATATCGCCTCGCCTGGAGACACAACGGAGAATGGCATTCACACCCTCGAACCAGCGCTTATGCATATAGCAATATAGGATGCTGCGGCCAATGCTGCTGACAGCGTTCCACGCAAGTCAAGTCAAGTCAAGTGGTAGCCTACCACTTGACTTGCTAGCAATTTTGGCCGCTTGCTTGTCTTGCAATGCTTCACCACTTGTTTCGCTTGATTCTAAAAGCGCTTTACCTCCTTAGGCTTAGACCCACCTCTCAAAATGATTATATAAGCACAAAAATCCGCTTATCTCAGCAAAATGATTTTTCGTTATGTCAACTTAGGGTTAGGGTTGAAACATTCCTATAAAAATGAAGCAAAATATTGAAAAAAAAGTGGGGTAAACTGAGCCTATAAGGATCCACAACAGGACTTGGGCAACTTGTTCGCTTGCAAGCCACTTGCTTAAATATGCCGCTTATTTAGCTTGAACAGCACCTCGAAACCGTCAACTTCACTTGTCAAGCGACTTGATTCCGCTTAACTTGTGTGGAACGCTGTTTCTGGTTCCTGTACCGTGACGCCCTCCTGGCCAGACGGTTGAGATGTCGGCATCATCCCCTTTTTCTTCTTGTTCGCACCTGACTGACTTGCTCCGGCCATGGCCGGCTGGGGGGAAGACTCATGCGCCCTCTTCCTGTTCATGTCGTGTGAGCTCGTGATGGAAGGGCCGCCCGACCGCCGTCCCCGTCTCGCCCTGGACGTCTCCCCGCTGCTGCTCTGGTGCTGCTCGTCCTCCAGGACAGGCTCCTCCGCCACCGCGGTCTGTTCCCAGGCCGCCGGGTCGGCCAGAGCTTCCTCGGCCGTCGGGCGGCCCGAGGGCTCCCATGCGACCATAGAGCGGAGGAGGGCCTTGAGGCTGTCGGGGATCCGCCCCTGGAGGCCGGCGGCAAGGCTCTCGAGGACCCTTGTGTGGTGATCCCTGGACAGAGCTCTTGCGCCGACCCACGGCAGGAAGGTGGCTACTATGGAGAGGCCCAGGCTGAAGATGTCGATGGCGTTCGTATATTTTTCCTGATGCCCGACTTCTGGTGCCGTGAAGCTCAGGGGCCCGAGGGCCGCCTTGGTGCCCCAGAGAGCCTTCTTAGCCTTGCCGAAGTCGCAGATAGCAGCTGCGGAGGCGGAAGGAGCCCGGCATGAGAAGATCAGCAGATTCTGAGGGCTGATGTCGCGGTGCATAATGCCCATGCCGTGCAGGTTCTTGAGGCCCTCGAGCACCTGGCGATACAGAACCAGCCTCGTAGGCAGATCGATCTCGTGCCACGGCGCACTGGCAAACGTGAAGGGCGCATACGGCATCAGGAGGTGCACATCCTCGAATACAGCCTGCGAACAGGGGAACGGGTGGCCATGCTCGCACCACGAGGGTTCTCGATACCAGCTCGGACTGCGCCAAAGGCCCCCTTAGAGATGATATGATGAAGAATGATATTCCCCATATCGAGCTGTGTTGGCCTGGGCAATACGTCGAGACAGCCGTACTCCTGAACACGGCGGTGGTGATCCCAGCCCTGATACTGCCTCCGCATATAGTTCTCGAGATGGGTCGAATAGGTTATCTCGTCCCTAACCGAGAACTCGAGCACAAAGTCCAGCGGGCCAATGCGGAGGCGGTTGGTGTTCTTATGAAGAACATATCCGTCATTATACTGCAGCTCAACATCTTGGCTACCGTTGGCCTGCAGGTATACAATCGAGTGGTGCTGGCTAGCGTTCCACAACAACAAGGCTCCGGACTGCGGATGGATCGAGAGCTTGCAGATCTTCCATCCTTTCAGGTGACGCGACCTGGATGAGCAGATGGGCAGGTTGATCTTACTGCTCTGTTTCAGCTTCCCGACCACCCAGCCACGATCCAAGCTGGAACCTCGGGCGTCGAACGAGAGCACAAGCTGGTATTTAGACTGGGCAGCGCGGTCGGTGGGCTTTGTAGGGCTATCGGCCTGGGCGACAGCGACGAGATGGACAGGAGACTCGGGAGGCTGGCTGTCGACGAGGGACGCCAGGCATTTCTGGGCTGCCTTGTTCTCCGGGGTCAGCGTTGCGAAGCGAGGGGGGGGTAAAGACATGGTAGTTTTGATGATAATGATGATGATAATGGCTATGATAATAATAAACAGTGTTGATAATAACCAATGTTGACAATGTTCATGGGAAAATGCGAGCGCAGGCTGGCGTAACCAGAAGAACATCAGCCAGCTTATCACCAGCGCATTGTTTTGAAGCGGGGTGCAGTGGCCCACTCTTTAGGCAGCAGTAGGCCATCAGCCCCCTCTTCTGATAACCTCCCCACAACACCACGCATCCACGCATCCTCTTCCCGACAACAACATCATCCCATTCCCATCAACATCATCAAATTCACATCAACATCATCAAGTTGCATCAACATCATCAAGTTGCATCAACATCATCAAGTTGCATCAACATCATCACATTTGCATCCACTGCATCCACACCACACACATACACATATACACACACACACACACACATACACACAACCGCCATCATGTCGGAGGGGTTTTGTTCTCCCAAACGCCCAGACGAGACGGAGGACGAGTACGACGAGAGGTGGAAAAATAGCCGAGACGAATGGCGTCGGAATTTTGTCAACGACTACTATGCAAGGAAGGAAGCACGGATACCGTCACCCCAGAGCGAGAGTGATCTGGACGATGAAGACATGGCCCACGAGGTCAAGCTGGTCGAACAAGATATACTGGTTGACGCAGGGCTTGCAACGATAAACGATCTCATGAACCCCGCTGTATACCCCCAAATCCCCTTCGAAATCTTGGGCAAATCCCTGAGCGAGGTTGACCCCCGTGAGCGGCTGTGGTCCAGCGGCCCTTTTGCTCCCTACGACAGATCGCCGTCCCCCGTGCTAGCGAACAGCCAGCCTGCCGAGGAGGACGCCGCTCCCGACCAGCCGCCGCCGCCGCCTGCCCACAACAGAGGGGGGATACTGGAGCATAAGCGCAAGAGGGGTTCAGAAGAGGAGGGGGACGGCGATGATAAGGCGCCACCGCTCGCGATATCCGAGGAACAACCAGGCCCCCAGAAGAGGAAGAGGCGGAGGATAACGACGGGGAAGGAGACAGCGCCCCAGCCGCCGGCGGCCGAGACCGGAGGGACAAGGGGTTACAAGCGCAAGAGGGGTTCAGAGGAGGGGGACGACCACGCTGCGCCGCCGCCGCCGCCCGCCACCGCCCCTGCGGGACAACCAGGCCCCCAGAAGAGGCGGAGGATGATGATGGGGAAGGAGATACAGCCCCAGCCCCAGCCCCAGCCGCAGCCGCCGGCTGGTACAGCGTCTGGTAGTAAGAGGAAAAGGCGACCCGACACGGCCTGTGAGGCCCCCCAGCCGGTGCCGGACGGACCAGAGGCCAAGAAGAGGAAGGTGGTCGCCCGGGAGGAGGAGGAGGAGGAGGAGAGGACGACAGCTGCAGACGCCGCCAGCAGCAAGAGGGACCGCAGCACCCTCACGAGACAACAGAGCAGCCGGGCGAGGCCTGCTGCCCCCCGAGAGAGCCCACAGCGGCGCGTGCAGCCTCCCCCCCCCCTCCTCCCGACAGCGCCCGCAGCCCGGATCACCCGCGCGCGGCGCCGGCAGCTCTCGGGTGCGGATGCGCAGCTCCTGCAGCTCGGACAGCACGGCCGCGCCGAAACACAGGTGCAGACGATGGCCAGGCCAGGCCGGGAGCTCGGGCAGTCCCGCCGGCATCAAAACCCGAGCAACAGCCGATACCAAGGGGCAGTTTGCTGATAGCAAGCATCTTAATGAGATAGTAGCATTCCTGACAGAATATGGCTTGGGAAGAGGGGGGGGAGGGGGTATAGGGCAAAAGTTGAACAGGCAGATTAGCACAGACCTTGGGAGGGCGTTGTAGAGTTGTCGCGTACCGGTTATCCTGACAGGGTCGGGTGCAGCTGGCGGCGTCTCTCTCTACATGCAGGTCAGCGTCTGGGCGGGGCGGGGCGGGGCGGGCGGGCAGCGTATGCTAGTTATCCTGACAGGGTCGGGTGCAGCTGGTCACGTTTCTTTAGCCCTCCCTGTCCTTGTGTCGCTGCTGCTGTTGCATAGAATGGAGACTTGCAAGGCCTGTGTACCGGTTATCCTGACAGGGTCGGGTGCAGCCGGCGACAGGAGTCTTGCGGGCCCGCGAGCGGGGATGGATGGATGTGATGGCTGTATGTGTTCTGTTAGACCTGGGGTCTTGTTGCCGCTGCTGTTGGATAGAACAGACTTGCGAGGCCTGTGTACCGGTTATCCTGACAGGGTCGGGTGCAGCCGGCGACAGGAGTCTTGCGGGCTCGCGAGCGGGGGTGGGGAAACCGGGGCAGGGCGGGGGATGGGTGTCTTTTTTTTTCTCTTTTTTTTTTTTTGGATCTTGGTATCTGGTAGGTTGCCATCCCGCTGCTAATACTGCCAACACTGCCAACACTGCCAACACTGATAACACTGCCAACACTGCTAACAGTACTAGATATTACGATATAATAATATTTCTAAGCTTTCAAGTATCTCTCTCCAGTTACCCTATAGAGATAAGAATAGCAAGGAATGATATTACACTGCAAATAAAATATGTAATAGTCTAAAGAGTACTTATTTCCCTATCATCGCTATTAACATGGCGAATATCACCCTCTTCATATCAAGAAGAGACTTGCCATACCTGTTTCTAGTTTTAGGCATTATTGACTAAAGCCGCTCAGAGGTTCACTTTCGCCACCCTGCTATTACAACCTTCGCGAACCTCACCAAATTTCTTCTGCAAAATATATTAATCCTCATTGTTATATTGGGTAGTAACAATATCGAATTGTATACCCCATAATCATTATGTCATTGATATTATTTCTATTGGCAGCATACACCCCTGTGAGGGACCAAGTTTTTATGGAGCTCAGCTTCCGTGATGCCCTTGCCCTAGCTTCAGCTGCTGCGCTGTGCTCAGTCTCGTACTGTGAGAGGGCTCAGGTACCATATTCTAGCATCTCCGACCGGGCACGGATGTATCATGTCCTCCACAGGTATACCAGCCTTTCTTCAAGGGCACGGATGAACACATGTGGCCTGATTCCCGGAAGAGATACTGTAACCACTGCTATAAATTATCTGGCGGAGCGGGGGGTTACCGGAATCTTTCCAAGAGCTGTATCTGGCCAGCCTCGGAGGCCTCGTCCCAGTCCTTGATGTGCGTGATGTCAATCCGGCCTCGGGCATCACGGTGCTGTGTCATTGTGTTGGGCGAGGGCGGCGTCATCCAGGGCCAAGAGCTGCCTGATTGAAGTTTTCGCGTCCATAGCTGCATCCTCGGGTTTTTACGGTCGTTGGACGGTTTTGTCCTTGTTTGCCGGCAGCGTGCGCGTGGGCTGGTAGCTCTGAGGAGCGAGCAGGTGAGAAAGTTGGGAGGAGGGAGGGCGACAGCGGATACTTATGGTGTTTTATGCTGGGGTGGGGTGGGGTGTCGCCGTGACATGGATGGGACCTTGTACAGTACAAGCAAGTACCGTTGAAGCATTGAGCCTAGTGCAGTACAGCCCCACAGCGGGGGGGCTATGCTAGCCCACAAAGCCTGAACGGCGTTTACAGCGGGCCCTGAAGAAGGTTTGTTCGCACATCAGTATTGAATTTCAATGTCAAGGTATCTTTCATGTATCTGCGCTATCTACATGTATGTACCTCCGTCTCTCTGCATCTTGATACACGGCAGAGTACTAGGATTCTACGACATCTACACCAAGACCTGTGCTGATTCCCAAATTGTGACACCTCAGCTCGCCGCCTCATCTCTCAGGAAGTCTCGCACCTGGCGGAGATGTTCCTCCTCACCGAGGTCCCGGTTCAAGTGGTTCAGGCTCCGGAGGGCAAGGGGGTTTTGGGGCCAATAATAATGAAGGGGAAGATGATCCTTCGCCGCCATACCGACCCTCAGAACATGGTGATTCTTTGATACATTCATCCATACTGTAGGAAACGAGAAAGGCTGGGGCTCAAGGAGAAATATGTTTCCAGTGTAAACACGTGTTTGCTGCTTGTACTTCGTGTCTAGTTTTTCCAAGCAACTCATTCCTGAATCTGTCCAACTGGATCAGTTAGATCCGTTCCGTGGCCTTTGGCTTGTTTTTGTGACCTGTATGAAAAGATTTTTGGCACTTGTTACGGAGGAATGGAGTAGCTAGCGCACCCACGGGTTTAACGAAAGTCAAGTCCATGCAAGGCTAGTATCGGCAGTCTCATTTCCTTGCTAGTCATCAAAAATCACCCTTAATGTGCCACCCTCCAGCCTTTCCCGGAGATCGCTTTCAGCAGCCCCCAAAGCGTCGTCCACGTACTCCTCCATCTCGGTTCTAAGGACAAGATCGATGCCAAATTCGTCGAATCTCTCCTCAATGAAGTCGTTTATTGTTATGACCCACCCGACATGCGGGTTACGAAACAGGCCCTGCCAACAAAGAACCCAACATTACAGCCCAACACGTGGACGGACCAACTGAGATTACGTAAGCAAGGGTTAGGGTTATGACAGGGATGGATCATTGGATCACCAGGTGATCCAATGAGCCGGATCATCTGGATCATCAGTGAGCCAGGTGAGCCACACTGAAGAGCTGGATATATAAGGACACATTCATTACCATTAGACAGACTACCAGAACATAGCTCTTCAGTCGTCAATCTAAGTATTCATTTGTCACACACCTGAATAGCCCCAAAGGCGAATGACAGCACTTGCACAGATTACTTGTTTATATTTCCGTATTCAGTGATTAACACTTTGACACCGCTCTTGTTAGCATAAACCCTTTGTGTACTTTAGGATCTTCGGATACTGCAGTGCATCATTACATTTATCCTTGCCTGCGCCTCTTCCAGTCGTTCCTCTATAAACTGCTTGAGCTCGTCCATCTGCCTATCCACGCACGTAGCTTCGGCTTCAGCCAGCTGGTCCAGCCTCCGATCTACTTGCGTAATTCTTTGCGCAAGTAGGGCATCTTTCCTCTCTGCTTCCGATATCAGGTTGTTGAGTCGACCAACAAGCGTCTCAAGTTTGTCCGTAGGCAGTCTGTCGTCTTCGGGATTGGACCGCGGTCGCTTCCGAAACGAAGTCCTCGGAGATAATGCCAGCTCGTCATAGGAAGGTGGGCTTGCAGTTGGGCGATCCACAGAAATGACATGGTCAATGCTTTCTGGCGATACAATCTTGCTACCTAGACCTGAAGCATGATACCAAGACTGATAATCAGCAGCATCAGAATCCAGCACCAAACAGTCCTTGTTTGAGGCAGTATTGCAGAGCGCTGAAATTGTTGATTCCGGGATGGCGTTATTTGGCATGTAAACAGTCAAGAAATCGCGTTTGGCAAGGATCTGGTATTTTTGAAGAATATCAGAGTCTGTCATGGTTTTCGGCATCAGGCTGTCGAGGTTCGGAATGATCCATGTCGGAGGCCTGGACAGGGTAAACCGAAGGCATATCGTTTCATTGTGAGACATTTTCCTGTATGTCGAGGCAAGTCTTGGTGGCAACGGCAGCTGATTGTATGCAAGAGTTTTGATTTGTTCCGGGTGGATGGCCAGGTATATGTTGAGCCTCGCAGTGTCGTTACGCTCGGTTGAGGATGGAATGAGAAGGACAACAGAAGCCTGTAGTCTAACAAAGGCGGTACGGGAAGCAGAGTCGAAGGAAAGCGTCATCGTAGCGCGGAATGAGCAGTGAGGATTCCGGTCCTCATTCTCTGGCTGGAGGCGAGCGTAAGGATCTCGTGAGTCCACGACGACGTGCCTCCGCGTTTTGCAAAGGCTGGGAGACGAGGGCGAAGCCATGAGAAGTGTGACTCTGGATCTGAAAGTGGGATTGCCTGTAAGGCGTTAGCCGAATGATCATTTTGAGATCTGTCAATCTTTAAAGTATGTATCCGCTAAACAAGCCCTGTCCACCTGTTATGACCCATCCAACGTGCAGGTCACAGAACAGGCCCCGCCAACAAAAGGCCAGCAGTTACAGCCCAAAGCACGAATACGCCTAGAAAGGATTAGGTAACCAAGAGTTAGGGTTACAGGGTTGGATTACCAGGAGCACAGCTCACCAGGATCACTTGGATCACCAGGAGCACAGCACAAACAAGACAGTGATCCGCACTGAAGAGCAGGATATATAAGGACACGTTCATTACCATTAGATAGACCATCAGAACATAGCTCTTCAGTTGTCAATCTAAGTATTCATTTGTTATACACTTGAATAGCCCCAAAAGCGAATGACAGCACTTGCACGGATTACTTGTTACTTGTTCCGTATTCAGTGGATATCACTTTGACACTGCTCTTGTTAGCATAAACTCTTTGTGTACTTCAGGATCTTCGGATATTGCAGTGCATCATTACACCACCCTCATAGGCTTTCGGCAGCAGTAAAAGGCTAGAGCAGCTTTGATTCCGTGATAGCGGATGGGAGTGGATGAATCGAGGGACGGCACCAGAAAAGACCAGTCGCGAGTCAGCAACACCGTTCTCCCTGCCTTCGGCCTCTCCGAAGAGGAGGATGACCACGCCGCTCCAAAAGCACAGCGCCGTAGCGACGTGTTTCCTCCAGCCTTCGCTGTCAAGAGTCCGAAGAGGAAGATGACACTGTTGATCCCAAAGCCCAGGACAGCCCTGTAGCTTGGCAATGGGAAGACAGCCGACTGGCACCTCTGGTTGCTTACTACAGAAGTGCAATGTAGTATTTTGGCGTCCAAGTAGCGAGAAACAAATGAAGCATAAGAAATGGGAAGAACGTGAACGGGGAGATGAAGGAGATGAAGGAGTTTGCGGGGGACAAACGCTATTTTATGCGGCTGGTGCACGGGCCACCCCCTTTTTCTTCTTAGAGGAACAACCCAACTGTTTTACGTAGCCAGGGTTAGGGTCCTGGGAGAGACCAGTTCCTGGAAGCGGAGGAGCGTCAAAAGTCTAATTCAGACAGCAGCTTATCGATGGCGGAGCAGATCATTTCGAAGTGATCTGGCATCCATGTATCGTTGAATCGATATGCTGCCCACCTCTCCTTGCCCTCCAGCTCCGTGATATCAAATGTGCGGATACGATGGCGGTAATACTTGGTTTCCTTACCATTCGCTCGTTCCCGCATTTTTGGCGCGCGCGCTCAACTTCACTCTCTTCCACGAGTCGCCGTCATCTGCTACAGCCATGTGCTCAGCCGTGCAGAGTCCACGGCATGCGAGGCCACCACCAAAACGCGCTCTTGAAGAAGCCGACCCAGATCGCGCGTCTGACTTCGACAGTAGTGATTTGGCAGGTGCCCCTCCACAAGTGTTAAGCTTCTTGATCGACTTGAGAAATAAACAAAGCAAAAGGCCGGATCACCCAGGCGGGAATCCAACCAAGACAGAGCCCAATCGGCTCGGCGAACTTGTGGACTTATTGACAACAGAGATCCGAGAATCAGTCACCATACACAAAACCCCAGACACAAGCCATCTTTCCGACATTCTTCATAAGCTCCAGAGCCTTGCAGCAAGTCTCGTCTCAGCCCTAGATGACAAACAAGAAGCCTCATTGTCATTTGATCATGATACTGTCCTGATCAGCGGAGATCGCCCAGATCCAAACCAGGAGCAGCTGCTCGAAGATGTTGGGTCAGTTGTCGAAAATGATCAATTTGAGGCTGCGCTGGGAACCCGTTTTGCGCCAATCAATGTTGATTTGCTCTCAGCGAAAGACCGCATGGCCACTTTCCCAGATGTCCTCGAGTCTGGTTTAGAGGGCCTTGAGAGGCGAATCCAACTCGGCATTCATGCCTGGCCTGACAAGAACCTTGCGCAATTCCGGCCTGGCCAGATGGTGACCGCAGGAATCCTCAATGAGCTTTTGTTGATGGATCTACCACTTCGTTATTCCTTGGGGATCCCAGCTACAAGAGCCAAAAAATTGCGAAAGACATGTTCTGGTATTGTATTGACCTACTACGTTGATGTTAGCAACCAGATGTCTACAGTTGAAAGTGAGAAAAATCACTTTGTGATCTCGATCATCAACTTCGAGAACATGATGTTCACGTTCTGGAGAATGAGCAATGAGAAATTCCAAGAGTTAAAAGTTGAGTACGAGGAAGCACTAGACCTTCGTCTTGAAGGATCCAGTCACAACGTGAGCGACATCAATCAGATCTGCCGAAACGCTTACTAATTGCGAGTCTAGCTTGGCAATTACGATGGGAATTGCTGCGTGTTTCGATGTGCCGAAGCTATGCGATCCTATTTTAGCATCGATGCTGGCGTCATACAAGATGAAATCTCTCTGCGCCTATACTTTCTTAAACGACTGATCGAGTCATGGAGTGGAACGACCCACGAGGCTGCCAGCTGTCAAGCACCGAACAGTGACGGATCCCTACCTTCAGACTCTATTGCGCAGGTGACATGGGAGCTTGGTGAAGACTTTGACCCCGATTCTGATATCAACGATCTCGTTACAGCAGCGCAACTCAGCCTCGATTGGGCTCCACATGAGGGTCTCGACATTGTGGAACCGACTGACGGATATCTGCCGCAAACTCCGTTGCCCAGTGAGAGAATAAACAACCAGGCACTTCCCACAACGTCCGGAAATTTTCTGATAAGTTTTTCAGACAGACCAGAGAGGGCCTTAAGGAGACGCCTTTTGGAGACGGATGAGACGGAGATCGAGCTCCCGCGGAAGCGAAAGTCTACGGAAACCCCGTCCGTCATCGATTCCCTCATGACAGCGTTGATCGATGATGGCGCATCCAGGCTAAGACACCATATCCTCACCTTCAACAGAGATTCTCCCAAACTCCCGAACTCTTGGGACGAGAAAATAAGCTGGGAAGAGCAGACTGCTGACATTCTGAAGCTTGCCTCAAAGTGGGAAGAATCGTCAGAAGTTGCTAGCTTAGTGGCTCTGGTATTGAGAGTTTACGGTCTTGACTGTATGGTCGCTATAGCTCGAAGAAATGCCAACATAGCCGAAGGCCAACCGGATCCTCCAATATCGACGACGGTGGCGGCTGAGTACCTGTGGCGAGGTCGTAAAGAAAGACCTACGGATCAGGCAGTTCGGTGGAATTAGTAATATTACCACAATCGAATTTCTACTCGGTCAAGGGGCGCTGGTAGATGATGAGTATGAAAACATGCTCCTAATCCAGAGCAACTTACTGACTTATTTCGATGTAGGCCATATGATCATGTGTGGGACTTTATCACTCACAATAAGTGCACGCTTAGGGAAATCGAGGCTCTCTCGTGCATTACACAAAGAGAAGACAGGTCCTGGTATAAAGAGCAGAACTTCCCCCTCATCCACAAGATCGTCCTAGGCCTATGCCACAAATCACTTGCCTCTGAAATATCGGAGAACCCGAGCTCTGTATTTCTCACAGATGCCAAGGGCCGAACTGCGCTTGACTGGGCTACAGCCCGATCCGATACAGGCCATATGAGGCTATTGATTGATCACGGATCCAGAGTGGATACTATGGATCATACAGGTCGATTTGCGATTCTACATGCAGTTGACAGCCATAGTGTTGATGTGCTTCGCATGCTTCTCGATGCCGGAGCCTCACCGAATCCCCAGGTTCCTGTAATATTCTTCCGCAGCAGCCCTATCACAGCAGCCAGCTTTGGTGGTCTAACCGAAATGGTGAAATTGCTCTGTGGAAAAGGCGCAAACGTTAATGAGGAAAACCCAGAGGGTCGAACAGCGCTGCAGTCGGTAGCTATCAGAGGGCAAGATGCTGAGTGTGCAGCTATCCTGGTTGAAAGTGGCGCTGATATCAACTGCATCTCAAGAAATGGATGGACAGCGCTTACAACGTCCATAACATACAACAACCATGGAATACTGGAGTTCTTCTTGAGCCAGACTGGCAGCATCTCATCGCTCTTGGTTCAGTGGCCCCAATTGGAACAGTACGCAGACTCACAAACGCGGTCTATTGTGCAGTCCGCTTTCGAAAGGAGCATAGTGGAGCAATGATTAGGGCAGGGGTTGATGACGACAGGGTGGTCGGGCATAGGTGGGTTGCCGGGAATGACCGGTCAGTGCGGGGCGCGATATTTAGGAGTTAGCTTGATAAAGCTTTCGCAGTTCCCGTGAGTCGTCTGTTTTTTCATTCTCTCATTGCGCAGTATATGTGATCATTATGTCCGACCAAGAAGCCTGCATACCCCGTGTATTCTTTGTGCGCCATGGTAAGTCTCATATTGATCTTTGTACGAAAATGATTTCAAAATTAACCCATTCTGTTCTCATGTAGGAGAGACTGAATGGGCAAAATCAGGCCGATTTACGGGTGTTACAGACATCGATCTTACTCCAATCGGCGCTGAGCGGATCTCCTCAGCAGCAAAGATTCTTGTGGGCTCTGGCAAGCCACTTGATCCATCCCTTTTAGCAACAGCTTTTGTCAGTCCTAGGAAGAGGGCGACCAGGACCTACGACCTCCTGATGGCTGGTCAGCAGAAGCTGAATGTTGACATCACTCAAGACATTGCTGAATGGAATTATGGAGATTACGAAGGATTGAAGATTGAACAAATCAGAGAGCGGAGAAAAAAGAAAGGCCTAGATCTGGAATCGCCGTGGGACATCTGGAAAGACGGGTGTGAGAAAGGGGAGTAAGTAATATCTCGGGTTTTCGACCAATCCTCTCTGTATTATAAACTGATATCCAAGTAGCTAGAATTAAGCATTAACATTTAGATACTAGATAGACCATTGAACCAGGCTGCGTCAGGTAGCAGGTACAAAAAAGTTTGTCCGAAGGCTGCACGCTCTTCTTCCAATGCACAAGAGGAGTGGCAATGAAGTATACATACCATTGTATTTTCTAGAGTAATTCAGGAATATCAGGTTACCGGTAATCCAGGATAATCAAGGTTACCAGAACCTTGATCTGGCTGGATTACTAGTAACTTTGGACAACTGGATTACTGGTCACTTTGATGCAACTGGATTACTGGTCACTTTGATGCAACTGGATTACTGGTAACTTTGATGCAGCTGGATTACTGGTAACTTTGATGCAGCTAGATTACTGGTAACCTTGGACACCTGGATTACTAGTAACCTTGGACAACTGGATTACTAGTAACCTTGGACAACTGGATTACTAGTAACTTTGATGCAGCTAGATTACTGGTAACGACCGTATTGATGCGCTCAACGCGATGGAGGGGGTTTGGGCTTTTTGCTCTTGCTGGTTGAGTCCTTAGTCGGTGGTGGGCGAGATTTCGCCGCTTCGGAGGCTCGCCTCCGGCTTTCTTCCAAAAGAGTGTCCAATGATTCGCGAATCTCCTTCAAACGCTGGTCCTTTCCCCAGTCGATGATATTCTTGACGTGCTTGCGGAATTCGATATAATGCTCTGGGTCCTGGAGCAAGAAGCTCTTCACTTTCTGCATATAGTAGTCCAGTTCGTTATGCTTCCATGAGACATAGAGTCGTGCTTCAGTACCGTTCATGGCGATGCTAAATGCGGTGCTATTAACTGGTTTGACCTTGCTGCTCTTGCTTTCCCTTAATTGACGATTAAGGCGTTCAGCGATGTTGATGCATGATGCGGAGTCTCCGAGGCATTGGTTCGTTGCTACCCAGAGATCTTCACCATTGCCTTTGAATTCGATGACGAAGAATGGGTACATCAGGCTCTGATTGTTAGCTGTTCCATTCATTTTGTTTCCCATCGAGATGAGCTGCATCTGCTGATTAGGGAATGCATGATGATGACTATACCCGTACAGCATATCGGGGATTGGGTTGCTGATCTTGAACTGTGATCTGGCGTTGGGGACAGCATGCCTAGACATCGGCTGTCTGTCGGAGCGCTCCAGGCTGTTTCCATAGCTTGGTTGGGGAAATATCCTATCTCGGAAGTAGTCTTCCACTCTTGGTTCGTCAAGCCCTCTCATTTCGAGTTCGCCCAGGGCCCTATCGTGGTATATGTCATCGAGCTAGGGTCCAGGGGACTCGCGGTTCCTGCGTGCGTAATCGACGATGTTGGCAACGTGTTCGGGAAGTTGTTCGTCGCGGTGGCGCATGTGGACATGGTTGGCAGCCAAGTTCTGGTCTCGGTAATATGGGTCTTCAACGAGGGCTCTTGATAATCGGCTTGAGCCAGAGTCTGACGGGGCAATTGATCTGTTGGATGGATCAGGTGTTGGTGGTATAGCATAATCATCGGCATCCCATGCGTAGGCCATCTCTGGTGCTGATCTCATAAGGTCCCTTGAGATGGGGTCATCACTCGAGTGGTGAAGGTAGCTGTCTGACCGGCAGCGTCTTTCTCGGTCTGATCCGACAGACTCGAGCCACTCGGAAATTGTATCTGTCGGACTGCCATGATCTTCGAGAAACGAGGCTCTAGGGCGCTTCGGCGCTGGTTGCTGTAGGTTCGTCTTGGATAATCGTACTCGTTTCGCGGCGGGTAATGAAGGGGTCTCGAGACTCGTGTCGAGCCGCCTTTTCGTGGACTGCGAAGGTTCGTCCATGATGAAGAAGAGAGAGATTTGTAGTGCTTGGGCTGGCCGACTGAATGGGTCTAATATGCAACGCTCCTTGTCGCGGGAATTGTTTCCGGTGAGGATGCGATGAAATCTTCAGGCAGCAGGTTGGGGGCGGCTACCAATGATCGCCCTGTGGGGTTGCTCTCATCAACCGTCCAATAGAATTGCAGAATTAGCGCCGCACACCGTTTTTTAGTGCTCTCTTCTGCCTAGTGGGTTTTGCCAGCTGTGCCCGTGGTGGTCAGGGTTCCAAAAGCGAAATATGAAAAATGGGGTGGATCTGCATCGATCGTGGTAGTGACAGTTCGTAATTAGTGTCTGAAATCTTTCGCTTAACTTTGAATGGTTCAATCTGTTTGTAGTCAAGTTTGTCGCTTGGTCGCTTTGTTTTGATGTTTTTGCAAGCGAGGTAGACTTTATCTCCCTCCTTGAAGAATGGTCAGCGTATCTTGTCATGCGTCGCTGGATGAATTGGAGGTCTGTTTTGAGTTCTTCATGCAGCTGTTTGAGTTGTTCGGCCTCTTTCGTGGCATCCTTTGCTTCCCTGGCTTCGCCGTATACCGTAGGTGTGTAACCATAGTTGACATACATTGGTGTTTTCTTCGTAGATTCGTTGTATGCACTATTGTATGCAAATTGCGCTAACGGCAAGAGCTGTACCCAGTCGTTTTGCGGGTAGTTAACACAGCATCGGAGGTACTGTTCCAGTGTCTGGTTCGTTCTTTCTGTCTGTCCGTCCGTCTGAGGGCGAAATGCTGTGGATAGACGATGTCGTACTCCGAGTTGTGCTGTAAGGGCTTGCCAAAAGTGACTGGTGAAGAGCTTGTGTGCGAGACCAGTGAGTCACTGGCCCAGGGCCGTGCACGGCCCCTCCAGCCAGCCAACAGCCAGACCTGTTTATAGCCTCAGATAGCTGGCCTCGTGGCGTTTCTCTTCCTTTCTCTTTTCTCTTCAGCGCTCAGCAATGCAATCTTTTTGCCCTCACACAGAGGAAATCCCAGCAAAACCCCTTGGAAGCTTCAGCGCCACTATGAGCGCCAGCGCCACACACCTTGTCTGCATTTTGCAAGTCTTCTCAGTCAGCTACCCATCTTAAACCATTTGTGGAGCAGCGTACTACGCCCAGGCTGAGTGATGTGACATGTCGCTGCCAGTGAGGAGGCCTTACCGATCCCACGTCCCGGAACGAACTCACTGTCGCTGCACCCCGTAAACCGCTACTAGGCCTGCTTATCAGGGGCATGCTGTGGACCAAGTAGCTTATGCATCAGGGCTGGGCGCTTTTACGTATCAAACTCAGCTTGTGTACAGAGTCTGATTTACATTACAGGATGTTTAGAAAGGCAGCTTATGCATACAGCAGCATCTTCATCGTAAGGCGGCCGAGGCAATCGATCAGAAGTTACAAGCACTATGGGCAGTACCTGTCGTGCGAGGCATGACTGAGGTAGGGCGTACAACATACTTTCGGAGAAAGATGAATGAGTCCGTGGCTGAGGATCAGTCATCGCAGTGCACATGCTTAAGAAAATTTCTTCCTCTTCCCAGTCTGTAGTATTCAGGTGCGATTCGCGTGTCAGATGCGGTCTAGGTTGGCTCTACGTTCCACTCAAACCCCGTGATATTGGCCAAAAACATTGGATTGGAGCTGGTGACATGAGTAGAAGCTCTAACATCGAGAGTCACTGCTCTGATTGAAAGAACCATTCTCAAGGTCAAAAAGAGTGACAGCGACCCTATTCTATGCATCCTCCACACAGTGACAGGTGGGCAGGGTACATAGCATTACCAAAATACGCAGTTTCAGACGCAACAGGCTTCCAGAGGCATATGCTGCATACTCGCAGTGATGCATGGTGTATTTGCGAAGCTGGAGGGGGGCGGAGTTATCGCATCCAGTTTTGCAACAAGACCTCGGTTGCGATTTCTATTAGTCAGCAGCTTGCTTACATCACATTTGAGTTTAGCCGATGATTTGCCGGGAAAATAATGTGACCTTTCCACATGCTGACAGATGGACCAACTGATTCCGCGCTTTCACCGCCTCACTTTCCCCCAGACAGCCTCATGACCTGACTTGCATTCAAGATATTGCATACACGCATCAAGCCATGTTGACGCTTACGAAACATTTGAGTGGTCAAACGCATTCTGGCTTTTTTTGAATCCTGTCCTGCGACGCCTCCAACGGCCAAGTGCTTGCGAAGACCCACGGCCTTTACCCTCTTTACCCCGCCACCAGTCACGACAGCTTTCTTCGTCAAGCTCTATCCACAAGGGCACCCGCCTTTTGCCCTCGCAGCACTCCGTCGTTTTCTTCCTGTTCGTACATTTTGCAGAAGATGATGGTTGGAGAAGAGGTGACGACGTTGAACAAAACGGAGATCCTGAAAAAGGCTGCCAGTTGGAAAACTCGGGCACCTGCGACCGTACTGATCGCAAATACGTCAGAAAATGAATCCAATCCGGTGCTTCCTCCCAGACTATGTTGCAGCTCTTTCTGATATGAGTGACGCTGCCTCGTAGATGCCAGAAGATGGACGTTGCGTAGTTTTGGCATCCAGCTTCGAACAGGTTTGCTAAGAGGGAAACTGGCATGACGAAGCCATGGCCTGTGACCTTGTTAGCATTGCAAGAGTATGGGAACCAAAGGATCTGTTCGAGCTTGCCCTGAGCATTGTACCCTATTTCTTCGAAAGCGTCCTGAGTAAACCGAATATAGAAGCCCGTGGCGCCAGACCCGATCTTCTGTGAGCAGTAGTGTTCTGTATGTGACGAATGCCGGGAGAATTTAACGTCTTGCCCTGATTGTTTAATCAGATCCGCGAACGTTTGAACGGGGTAAACTGCCACATAGCATCGGGAAAGAGTCGCTGTTATGATTTTGCGCCGGGCCTCCAGACTCAGTGCAGTGGCGTCACCAGGCTTTCCCTGGCAACCCATATCCATACCTCGAATTCGGCTTGTTTCTGCTGGTGAAGCTTCGTCTGCTAGCTGCGTCTTTCGGCTGCTCTCGGCTTTTTGATCGGGCGCATTTGCAATTGTTGTAGCGTTTTTAGCTGTGACTGTGTCTGACTCGGAGTCTACGGTGTTCTCTACTTCAGCAGCTCCTGGTTCTTCGACCCTGGTTGGCGGACAATTCGCAGATGTGGTGCCCTGATGATCGCATTGGACCGCGATACACTGTCTCTTTGGTTCGGGGACTGGAGTATTGGTTGCAGTGTCGGTTTCTCGCTTTCGAGGATTCACATGCACACCTCGTATCTCTCGGAGGTCCATCAGTGTCTGGATGTCTCGTTTAGTCATTTAAACGTACCACAGTAGAGCTGCAATCCCAGATCTGGACTTGTCTTGCTCCATTCTCTTAAACTGTCTGACCACGACGACGGAAGCTCTTCGCTTTCCAGCGACTCCTTGGCTTTCTCAAAGAGAGAAGCGTTCCGGGCGAGGACGCGTGCACCATCGCGGCCATCTAGATAACCAATTGAGAGTGCACACTTTCATTAACTCGAGTCGTCTCGCCCTTGTTCAAGAAAGTTTCCTAAGCCGTAATATCGGCAGAGCCCAGCCCCAAAACACGAAATCTTGGGACCGTGTCAGGGATCATGCCACCATCCAGCGCACAATTCCACTTCCGGCCTCGAACTCGGTTCACAGAAAACATATGAGGGCGGTCGCAGGCCTAATAATCTGTGCCAGAGCACTTGCCACATATCTCTTTCCGACCAACATACCTCTCCATGGGCTCCGACGTTGAAGAAGTTGCTACACGCGCTAGCTGCGGTGAAGCCATCGCAGGAGATGTTTGTTCGCGCCGTGCTCTATGAAGTACTCCCCGCGCAACAGAAAACGCGTGGAGACAGATGCTCCGAACTTGTGGTAAGCGGGCGGCTGTTATGGAACTCAGTGCGAGACCTTGTGCCAGGGTGATGGCAATGGTATCGCACGCGTCCCCTTCTTTTGGTTTCCTATCCATCGCGCTTGTAGGTCGGGTAGATGTATTGAGACATACAGCCGACAGGACACAGAGATTCTACGCGAAGGACAAAAAAAACGAGAGATACTGTTACTTTGTTGTTTGGAGAATTCTTCGAGACGTTGTCGAGTTGAGCGCCGTTGAGACGTTTCGAACGTGCTACGTGGCACTAGCACGACCCACCGCGTGGCGACTCTACGCACGTCACGACGCGATGAACCTCGAGCCAGATTCGACGTCCATCACCGTTGCGAGGGATGTGGTGGCAGCGAGCGACGAGGACCTGCTATCACGAAGGGTGCGAAAACCAATCCGCGAAAGCTCGACTGAACCAGGCGCATACCCAAGAAACAACCGAAGATGCGATCGAGTGAGAGACCGAGACTGCTGGCGGTGGCCGGCGGGCGACCATTACTCGAGCCGCAACCCTGGCCAAGGAACGCCTGAAGCCCGCCCGTTGAGGATGACGATAAAGCGCTGCTCCTGACAATGGGCAAGCAGATCAAAGAGCTACACGCGGCGGTCAAGATCATGTTCGACGCGTGGAAGAAATCGGAAACATGGAACAAGGGGCGTCGAGGCAGAGCTTCGCGTAGTTACGTCGGAACTGCAAACGGTCAAGAACGAGCTGCAGGCCGTCGGAAGAGAGCTGCAAGCGATGAAGGAACGCGTGGAGGTGAAGACTAGTAATAGATGGGGAAAGGAGCTTGTGGGAAAGGAGCTTGTAGGCGAAGAGACTGGAAGGTGCGGCCTTTGTTGCTCAGCAAACCACACTTGGTGCGCAACTGCCATGGTTGTAATAGCTACCAGGTTGAGGGCCTGCTTGCTGCATTGCTACAGCCGATGGTTGATTTCGTTACCTGGCTGGCTTGTTTTTTTTGCCTCGAATGTCAAGTCACCAGGAAGGAAGCTCTATCCTCGCAAATGAGACGAGGAAAAAGAAAACGAAGAAAATGACTGAATTATCAGATCAACTTGCTCCTAGGCAATAATTAATACCTATACTATACATTATCCGCCCGCTGTAACTTCAGCATCCTGCTGTGCGTCTTGAAGTATCTTCTTCATTGAGGAATAGAGCTTAGGCTCCGGTCTTTTCCGTCTTTCACCACCTGGGAATACCCCTCTGCGCAGCCTATTGACCCATGGAATCAATGGCTGGTAGTATGAACTAAAGTTCTCTTCCACGATCTTGAGAAAGATACTCTCATCGCCTATCGTACCAACTTTTGATCGAACCAGTTTGTTATCACTCTCGTAATTCCAACTGTCGAACTCAGTTGGCCCGATATCCTCACCATTCGCATCATAGTGGATGCATATCCAGAAGAGCACCCAGAAGAATGACTCGAGGTCGTGCATGAAAGAATGCTGCTCGCCCAGAAGCGTCCCGATTGCCATGAATGCCCTCGTGCCGGTCTTGCTCTTTGCTCCAGAGGCGCCCTCTCGTTGCTCTCTGATGGCGAGGTCCAGATCAATCAAGAACGAAGGCCAGGAGGGGTTGTTGTCGTCCTCGTTAATCATGAGATTGTTGATGGAGATATCTCTGTGGAGGAAGCTGGCCTTGCGCCGCAAGGACTCATGTCCTTCAATGCAGCTTTCCAACGCAGCAAGCAGGGCCGATCGGGAGCTTGCCTTGTAGATAGGCTTTCCATAGTCACGAAGAATAATACGTCGATGCACCCGGTTTGATAGTGCATCGCCGCCAGCCTTCGTTGGAAATGCCGAACGGGATCGCTTGCTGGGGGGCAGAGGGGCGCTAATCTGACTGGATGGTCGCTTTTTGCTAGTAGCGCGGCTGCTGCTGCGCCTCCGTAAAGCCCCAGACGCGATTATACTCGGCGGCGGCGGCATCGAGCGTTCCGGCTGGTAGTTCGTAGCTGTGGTAACATCTAGTCCTCTGCGAACGTTTCTTCGAATATCATCATCCATGCCGTGTACTTGAACTGTCTCGTGATAGTAATATCGAGCCACGTTGACAACGCCTTGATCAGTTGCCTCGCGTAACAATTCGCCCTCCTCATCGCGCTCGGGGTATTGCCATGAGTCTTTGATAACGAGCAGTATCTGTGGGTGTCCTTCGCGATGGGCTTTCCAGCAAGTTGTAGCCCGGCCAGCTATGCAACGTGCGCGTAACATCACCTTATCAATGATAAGGCGCTCTGTTGAACCATTCCGCTTGATCTCAATGAATCGCTTATCATTTGCTGTTATGATTGTCGGGTCGAAGCCAAGCTCCTCCTTGCTCATCCAGAGGAACCCAAGGATTGTGGATACAAACTGCAGCCCATCTTTGTTGATATCGAATTGTTCGGATGCAATCCCTCCAAGCCGGTCAAACTCCCATATCCTCATGAGAGATCCACAAATGGTAAAGCCCAAGACGAAGCGACGGGTATCTTGAGCAGCAAGCACTTCTCTCGCATACGTCCCAAGATCAAGCCATGCCTTTGATGCTTTGTCAGCCGATGGATTGCTCTTCAACTCGCCCGGTACGAGGATATGCGACCAGTGACATCGAGAGTCTTTCCCAGCCTTAGGGTTGTCCACGAAGCCGACGTCCAACTTGCGTTCTGCTGTAGAACCCTGGATCGGCTTGTTGGGTTGTGCCAGTGGCCTTCGTCGATTTGTTGGGGCTAACTTGCATTCTTCTGCTAATATCGCCAGTTTCTCGTTCAATTCCGCAAACCAGCTCAAGACACCGTTCTGATTTGCATCTCTCGGCCATCCGCTCCACCCATTACTGAAGAGTGGTTCGCTGCCTTCCGTGCACTTTTTAAAGACAGCCTCGGATGCTGTCTTAAGACCTGCCACCCGTCCAAAAAAAGCCTCATGGAATTGAGGAAGCCCGACGTACAAAGCGCCGAGTTCATTCCTAAGGACTCTGTCCACATCATCGCGATACTCGGAGGAGTTCGCGAAGCTGCTCGTGTTGTGCAGCCATGGGGTTTGTTGCAAGGAAGAGGCTATCGGTCGGGGAGGCGGGGTGGATTCGGTAACGGCATTGTAGAGTTGGTTCCAGATGAGCGCATCATCAGGATCATCGGCGAGGGCTGCCTTTAGGAGAGGCTTGATGCGGTTGAAGTCGAAGTTGTCGGAATTGACAGCAGAGATCAGTTTGAGGAGATCGTTGCGAAGGGTGCCATGGCCTGTCTTTGATCGCAGGAAACGAATCGTGGGGAGGTTGGGTAGAGCGAATAGAAGATCGAGGACGACATTCTGGAGATCTGAATAATGGTCAGAGGAGCGTACTGGAACGGTAGTAGGATGTCTTTTCGTACCATCTTGGCTAAGCTGCTCTAACGCGTCCGGAGTGCAGGAGACACTCGCGCCTTCGCAGATCGAACTGAATGAAGCGCGGAAGGCATCAAGGCCTTTCCCAATAGGATTGCTTTCGATGATCTTTGACTGAGATTGATCCGCCATCATGAATGTGCGGAGCCACGGTGTTAGTTGGGAGGGAAGAGGCTATGTGGTTGAGTCGAGGTTGAGGTTAAGGTCGAGGTTGTCGGTCACGAAACAAGCCCTGTCAACAAAGGAACCAAGGTGTCAGGAGACAACCAACAAGGATTACGTAAGCAAGGGTTAGGGTTAGGATCACCAACCTGGTCAGAAGTGAGCCACTCGCTGGATCACGGTGAGCCAGACCAAGTGATCCAGGTGAGCCACGACGAAGAGCTGAATATATAAGAACACATTCATTACCATTAGATAGACTACTAGACATGGCTCTTCAGTCATCAATCTAAATATTCATTTGTCATATACTTGAATAGCCCCAAAAGCAGTAAAGCACTCACACAGTTTTGTTCAGCTATATTTCCGTATTCAGGGATTGACACTTCGACACCGCTCTTGTTAGCATAAACCCCTTTGTGTACTTCAGAATCTTCGGATTACGGCAAGTGCTCATTACACTGTGACGATGAGTGGCCGATCTGGCTCAGGGGTTCTTTTTTTTATATTTTTTTTTTAATTTTTTTTTTTAAAAAAAGAAAAAAAGATTGGCTGTTACTTTGGTAATTACTGTGACATGTGATGATCTGAAGGCCTTACAAAAGATTACGGCATGAAATATATTATAGAGTCCACGTACTTACTACTTGAATAGGAGTAATATACAAGACAGAGAATGGATAGTGCTTTGTGTTTGTATTCTGTCGACAAGGCAGTTACAGCAAAACTGGAAAAGCTAGAGTGTGAATCTGCAGATGGATTTGCTGAGTGGAGGTGTGTGCTCCTTGCTCCTTGGTCTACTTAGGTTTTTACCTCTGGTTGGCCATACAGAAAGGGGGTCCTTGTTTTCTATCTTCTCTACCATGACACCGTACTTAGCCAGGCCCAAACCTAACCTCAACAAGCCAAAGGGGGGGGGGGGGGGGGCCGCGCGAGCGTCTATGTATGTATGTATGTATGTGTGTATGTGTAAGTAAGAAGCATCCACACCCCCGCCAGTGTCCCTAGCACGCCAGTGTCCCTAGCACCCTCCCTTCCATTCCGTTTGTCTCTATCTTTCCTTTCAGCCCTCAAAGAGGTCGTGCTGAAGTTCCACACCCATATCCCTGGCCATGCTCCTCATGCTGTTCTCGATCTCGTCCTCCATCCCGAGGCCCAGGCCCAGCCACTGGCGGAGACGAAAGAAATAAAAGGCGACGTCAGTACCCCACAGGACGGCGCGGAAGACGAGGTGGCGCCAGCGAGCGGCAAGAGTGTGGCGCAAGGTCACGACAAGACCACCAGTAGTGCTACCACCAGAACCAGCAGCAGCAGCATCAACAGGGCCCGGGTCGGCAGACAGGCTGGCGCTGGCCCAGTAGCCCATGATCTTGACGCGGTTGACGGGGCTGCCCATGTACTGGTTGTTTCCCTGGACGATGCGCATGTTGCGGCCGATGAAGAGAAGTTCCTTGGGCCATTTGTCCTCATCGGCAAGGATCTCGCGGATGCCTTGCTTCATGCGCTTCTGCAACTCGTAGTGCCTCTCGGCGGCCGTCGTCGTCGTCGTCGTCGTCGTCGTCGTCGTCGTCGTCGTCGTCGTCTTGTCGCCGGCCTGGAGGAGTCCCTTTCTGGTCTCCTGCGAGCCGCCCTCGTAGGGGCGCATGAGGGTGGCGCTGGCGAACAGGTCCGGGGCGCGGATCCCCCACTCGGCAGTGACGCGGGTGATGGCGGCGTTGTCAAAGGTGAGGAGGCCCGTCCAGAAATCGGCGTACTGGCGGCGGAACTGCGGGCTGAGGCGCACATACAGGCCGTGGTCAATGAGGACGAGCTCGGCGCGTCCGGACGGGAGCCGGCGCACAAAGAGGTTCCCCGGGTGCGGGTCGCAATGCACCACGCCCCAGCGGAAGATCTGCGCCGCAAACAGGTCCACCATGGTCGCCATCACATCGCGCTCCGACAAGCCCAGCCCGCCCTTGCCCGCGGGGCCTCGCCATGCCGTCGTCCTGTCTGGTTTGAGGGGGGCGTCGTGCTTGTCCTTGTCCTTGTCTCTATCGTTGTTGTTGTTGTTGTTGTTGCGGACAAAAGACTGCTGCTGGTGGGTGGGTGCCTCGAGAGGTGTACCGCCCCCTGTGACCCCGGGAGAGCCAGCACCCCGGGGACCAAGCCAGGGGCCGGTGATGGCGTCCCTGTCCCAGAGCCGGACACCCTCGATCCACTCTGTGGTCAGGACGCGGGCCGAGGAGAGCTCCGGGTAGACGGGGGGCACGTAGACGCGGCCACGCAGCCAAGGTTCCGACGCGACGAGCTGGCGCATGGTCTCGGAGTTCTGGGCCTCGTTGAGGAAGTCGGTCTCGAGCTCGAGGCGCTCCGTGATGAAGGGGACGAGGGAGTAGAGGGGCAGGTCGAACCAGCGCGAGTATACCCATGTGACGACCCTGTACATGTGTGTGCGTGCGTGCGTGCGCGCGCACACCCCCGAATGATTAGCGGAAGAAGAACAAGAAGAAGAAGAAGAAGAAGAAGAAGAAGAAGAAGAAAAAGGGTGTTTGTATGTGACCTTTTTGGTCATGTCCGGGACAGACAAGTGTGTTGTTGTTGTTGTTGTTGTTGTTGTTGTTGTTGTTGTTGTTCAAGAAAGGGTTCAGGGAACTAAAGACATTGGGAAGATTTGGTATACGCACTTGAAAGCCCACAGGTCCCAGGAGATCTGCTTCTTTATGTCTGGCTTCTGTATCTTGACGGCGACCTCCCTCCCGTCGGGCAGTCTGGCCCAGTGTACCTGTGCCACGCTGGCGCTGGCACGCGCGGTGCGCTCCATGAGACCCCCCCTCTTCCCGCCTTGGTCACCGGCGACGACTGATGCTGGCAGTGTGAAGCGGACGCCAAAGACCTCCTCCGGAGACCTACCACCAAAGTCCTGGCGGATCACACGCTCGACCTCAGCCCAGGGAACGCTGGGCGCATCGTCAAACATGCGGGCAAACATGCGCTGGAACTCCGGGGGTAGGAGGGCGCTCTGCATAGCCACGGCCTGACCGATCTTGAGGTAGAGGCCGCCATTGTGGCGGAGGAGGTCCGAGAGACGCTCGGCACTGCGGCGGTGGAGGGCGGGGATGCCTCCGGGCTGGCCGACCAGGGGGAGAGGCTCCGGGCGGAAGTTGATCTTGTAATCGAGGGCCACGAGCAAGCCCGTCGCAAAAGTGCGCACAGACCGGGCCAGGCCCGAGGCGTACATCTGACGGTCGGCGAGGTAGACGGCGGTGATCAGGGCGAGAACCAAGCCAAGTCTCCGGGCGCGACGTCGGAGGCGGGTATAGGTGCGTGCAGGTCGAGGTGCGCCCAGGGACCAAGGGGACGGAGGCCCGCGGAGAGGTTGGAAAGGTCCCGGAGAGGACGAGGAGAACCGGATGGGCTGGACATGGTGACGGATGGGAGAGAAACGTCCAAAAGGAAGACGAGAAGAGGGGCATGTATTATTACAAGAGAAAAAAGAAGAGAGTGGTAGTGGTTGTCGTAATGCGAGCGTTCTTGGGATCACGGACGACGAGGACGAGGACGACGAGGAAGGCCGGGTTGCGGAGACGGTCAAACGGCGCGTCGACGAGAGGGTCGAGACATGTCGTGTGCGCACAGCAGCAGGCTGATGGTACAGGTTTCCGGCTGTGCGGCGTATAGGAAACATAGCCGTCGACCTTTCTCTCTCTCTCTCTCTCTCTCTCTCTGTCTCTCTCCAAGAGGAGGAGGAAGAACAGGCTTTTCTGAAGGTGGTTGTGGTGTTGAGGAGGAGGAGGAGGAGGAGGAGGAGGAGGAGGCAAGACAACCGAGGAAGAGGAAGAGGAAGAGGAAGAGGAAGAGGAAGAGGAAGAGGAAAAAAGACAGCCAGATTGTAGTAAGACGCTTGGTAATAGATCGATGACGCTTTTTGGATCGGCAGGTCGGTCGGTGGTCGGTGGGTCGGGGTTTAGAGGCGCTGGGCCCGGGGAGTGCTCGATTTACTTGCTCGGTCTTTTGATGGTTCGGACCGCAATCCGGTGTGTGGTCATCCCCGTTGACGCTGTCGATGATTATCTTGTAATTGTTCTTGTTGTCGTTGATGATGTGACTGTTTCTATTATTCCTTGTCGCTGTCAAAGTCTCTGGTTGCCGACGAACAACTAGGAAATAATCTGTAGAGAGAATCACCTACTTCATTAGTGCAGCAGCTTGCTTTTGACGTAGGTAGGCCATAGCAAACAACTGAAAAAACATAGGAAAGGGGGGGGGGGCGCGGGGGGTCGGCGGGGGTGGCGAAACACGCTTCAATACTGCACAGATTTCAGGGCACAACAAGTGCAAAGTGTTCTGTGGGGAGAGACAGACATGCATCAATCATTTTATTCATCGTAATGCTGAGATAGAGGGTGTATGGAAAACAGAAAACAAGGCAATGCACAACAACAAAAGATGGGGTCAGGATGGTCAGGATGGGTCAGGATGGTCAGGATGAAGATGGAACAAACCCATTCTGGCCAAAGGGCCAGAGAGGGTGGTGGTTTTGGGTTTGGGTTTGAAGAGGCGCTGAACATCCACTGCAAGCTTGAGGGCTCCCTCCCCCATTGCCCACTGGGGCCTGGCAACAGGGTGGACAGTTCAGTGATCCTATTGGCGCGAGCCAGCAGGGGTCTTGTTTCCCCTATACCATAGTACTTGATTGTATGGTCTGGGTCTCGCTGTCCAAAGAGAGGTTTGCATGCATGCTTGTTGATGATGATGATGATGAGGAGGGCCTGTTGAGAGTTTTATCTTGTCACTGTCGTTGTTGCTTGTCATATTCTTCATCAACATCTTCATCCCCCGCATGCGATGTGACGTGGACCCCAAAGACCTGTGCTCAGACAGACAGTTGTGGACCCTTTGAGTGGTTTCGGGGGAGGGGAGAATATGAGCCCATGGGGCTTTGAAGGCTCTGAAACAAGAGAAGGGGGGAAAAAAAAAAAAGAAAGACTCGACCCTGCCTGTCAACATCATGCAAGCCCTCTCTCTACAATCAATCAAAATCGAAGGGTTATTCTTCTGTTCTATTAGCTTTTACATGTGAACAATACATCGTCATCATCATCCTTCTCTTCCTCCACAAGATACAGTAAGTGTTTCTCACCACACACCCTCCCTCAACGTCCGTCCAGCTGCTTCTTCTTCCTCTTCTTGTTCATCTTCTTCTTCTTCTTCTCCTTGTTCATCATCATCATCTTCTTCTTATTCATCTTCTTCTTCTTCTCCTTATTCATCTTCTATTTCCTCTTCCTGATGATGACCTAACCTAACCTAACCAGGGCAAGGATGTGTAAGATGAGATCTGTAGATAGCACCTTACTACTACTATCTAATTACCCGGCCGAGTACCCATTCGCAATCTAGCTCGTACATGATGTAGTGACAGGTTATCCATCTCTGGTCCGCTCTCCCTCGCGCCCCCCCCCCCCCCGCACACCACAGAACACTGCCCTGCTTTTGCCCAGCCGTTAGTACTATCTTGTACTGGCTGAACTAGGTTCCTTCTGGTCTCTGGTCATATGCGCCCGCATCCCTGATCCCAGGCCAGTCCCCTGTCCCGTCCCCATTCACAGGGGCACGCTGTGGGCTTGTCTCAGGCCCATTCTCAACTTGTCCCGTCGAATCTCTGGACTGGTCTGGACTGGAATGCCACACGCGAACCCTCCTCTTCTCCTCCTGCTCCCTCATCTTCCTTTCTTTTTCCCTTCTCGTACCTGACCACCAACAAACCTGCACGCTACGCCCACACGAGACTTGCTACCGCTGCGCACTTGCACTTGCGCTCCCGCTGTGCTGCAGCTTTGCCTCCCCCCTCTCCCTCCTCCTCCTCTTCTTCTCCTCCTCCTTTTCCCCATCTCTTATCCCGCCGCCTTCTCTTGTTTTCGTTATTATTATTGTCATTGGTCCGATTTCAATCAGATTGGGATCTGACCTGCCAAGTTTGACCCAAACGAAAAGTAAGGAAGCAAGAAATAAACCAAAAACCCACGATCCTTAGATCCAGCCTTCCTTTCTTCCCCCTCCCGGCCTTTCTTCTCTCTCCTCCTCCTTGGTCTGCGAAGTTCACCTCCATCACACTGTCTTGTGTGTCTCGATTTCTCATCCGGAATCACGCCTGTCCTTCCGTACCAGCATCCACCCACGCCGAACCGGTACTTTGATCCAACGACAGACAACCAGCACTCGCTTTTCTTGTATTTGACGATACAGGTCAGAGAGAGACCTGCAGTGGAATCGCATATATTCTCGTTTATCTTCTCCCCGTCTGCTTGCCTGATTGTTGGCTTTCCGATGCGCTCTCAAAAGATAACCCCTTCGAAACGACCACCACACATATCCAGGCCTACGGGTATGCAGGAGCCTTCCTCCTTTTACCTTCCTCTCGCTTCTGATCACCAAGCAGCTTGGACACACCTGGGATAGTCCGTTTTTCTGGTTATCAGAGTCACTGCGCAGATGTAAGTGGAAACCTTTTGTACTTTGTTTCTTTCTCTCCCTTCTCTTCTTCGGTCCCTACTCTCTCTCTGCAATTTCGTCGTTTACACGATGCAACTGCTAACCTGTCCAATCCTTGGGTTCTTGACAGCAAAACCGCCAAGATGATTCGTGCTTCAACCCCCGTAGCAGTCCTTTTAACCATAGCCTTTGGGCTGCTACTGGTCGCAACTCTATCCACTCCAGTAATCAAATCTATTGTGCTCGGATCGGTGGACGATGTTACATTTGGTGTGTTGGGCTACTGCACCAAGACAGGGTGTACTTTGGATATTGAGTATGATGCTGGTATGTTCTCTGTCCAAATTCCCATTCTTTTCCTTCCATGCGCCCTGTTTTGTGAGGAACAACAGATGCCGAGTAGATGGGTGCTATTCATCATGCGCAACAGCGCTAACTACTGGAACAGCAAGCATCACAACGACGTCCGATTTCTCGATTTCGCAGTCGATACGATCAGCCGTGTCCAAACTTCTGATCGTCCACCCTGTGGCTGCCCTCGCCACTCTGATCTATGCCGTCCTTGCTGTCGTCTCCCACCTACATTCCCCCTCCCACTCCTCGAGATATCTACTCCTCATGTTTATCTATGGCCTGGTCTCGTTCCTTGTTTGTCTTCTGGCCTTCTTGACCGACATCATCCTGTTCAACCCCAATGTCGCCGCCGGCACGTGGATTGTGCTGGCAGCGACGGTGTTGACGTTAATCGCCGCAATTTTCTCCTTTGCCATGATGAAGAGCCTGGCCGGGCGGAAAGCTCGACAGAGGAACATACAACAAAACGCAGAAATGAGCGGCGAAAATTACTACAACCGCCAAAGAACCCTCGCAGGTCCTTCCGAGACCCAGCCCACCGTCCCCTCGATCTCCAACACGCAGACAGCGACCATGGGTGCAGGGCTGGCCACCTCATTCGATAAGGAGACGTCGGAAGACAGTATCCCCCTCACCCAACGGTCGCCGACAGAGAGATCCCCGAATGTCGGCCCAGTGGAACTACGCAGCTCCGAAGCAGCCTACAGTGGCCCCGTCGGACCTCGTAGACAGCCCCTGCGCGATCCCTACGGCAATCCTATCAACGGTCCTCCAGGCATGAACAACGACGCCTATGGAATGCGCCGACCTTCGCAGGAATCCACCAGCCGACCGCGCGGTCGCGGTATGGGCCCGGGCATGCCTGCTGGGTATCGCGGACGGGGCGGCTACGGACCTCCGAGGGGTGGAGGAGGTCCTATGGGTATGGGTCGTGGTGGTTACGGCCGAGGTGGTGCTGGTCCGGGTGGGTACTACGGGCCACCACCTCCAGGAGCGCGCGGCGGCGGCGGATATGGGTATGGGAACCGTGCTGGGTACGGCGGGCCCATGATGCGCGGCGGAAGGCCACCACAGCCACCCCAGCCGCCACCGCAGCAGACGCCAGCAGCAGCCTACTATGGCGAAAGATATGAGGCCTTTCAGCCTGCTCCGAACCGAGATTCCGACCTGCCAAGAGCCGAGTCCCCTCCCCCTTTGCCTGGCACCGTGGTCGACGACATGAGCGTGGACCAACATAACCCATCGCCGCCCACGCAGTTCCGAGATAGCGACGCCGACATTGTTGGTATGATCGGTTTACAGCAAGGCAGAGCCACACCATCGCGTGCACACGATACTATGATGAGCGGCAGTCATTACAGTCAACCCGATGAGTAAGCCCCCTCCCTCTTCTCTGTCTCTTTTTTTTTCTCCCAATTCTTGCGATTCGATCTGTACTGACATTTGACATAGTCAATACGTGTCGTCATCCCCCCGCTTTGCATGGGATCAAAATACAGGCCGGAACTCTCCTGTCTCGCCCACAATTCGTCAACACCCGTCTGCCCTACCTGCGCCTTTACAGACGGGCGGCAGCCCCAGTCCTAGGCCGCAGCCTTCCCAGGAGGTAAACTACATCGAGGACATTGACCCTCGCTTCATCGACCCGCCACCAGCAGCCACGGGCAGCCCATCTCCACCCATTTACCATGCAGCCGACCCGACCTACGGCAACATGCTTCCTCCTGACCGTGAGAGCAGCCCAGCTCTGACTGACTACTCGCGTTTCACATCCATATCGCAGCGAGGCCCCAACCGTCGCTACTCGAATGGGTCCGAGACAGCGCCCTATACTCGCCCATAGTACGGCTCACGGCGCTGGCAAAAAAACAAAAAAAAAAAATTATGGCTGGGATGTCGAAAGTGTCATGTTTGGCCACATGATCGATTACATGCTGGGAAACTTTACCGACTATTCGTTGCAGCCGGAAAACCTGCCTGCTCAGGGATGGACTACTCAGGCCCATGGGTCCTCGAGGTGATTACCTTCACTTAAGGATACATAGACGATCATGTTGTTTGGGGTTTGGATCAGCCCTTCCCCCTTACCATCGGAACAGGTTTCGAATTGTCTTCATTTATGTACCCCTCTTCTGAACTTTTCTTGTTTTGTTTCTCTTTCTTCTGCCCCTGGCCAGGGCCACAGATACCCATACGGCCACGTCTGGTCCAGGTGTACGTGCACGCATGCACATACACACGCCTACCTCGTCCTGTCGCTGAGTGTCAGCATACCATGAAGGGGGGAGGGGGGGGGAATGACCTAAGACGTCCTTTTTTTTTTTCCTCCTCTTCTTTCCTGGGCTTTTTTTTTTTTTTTCATCGCCCTTTTCGGATTATAGCACCGAGACGATACAATTGGAGTTTAGCATGGGCGGCATCACCAGCATACAATCTGCATTATCGCGGACAGAACCTTTTGACGGCAATCGGGGACTACAGAGACCATTCCTCATCGACTCACATTTGTCACACCTTTTTTTTTTTCCTGCCCTTTAACTTCTATACGCAAGTGGGACCATATCATATCACTTCCAACACCATTGAACACCGACCTTCCGGACACAGACCTTGTATATCTTCCTGCCACACACCACCCCCCTTGTATTTCGTGGCGCTGCTTGTACAATCTTCTGGGACTGGCTCTGCTTCTCTTTTTCTCGACCTTCCCTTCACAAATGTATACTCATGGCGGCGACGACGAATTAAAAAAAAAAATGGCTCTAGGAGGGTGGTACTTACACACAGTATGAACCCATCCTCTCGCTTGACCGCTTAAAAAAAAAAAAAAAACGTCGAGACGGACATTACAAATATTGCAACGATACACGACTGTCCCGGCAGATGCTTGGAGTTCCTGCGGCCTTGGAGGGCTAAAGATCTTGCAGGTCATCCAGTCCGCCCGTAAAGGTAAAGGGAGAGGAACAGAGACTGGGCCGAAGGCAGGAATGCTGTGTCAGGGTCACAGCCACGGCCATTCACATCCCTCGGCTATGTTGGGAGATATAGAACTCTCTCAGACGGCATTTCCCTCTTCCTCTTCTGGTGAAAAGGCTTGAGCTCGGATAGGGGCATAAAACAGAGTGATCATTACTTCTGCATGGATTATGGCCGACTGGGAGAGGGGGAGGGGTCATTTACCTCGGTTGGGTCTTGTGTGGGTTGGGGGCAACGACATTAACAATGAGATGTTCTCTATTAAGAGTATTTGATCTAAAATCTAGGCTCCCCCTGGCTAAGACGATAGGATATGACGTGTTGGATAGTCCGTTACTACGTGGGAGGATAGAGGCATAGCTTTACTGGAGACTTCAGCAGAGCATGCCTATAACAGGGGAATCTGGACTGGACAAGGACTAAAAATGAACCCAAATGAATACTGAATCAACCCCTCATGCCATTGCAAGCAGGTCTCATGTGTAATGATGCCCTGAGTGTTCCTCACTCCCTCAGCCTTGTCCCCCTATGACATTGGTGGGGCTTTGTCATGCTGCTGGTGGCCGTACCACAGTACACCGCGACGCTGAGGAACACATAGTAGGATGAAAAGGTTCAGTCAAGGTGGTGTTGAATATGATCCTTGGGTGAATTGTATTGTCAATCTGATATCAATTCTGCACCTAAGAAGAAAACTAAAGGGGGAACTGGAAAAGAAGGGAAAGAGAAAAGCATGAGGGTAAAAGAAGGGAGGAAAATGAGAATGGGAATCTCAGTTCTAAGAGCCCAAGGCTGTTGGTTAGTGGGTGGGTTGCGCCCTGCAGATCCCTCAAAAGCCCACCAGGTAAAAGAAGGTTACATACCACCTATGCACAACACCGCCTCTCCCAAAAAAGATCCGGGGCCGCAGCCGCTCTCCCCACAAGATCCATCCATCCCCCACCCCAAACCCAACCAGCCTCATCATGGGCCCTCCCCGCATGTTTGTCCACCAGTCTGCTTCATCTTTACAATTTCCTGATGTCTTCACCTCCTTGCTCCAGCAGATGATGGCTCTCCTTGTCAGACAACTATTCAGCCATCCATCCATTCTTGGCCACTGCCCCAAGGTTTGACTGCAAGTGCCACTCTTGGACCACTTGCATAGGCCACCAAAAGAGACAGAGAGAGAGAGAGAGCAGAGCAAAAAAACAGCCTTCTTGCTCAACTCAATGCATTGTTTCTTGCTCAACTCAATGCATCGTTTCTTGCTCAAACCCTTTCTTTAATACCCTTTTTTTTTCTTTTTTTTTTTTTCTGGTCTTTGCCTTCTCTGTCATGAGTATCTGGCTCATAAGGCCCCGACAGTGTCTTCCCTGGATTCACATTTCGTTGACAATCGTCTCGGGTCCTCCCTAGAAGTTCACGGGTCCGTTGCGGGGTTGGTAGGTCTTATTGTTCTGAGGGGGGTTGGTGGATGTCTGTTGGGCTTGCTGTGGGCGGCCGTGGCCTGGCGGTGTCATGAAGGGGTCCGAACCTCTCGTGCAGGCCCACATCTCATCATCCTCGGGCCGCTGGGTGTCCTTGACCTCTTGCTGCATGCTTGAGAGGCGACCGCTGTCACACAGGTATCTTCCGAGCGCCGAGTAGGCCATGCCCAGGAGTGGTTCGATCACCTCATGGGTGGGCCAGTCGTTGAATATCTCGATGTTGAAGTCATTGGGCTTGCCTATCGTGTCACATTTGAGGGCGGCATCAATTGCAGCCTCGCGCGTGGCCGCGTCGCTGGCGCCCAGCTCCTTGTTCCGAACTCTCTGGCGGAGCTCCTCAAATCGCTCATCCCAGGTCTTGGTCATCTCAGCCGTTCCCGCATAAAATGCCACCCTGTGACGTGCGTCCCGCCGCCGACGCTCCTCTTCGGTCACTTGCTGACGGCGACTGCATGCAGACCGCAGCTGAGACATTAGGTCAGAGTTGTCCTCGGGGGCGTCAATGCACGTCAAGGGGTTATAGCCAGGCGGGGTATCTCCGTTGTAGTACTGTTTGACGCGGTCAGCAACTCTAGACTCCCGTAGGGGAGTCGTCCAGCTGCGCTGCTTGATGTCCTCATATCCGTGGCCACATTGAAATGAGGATGGGCGGGATGCCGGCTGAGGCATCGCTGGTTGGAATGTTCCTGGCTGGGACGTCGTTGTCTGGTGCGCCGCCGGATGAGGCAGCCCTGGGGGAGGTCCCGTGGTCTGAGGCACTCCTGGTAGAGGTATCGTGGGCTGGTGCATTCCTGGCTGAGGCATGTGCGGCTGTGACATCCCTGGCGGAGCCTTTCCTGGCTGTAATAGTCCTGGCCGAGGGGGCATCATGTGCTGGTGCGTGCTGCTGGGTTGAGGCATCGTTGCTGCAACAGGCTTCATCGGGTACTCGGGGCTCCGCACCATGGCTGCCAAGTCAACCAGTTCCTCTGGATTTATATCGAAATGAGACTCGTCGACTGGGAGAGGCGGGACGGGAGGAAGCGTCTGCAGCGCCCGGTAGGGTCCCTCAAGGGTGGCAGCCTTGTACTGTCTCTGGCCAGGCGGACCAGCAGTCAGGGGCCGAGGCGCGCCGTACCCACCGGAGCAGCCACCGGGCTGGGACGTGTTGTTGATGTGGCCGTGGGCGGGATGGTGGTCATTGTGATTATAATCATTGTGGTCTCTAAGACCCCAAGGACTCGAACTAGAAGGGCTGGAATATTGGCCACCTGGTCCGCTGGCGTTCTGCATGTGATAGGCGGGGGTGACAGGACGACCCCTGTGAGCTGCAGGCCCGGTAGGTGTAGGTCGAGCACTCTTACGGCCGCGATCGAGGACTCGCTGGGCTGCCTGCTGGTGACGATTCGGGTATGATGCCAGATTGGTCAGAGCTTTGACGCTGTGGTGGCGCATATTACCGGACCATTGGTCATCGTGGCCGCTGGCGTTTCCGCCGCCTCGGACTGGTGTGACCTGATCCTGTGGAGTTCGGATATGTTTGTCCCTGGGAGGCCCCTCATGAAAAGGGGTGGTTGGCTTTGACATGTTCATCAAGGCTTCGGTAGCGATTCGCTCTTGAAATGTTAGGGCGGCAACGGGGTCGGCAGCGCGTTCTCGGTTCTGCTGCAGAGGGGAATACTCCTTCATGATAGTAGCAGTGGACGGAGGAGTGGGCTGGCGCTGTTCGTAAGGCGCATTGGCCTGGACGAACTGGTCGAGGGCAGCAATGTCGTCGGAGACGATGGGAGGACACCTCTTGGCACGACCTCTCTGGGCAGGAGCTGGTAGCTGGCTGGCGACCTCGGGGTTGAAGATAGAGCCAACAGTGGTGTAGGTCGTCTGCCGACTCGCCTGCTGGCCCTGCTCAGAGGGGATCGTGGACTTGGAACTGGAACCAGAGGACGGCGTGTCCATAGCTGCCACCTCCAAGACTGGGTCTGGGTCTGGGTCTGAATCTGTCCGACGGTGCTGCACTTTCCTTCGCGTCAGACTTGTGCACGGCAGTTGGCAGGAACGGTAATGCATGTGCTGCTTACCTGATGATGTACAGCGGTCGTACTAGACACGCCTAGTGTTCCAGAAGGGAATTGCGTTCAACCTCAGGGGGGTGAGAAGACAGAGGAGTATCGGTTGGCTGACGATGTGGGTGGGATACAACCTGCAGAAACCAAGGGAAAAGAGGAGGAAGGATAATGATCTGTTTGAGACCGCAGAGATTTCAAAAGGGGGAGAAAGTGCAGGCAGTCCTGTTTTAAAAGCTAGGGAAGGAACAATGATGCTAACGACATCTAGTAGTCCGATGGTCACTGCCCTCAGCTATCCCTACTCCACCTGATGTAGGATGGTGAATGATGAGCGGACCAACAAACAAATACCGTGACTGTTTTTGGTGTGGGCACGACCACAGTGCTTGTGTACCTGCAGGCAAGGAAGTGGGCTTTATTAACGCATAGTCCCTGGTGAATGAGGTCAGGAAGAAAGTTACGTGTTATGGATTTCTTTTCTTTTTTTGAGTTGGGGGGGGGGGGGTGGGACTCAAGGTATCTCAGGGTAACGATGTTGTTGATGAAGTGTGAAGGAGAGGGAACTGTGAAAATGTGGAAAGGCACACTTTTGGAATATGGAGGCAGCTGTTTGTGATGGTCTCGTCGTTTGCCCTCCCCACTATAAAGGAGGTGTGGAGGAGGAGAGAGAAGTCAAGATGGCCCCCGCATTAGCTTGACAGGTTGAGAGAGATTGACAGATTAACAAGTTGATGGGTGACAACTTGATAATTCGACCATTTTTTGGCAGCTTGACAAGTTTAGGCTACAGCTGCATCACCTCATCTCTGCTGCAGGCCTGCATAATAACATCCACTACCTACCAGTAGCAATTACCCAACAGTGAAGTCCACAACAGTCTTCACCACATACCGTGTATATGCCATGGATGCATCAGGTCACTCTTGCGGGCTCCTGACAACAGCTTCAACAGGTATTATCCTGCAGGTCATGCAAAGGTATGCTCAGAACATCTGCCCCTCACCCCGCTCCCTCTGGCATGCCACTTTGCGCAACACCTCGACAAACGGGCAGTGTTATCCATGCATCAGAAACTCGGCAAAAGAAAGCATGCATGCATGCCAATCATATTCCTGCCCGTTTGTTCCTGGCGAGGCTCTCCTCACCACAAGAACGAACGTTCCACGGGGAAACGAAAAGGAAAACAGGCAAGGAACACGGTCAGCTCACCATCGCTCAGAACGGCCCATCCCACGCCATCCAATGAACATCCGAGATGCTACTGCTGTGCAAAGAAAGAATACAAGAAGAAGAAGCAAAGAAAGTAAACCCGTGGCTGACAACTGGGTGCTAGCCTTCTTCAACGGTCAACAAGAATACGTTTGCGGGGGAGATGCGGTGCGAGTTGGGATAGGCCATCGTACCGTTGCAACGTTCTTACAATCCTTTTAGAACGATCATACTCGGGAACCCGGAACCTGCCGCCTCAGGATATAGATATTTTTGCAACAACGATACTTATGAGCGTCCCAGCCCGGTATCGACGGCTGGGCAACCACACCTCCAGACCATCCTGGAGAGTAACAAAACCATACAGCTGCTTTCATTACCCCCCCCCCCCCCCAAAAAAAAAGAAAAGAAAAGAAAAGAAAACGGACCACTTGCGCCACCGTGGAATCCTGCGAATGCCTCGACGCAAGATACCGTACCAGATGCCAGCCTGGGGGTGATGTCTCTCTTCCGTGAGCTTGTACCGTTGTCTCGTGCATTTGTGCCTTTTCATGGGTTTCATGCCGTTACACAGCGTGATTCAAACTGATAAGGACGATGGACGAAGGGGAAACACAGGGAGAGGATCGGAGCCAGAGGATTGGGACACGCCATGTTACCTGACCTTGGAAGAAAAACGCCACATTGACGCAGTTCTGCAGGGCCAAGACCCCAGAACATGAGGGAGGAAAAAAAAGAATCGTCGAGAATACTTGGGGGCGATGCGCGCCGTGATCTTGCTCAATGTCACTGTCCCTTCATGCTGATGGCCTATGCTGAAAATAAGAAATCCGGCCATCTTGAGAAGCAAGCTGTCATGGTGTTCTCCTACAAGTGGAAGAGGACGGACCCAACCGCCCGTCCTGGTCCGGTCTGCCATAGAAATTTTGTTCTATGCGTCGTATTGTGCATAAAACATGGGTTTGCCTTGTGACAACAATGTGCTAGTTGTTATAATGATAGCAGGGTATTTCCGGGAAGTTGGTATCTCCGTTCGTGAAAACCTGGTGAGACCACCCTCACAACTGGCATGGGAATCATAGTATCAATGGGCAGGCAGGTCAGCCTAATTTGATTTCCAAGTAGGGGCAAGCATTTGAAATAGGCGGAGTGTTGAAATATAGGACTGTAACCGGACAATGTAACCCAAATCGGCAGCCAATGAGACCTTTTTTTCTTCCGAGGGTGCTGCGCAGATGTTTACAGCACTATAACGCGGATTGGTGCCGTATTTTCAGAGCTCCCCATGCCTGCATGTCTGACTAGCCTTGAAGTTCCAAGGCGGTCGCCTGAGATGGTGCGCATGAACACCTGCAGATCTGGTTGACGGCCAGTCCTCGATCATACACAGAGGTGGCTGGGAGCTTGAGGATTGAGCCGCGATAACATGAATCGTAGCATGGAAAGGATCAATGAGAGCCAAGTGTGTGTGTGTGTGTGTGTGTGTGTGTGTGTGTGTGTTGTCCAGAAGAGAAGCGATAGATGCCTCGGACCGGCCTTTTCTGACGCTTCGGCCACAGCGGCATCCGATCTGACCTAGGCAGGCAAGACGCTGACAGTTTTCCTGTCGCTTCACTCGGGCCCGCATCTAAACCGTCAGGCTGACTAATGATTGACTCGGAAAAGAGATTGTTCCTTCCGGCACTGGGTGCGCATCGATCTCAGGGGCCACATCTACGGGGGTAGATTAATAATCAGAGATTATCAAAAGCACTCCGATGGAAAGGCACTGATGCCTTTCGCGTACCTTTCAGTTCGATTTGCAAAGACAAGAGCATCACGTGCTCTCTGGACGCAGTTCATAAGCTTGACCACGACGGTTTGGAACGTCAGCCAGCTTTCAGCTCTCAGCCAGCTACCTGCTAGAACAGGTCGTGATACCCTTCGAGTCGATCTTCTGCGACTCGAACTTCGGCAGCACCCGCTCGGCCCCCCCCCAAGCGGGGCAGGGGAGTCCATACTTATCCCTCCACGCACAGGGGTCTTCTGAGTGGGTCAGCCCTCTGCTACGTAGTCTGCAGTGACTGGCTCGCCTTGTTGAATGCAGTATGAGGAGTGGAATGATGGGGGGGGGGGGGGGAAATAGCTTTCTGAAAAAGACACGACCAGGATTCTTACTCAAATGAGGGGGGCTGGAACGGAGCAAAGTTTCTTTCTCTCAACGAGCAAAGAGCAGAGGTTTGTTGGAAGAGGACGACACAAGAAGCCTTGTGTAAGCGATACGAGGTCAGTGGTGACAAGCAATCCTACTTCTCCTGTCTTGTGCAGACAACTGCCTCGTGTTATTCTGGCTGGTGATTTTATTATGCAAACCCAGGTTACTTACTCATCCCCCACTTTCTGATGATGAGTCAGTCGCATTCTTCCACTGAGACCGCGCAGGAATGAAATAGTGTGTTCTCTAAATACAGACCATTCAATGATTATTAAACACTGCAAGTACTGCCAAATTCTCGTAACTTGCCTGGTAATTAATTGGGTGCATCTCTTGGAGATGAGATGTGAAGGCAGACAGGAGGATAGAGAGAGAAGAAGAAGAAAAAGGTGGGTAAATGTCATGGTTGTGGATATCGTTATTGTCCGAATCATGTACCATCTGATCAGATATGCAGCTTGCCTAGGCCAAACAATCTCATCGCTTGTCATGATCACACAAGGCGGGGTTTCCATGTCAGAATATGGGAGGGACCCTACATGTGCCTGCCCACATGCTCGGAAGCTCACACAAGCACACACACTCTCACTTACTTATCTGGAATGCCCTGTTGATCACAAGCAAATTCGAATTCATAATCCATACATTTCAGGTACATGAGACATGCAGCCCTGTCCATGATCCCGTGTTACCTTGTTAGGTCTTGTTAGCCACATGCTGCAGTCAGTGCGTTGGTGGTGCAACAGAAGGATCGCGGGGGGGTTGTTGACTAGAGAGGGCGTGAGCACGGGCAGGGCCACTAATGCACGAACAGGCGAACCACCTGAGCCCACTAAACTAACAGCACATGAGCCCACTCCACGGCAAGCCTGTAGCAGGTGCCGCTGGGCCGTGCTGGGTTAGTGCAGCAAGTAAGTAGGCAAGGGGCCATCATCTTCCTTCCACCACCCCACAGGCGTGATACTTACTACCTGGCCCGCTGCGAGCATGCGCTGATCCAAGACCCTCTCGGCTCGACCCTCATCTTTTCTCTTTGGTCCTATTTCCAAAGTGCGCATCGGCGATCCTCTTTGCATTCACTTCATCACACATCCACCACCCCCCTTATTCCTCAACCCCTCTCTCTGCAGTTTTGTGTATTTCATCACAGTACTTTGCATTCAGTGCAGCTGTGTGGCAGTTGGGTTGATCCTGTTGTTGGCTTTTGTTTGTTTGTTCACGCGCATTGGTTGCGAATGGTCTTCGCGTGCCTCTCTCCACTGGGCCGAGACCGAGACGGAAAAGACGGCTCCAGCACGCCTCTTGTTTCGAGCAAAGTCTATTACGAGTACATCAGCCCTTTGGTTGTTGTCGCCCTCCTCCTCCCACCACCTGCCACGCCACTACAACAACAACAACAACAACAGCAACAAGAACAACATCAGCAACAAGAATAACAATACAGCCTCCTCCATAGAACCACGACGACCTCACATTCATCAACTGCTGCGGCGGCAGCAGCTTTCCTCTCTTCGAGATGCGCTCGCCGAGAATAGCGATCCTCGTCCTCTTCTTCGCCGCCTCCCTCTTCCTCCTCTGCCGTTCTGTCGTCTCCCTGCACTCCTCCCAGCAGCTGCTGCGACAGCAGGCCACACCCCTGCGCCCCCACACTGCTGCAGCAAAGGCCTCCTCCTTCACCTCCTTCCTCTCCTTCACCACACCTTTCACCCTCTTCCCTCCCAACGCCGCCATCTCCCTCACCGACGATAACTCGACCTTCTTTCCCGCCCGCCCTGCCGCATTCGGTGCCCCGCTACCGGCTAAGGGCTTGAGCGGCCAGCTATGGATCGGCAGTGGCTTTGCCGATGAGGCTCTGCTGGATGTCGAGGGCGAGGGCGAGCTGGGCTGCAGTGACCTGCCGGGCTGGAGTGATGGCACTGCTGCTGCCGTCATGGGCCGCAAGGGCACCACCGCCATCGGCCTTAACGCCAAGGCTAAGGCTGCCCCGGCCGCTGCAGGCAGACAGGACAAACATCCCAAGAGATCAGCGTCCAAGCTGCCACAGGGGCCCCCCGTTGACGTGGACGAGACTACAAAGATGGCCAAGACAAAGGAGGAAGAGGAAGACGGGAGAGACGGCGGCGACGATGACGAGACCGAGACCCTGGACGATGGTACCGACGACTACCTCCACCGAACCTTTTCGGCCAAGGCACCCGGCTACGAGATGACAACAGTCACGTCGAGCCACGCTGATATACAGTCTATACAGGAGACGGCCGAGATCACAGGCAAAGTGGTTCTGCTGAGCCGTGGAGGCTGTGGCTTTCTGGAGAAGGTCAAGTGGGCCCAGCGACGCGGCGCAATCGGTGTCATCGTCGGCGACAACCAGAGGGGCGGGCCCCTCATCCAGATGTTCGCCCGGGGCGACACCTCCAACGTCACCATCCCTGCCATCTTCACCTCGCGCACCACCGCCCACCTTCTGTCCTCGCTCATGCAGCCTGGGAGCTTTGCCGAGGACATGACCGACGAGCACGGCCACTCGACCTTCAAGATACAACAGCAGCAGCAGCAGCAGCAGCAGCAGCAGCAGAAGCAGACAGACAGTACGAGCAAGAACAAGAAGACCTCCACCACGGCCCAGAAGTCGTCAGCAGCGCAAGAGGTGAAGAATAAGAAGACCACAGCAATGATGATGACAACGACGGGAGAGGGTTCACCGCTGGTGGGTGGCGCAGCTCAGCCTGGAAAGGCGGCCAGCAAGGAGGAGGCTACGGCAGGGGCTGCAGCAAAGGAAGAGCGTTCCAAGCAGCCAGGTTGGTTCGCACGTCTGTTCGGATTCGACAGTAGCATGAAGGCTGTCGCCGACCGCAGCAGGCCTCCTAGCAGCGGTCAGCACGACTGGGTGCTCGTGGATGACTGGAGCGACGAGAAGGACAAGGTCATCCGCAGCAGCCTGGAGAAGGCCTCCAAGAGCTCCAAGAGCGGGACGGGGGCGGGGGCGGCAGCAGCAGCAGCAGCAGGCCAGAAGGTCTCGGGAGATGGCTTCCAGATCGGCGTGCAGGACTGGCGTGACCCAGACCTCGTCGACACCCCTAGCACAGGTGCAGGAAAATCATCTCCAGGCGGAGCGGGGGCATCTTCTACCGACAAGTCGACCAAAGAATCTGCCAAGAAGGCCGACAAGTCCAAGGACACCAACAACGGGCCCAAGGGTGGCAGCATTACGCCTGGCAGCGGCCAGTATGTACCTCAGTCTACCATCAAGGATAATAAGCATGCCTCGACCAGGGCAGGTGGGCAGCACAACGGCGGCGGCACCTCGGGCGGCCTGATGTCCAGGATCTTTGGAGACGGAGACAACGATGGCGACGACAACAACGACCCCGCCCAGTCCAACACTGTCCCCAACAAGGCCATCAACACCCCTTTGACAAGACAGCCCGAGGAGCATGCAGAACCGCCCATCCATCATGAGGGCCTCTGGGTGACCATTACCCCGACCGGCAGCACCGCGCCCTTCTTTGACACGCTTCTTGTCCTGGTCATCAGCCCGCTCATCACCCTGACTGTAGTCTATGCCCTGCTGATCCTGCGGGCTAAGATACGACGCCGCCGGTGGAGGGCCCCCAAGTCAGTGGTCGAGCGTCTGCCCGTCCGCACCTACCACACCGTCGCCGCCACCTCGAGCAGCCACACCTCCAGGGTGCCCTCCCCAACCTCCTCATCGCCCACGACGCCGCTGCTGCAGAACTCCGCCCGCCCGAGACCGCGCTCGCGGACCGCTACTGGCGTTCCCGATGCCGACGATCTGCTCAGGGTCGATACTGCTCTTCGGGCCTCAGCCTCTCCTTCAAGGCCTCCAGCAGCCAACGCCAACAACAACGCCAACAACAACAACAACAAACCTAGCCAGTGGAAGAAGTACATGGGCCGCCAGGTCGAGTGTGTAGTGTGTCTGGAGGAGTACGTCGACGGCGTCAGTCGCGTCATGAGCCTACCATGCGGCCATGAGTTCCACGCCGAGTGCATGTAAGTCGTTTAACAAGCCAAATATTGGTTCTAAAGATACGGAAAGGAAGAATGAACCCAACAGATGAAGGTAAAATTCGTGCAGTGTATAGCTAACCTCGTTTTTTTCTTTTTTTTTTCGGCAGCACGCCGTGGTTGACGACCCGGAGGCGTACATGCCCGATCTGCAAAGGCGATGTCGTGCGGTCGCTGGCTAAGGGTTCGCCATCCAGCCCACGATACGAGCCCTATCACGACGACAGCGATTCTGACATGGAGCCAGAAGCCTCAGGGTCCGCGTCGAGGTTCGTTGACCATGATGCCGACGTCGAACAAGGCTTTTCTCCCGCTTCGTCACCACCCCGCTCCGTGCCTGACAGGTCAGGTCGGCCGGAGGGATGGCTGGGCATGCTATCCAGCAGCTTCGGCACCAGCAGCTACGGCTCCCACAGCTTCGGCGCCAACAGCCTTGCTTCATCGCCGCCAAGTCACATCCAGGAGGGGGCCGAGGACCGTGACCGGTGAAAGAACAAAGCGGCTCCCCCGGGTGGGGGCCACTTATCAACTAATTCGACGTATTGCATTATACTCCATGCTCAACTTTTTTTATACGATGCAAAACCATCCTGGCCGCCAATCCGTGCGAAAACACCCCGCGCGAGATCAATATACCCCTCTCGACCTCGTCTCGCCATCTTGTGCTCTCTGTCTCCCCCCTTCCTACACTCCTCTTTTGTTTTATCAATACTCCTTTGCCCTTGAGCGCTGTTCAATATGCATGCATTTTCGTTCCGGAGTCACCCATACGCATGCCTACTTACACAGAGATCTTATACCCACCACACTCGCTTAAGAGAGTTCGTCGACTTGTTCTTGCGCTGTTTCTTTCTTTCCCCTTTCCCTCGGCTCTACTCTACTCAGGTTTTCTTTTTTACGTCAGGCGCAGGAGGCATTATTACGCTCGGAATGGAAGGCATCATGATGATTTGGGAGGGCATTCAGGACAGCAAATGGCAGAGAATATGCGCACACACAGAACACACGAGGCCAATGGATATTTGGCAACACACGCACAAAGAAATGCATTTTCAGCCACCTCGTCCGCTCACAACCCGCTCGCAAGCCAGCGCCGTGCCTTCCAATACCTGAGCGCGCAGATATCGATTAGATGACGCCTTACATGCATGCAAGAAGAGTTGGAACGTTGACATCGCGAAGGATTCTAGAAACAGAGAGGCGTGTGTTTGTGTGTTTGTGTGTGTGCACGAGCGCGCGTGTTCCCAGAAAAGAAACAGTCGGCATTATACCCCCCCCCCCTTTTCTGTCATGTTTGCCGGCCGCTTACCTCTAGACTTTCTGTGTGTACGGTGAGGAAATACTACAGGGCAGATAGGACACGATGAGATAGACGGTGGCTGAAATTGATTCTTCCTATAAACCAACATATCAATGACACTTTCAGACGGTGATTGCTTATAACGGGAAAATATGACAAAGGAATGTGAACCCCCGATGCCAAGTGGCGGAGGACTAGCCAGATTCAATCAGGACCAGGCCCGACAAAGTCACACCCCCGATCTACCTATTTGTCCCTTTATGAAAGAAAAGAAAAAAGCCTTCCCTTTATTCCTACACTGAGATCCGGGAGAAGAAGGCGCAGAAGTTTTTGTGGGGGGGAAGGGGGGGTCGATGCGTTGCAGTCCTCTGCTTGATGTAAACAAGAGGGTAGGTAGGTCGTTACACGAAGAGCACGTGACCAGGACAGGCAGGCGTTGACGAAAGACTCGAGGAGGTCTCAGCCCGTCCCTCCTCGCATTGTCTAGCCAGGAATAGACCGCAAGCGCTGGTCTCGGGATAAAAGCATCAGCTGCCGCGTTGTCGACCATGTTGATGGCTGCTTGCGTGCCGGTGCGCGCATGCAACTGACTGGCCTCGCCGGGGAGAGAAGAAGGTGGGCTGGTTGCTGGAGTTCATGTACTTGGTCTTTTAGTTATTTCCTTGCAAAGGCTTACCATAAAATACAAGATCTGACATACAAATCTTAAGTTTAAGACCCACAGGTTGTTGTTGTTGACGACCCCCTTTTTTTTTTCTTTTTTTCTCCTTTCTCTCTTGTTACTCGTCGCTCGCACACCTTGTCCCTCCTAGTCTCCGCACCATCGAACCGCGAAACGGGTCTCCTGACATACAACCCAAGGTGTATGTAACTGCAACAAACGTCTAGCCGACAATCCCCAATATAAGCGTATGGTAGTCTGTCTGCTACGCGAACGTACTACGGAAACATCTCGAGCCAAGCTGCTCCAGTTGGGGGGGGGGGGGGGAGACTGTCGGGGACAGCTGAGCCCTGACAACACCTCTCGGATCATCTACAGGTCATATCCAACTCTCTATTCCGGCCTGCAGCTATATCCTGCTCACCAATATTGCTGCTACACCCAACAGTGGCGACACTGAGAATGGATTTCGTGTCGAGGCTGGCCAAACTGTTCACATATTGGGCCAAATTGAGTGGAGCTCTCAATGCTTGACCAACTGCACCTATAACTGCTGCTTTAATGGACCTGTGGCTAACAAGAGGCCTGTCAGCCCTTCCAATTGTCGCTATGGGATTCCAAGTTACCAGTATGGGCCTCCTGCTCGACTACTGTACCACCAATATTACTGCCCAGATTGTCGCCAAAATAACCTATCTCAGGGTTCATGAGCTTCGGCATCTACACCATGCTACGTGGCATTAGCCAGCTCACTCATTCCCAATATCTAATGACAATCTCATCTCTCTGGGCCCTGTTCACCACTACTATCATGATGCCAACAGCTCCCAAAACTGTTGTTGAGACTGCAGCTGTTGCCAAGGTTGAGGGAAGTGCTTCAGATCACTGCTTTGGAGGAGGGCAATCTCAAGGCTGCAGCTGAGGTCAAGGATGATGCTGTTCCTAAGGGTGAGGTAGATGCCAGGTCTGAATCTCCTTTGGAATGGGCCTGTGAGTCTGACACCAAACTTGAAGTAGTGCTTGGAGTCATTGCCAACTTAAAGGGTAAGCTCAAAGCTTCCAAGTCTAAGCTCAAGACTTCGAAAGCCAAAGTCAAGGCCTCAAATACTGAACTCAAGGATATGACAAAGTCACATGCTGAGCTTAAGGCCAAGCTTGAGGCTGAGATTACTTTCAGGGATGAGGCCAAAACCCCCTCTCCGGTCTGCACCTGGGATCAGAAAAAAAAATCTTAGGCCCAGGTTTGAGTTTGAGCCTGCCCTAAGGCCTGAGCCTAATGCTATTGACAAGGCTATGGGTGAGGGTGACGCCAGGGCTCGGGTCGCTGAAGAAAATTAGATGGCTTGTTGTGATTAAGCAGTAAGTCCACAGGCAGCTCCATTGTGTCTGTGGTACCAACAAAGAGTAAGTATGTCTTAAATCTGTCCAGGTCTCGTGGCCTAATCCATCCGACGTTTCCCCATCAGTCGGCCTCTTTTTGACTCTCGTTGATGCACCTCGCTAACGCACACTGACTGCCTGGGTTCCGAAAGTTCGCATATCCTCCCTGTCACTTTTGGTATGCAAGATTCTCGGCCGGCTGGCTTGGATTAACCTGTTGCCGTCTTCGGCGAGATCAGGTGGAAGATGATGTTGATACTCGTGCTGTTGTGGGTTCTTCAAGCAGTCTTCATTAAGCGGATTCATTTTTAGGACATCATCTCGCACCCCCTCTACAAAGAGCCCTCATCCGCAAGCGTCACCTTTTCTCTTTTGCCCTTATTCTTGCTGGCTAATTTGTCTTTCTCGAATTTACTATCCGCTTTCTCGCCCTCAACCTATTACTCTGCCACGTTTTTATACCCTGAAAACTATAACCTCAAGGGAGCTGCGCGAAAATCTACTGAATGTTAGGACGATGCCTGCCCGGGCCGAGAGACGTAGGGAGCCGGGGGTCTTTCGTTGTCTCAGAATAAGCAGAATGCACTTGAATATGAATGTCCAGTTTGGGAGGGATATGCTCATGTTCTTTTTTTCAGTTTCTTTTCCTTGCCTTCTTTCTCCACCTTTAATTTTTTATCATTTCTCCTCTTCAACCCTGACCCAAACATTTCTTTTTATACAGACATGACGTGAATGGCTTACTGCAAGCGCGTCTCGTCATTTGGATGAGGGAAGTGGGACGGGAATTGCCCCGACGATGAGACAGTAGTGGTGCTTCTGTTATATTAATTACACGCACCTAGCACATGAACGAGGATCCTTCCCCCTCCCCCTTCCCAAACGCTCACACATCACCCTCTCTTCTTTTCAGAACGACGGGAGTCCCGGGCTCAGCTACAGATCCCATGGCGTCGCTACCTCCCACCCCCGACGAGCGCGAGCAGTCCGACTCCGAGCTGCAAGCCATCGCGAAATGGCTCGCTGGGATTGAAGACTACCGTGAAGGTGATAAGTCAAACCTTTCGGCTCCTTCAGACGCCCTGGCTCGTCACGCACAGAGGCCTCCTCCTCCACCCGCAAGTGTACCTGAACCCAGGGATAGGCCCTCCATCACTGCGACCCTACCGCCTTCCGAGACCGCGATGCCGCAGCCATTTGATCCAGCAACATTCAGCAACAGCCAGACGATCTGTGGCAGTGAAAACTATGCGACTACGACTGCGGTCCCAGCTCTCTCGACGTACTCCTCATCCGCTGGCAGCAACTCTGTAGGGCGCCCTGAGTCACACGCCAGGACGATTGATCTGAACCCTTTCGCCGAGCCCATTGCTTTTGGTACGGCCAGTGAGAATCCGTTGGACATGCCCCAAGACGTGGCATGCCTGCAGCCTCGACTGAATGATATACTATGGAAGGACAAAATCCTGCCGGCCGAGCTGAGGGTATGATAAGCAGTTTCTGAGATTCGCTTGCAGAGCCTGCTTTACAACTTGCTGATCTTGGAAACCCTGCTCCTTAGGATGACCCGACCTTCCGCAGGAGCTGCGGTCGAGATCTACAGGACCGTATGTTCGAGAACCCTTACGTATCGTTGGTAAAGCGCGACCAAGCCCTCCACGACTTCGAAGAGATTTTGAAGATTACAGAAACTGCCGAGAAGGCTATCCGGTATGGCTTCTCGGAGGCTTCATGGAACGATAGCATTAACTCTCCGCTGCTGGAGTTAGCTCTGAGGCCGTTTGCAACGAGCCTCAAGTGCAGAGATGTGTGAGTTTCGTTCTCAATACGAAGAAGGGGCTTCGCATGTTTTGAGGGCCTCCCCTAGGAGGAAACGAATCAAGAAAGAGATAGAAAAAGAGAACAATCGGCCATCCTGACTTTGACATATCATACAGAAATTCTGCCCGTCTACTACGGCGTATGATGCCAAAATCTGCGTCTACCTTCGCAGTCACATCTGCGGCCAAGGATGGTATGGATTTTTGGAATCCGCCTGGGTTTGCGGAGCAATACGCCGACGTTTCTGGGATCAGCTCCGAGTCGACACCGGTGGGTGGCAAGATGATCGACTTCAGCATCAATCTAGAGCCAGACCCTGCTCTCCTGGCAGCCATCGACTCGGCTCTCTTCGTACCTACAGAGTACTGTCCATTTGGCACCAACACCATCAACCAGACGCTACACGAGCCTGTACGACTGTGCCCCGCCGCTGTGTCCATCGAGACCAAGACGGACCGGGCCGGGTTGGCGGATGCCGACGTGAAGCTGGCTGTGTGGATGGCCGCCTGGCGGTCGAGGATGATGCCTCTGGTGGACTGGCAGCTGAAGATGGGCCCCTCTGCACGGTGTATTACACAGCTGGGCATCACGGCCGTCGGCGAGACCTGGAAGCTCTACTTTCTCGTCGACAACGGTATCACGCTCGGCGCGCCGCGTTTGCGGCTCCTCGAGTATCCGGAGGCGATCGGGTGCACCCGGACCGTTCTGGGGGTCTACCAGCTCATTGCGGTGCTCAGACATCTCTGTACTTGGGCCGATCGATACTTTCGAGATTGGGTGATGGATGCCTTAGGGTGTCAGAAGCAGGTGGCGGCCGATAAATGATATGTAGGTGGCACGGCTTCGTCAAAAGTTGAAAGGGCGGAGGGGAAGCTCCGATATGAGGTTGACAATTTGAGGAACAAGGTCGTATGTCGAGGCCATCCTTGGGCAGGACTAGAAGGCCTTTTGATATCATATCACTAGAGGCGGCATAGGAGATATCATGGTGACCAAACCAGACAGTGACGTTGAGTGAGTCGAGAGGGAGTGCAAGAATGTGCAGCACAGCAGAGTTAGAGTGGTAGGAGAAGAGGAGGTGCGAGTAGTAATAGGTAAGGGTGGTTTTGTCTCTTTTTTCGAACTTGATTACTTATGTTCGTAATAATGGATGAATTCTTTTCTTCTTCTTCATCTTCATCTATTTGCCCCCCCCCCCCCCCCCTCGGGAGAATTTTATTATTCTCTATATACGACCTGAGAAAACCCGAGAGTAATGTATAAGGATATATTGATATAAATAGTATATATTACGTAATCATATTACATAATCAATAATATACAAGATAATAGAATTATAAACATATAAGTCGAAGGGGGGGGTTTTGGGCCGGGGTAGTTTTGGGCCACCCTGGCCACCCTCACCGCCTCTTCAACCCCCTTTAGTTCGATAGCTATTACTCAACCAATTTTGATCCAAACAACTTCATCTTTCTAGCAAACCTTTACCTGACTGTTATGAAGCCCTATTCCGAGTTTGAGCTAGCCCAGACTGTTGAGGCTGTCAGAAAAGGCAAGTCTCAGCGGCAAGCCTCGAGGGAATGGGGTATTCCAAGGAGTACTCTTCAGGCTCGCCTAGAAGGAGAGGAATCGCATAAAACAGCCCACGAAAACCAGCAAAGGCTCTCTATTGATCAGGAAAGAAGACTGGCTAAATGGATCCTGATTCAAGAAAGCTTAGGCATTCTACCAAGCTATTCAGAACTTAAATACTTTGCTCAGCAGATCCTCGAGGTCCAGGGAGACTCTCAGGCTCTTGGAATGCAATAGACTCAGGCTTTTTTGAAGAGAAATCCAGAGATAAAAATCAGGAAGACTCGCTGTATTGCCTCTGAGCGAATGAATGGAGCTATAACAGAGATAATACAGCTTTGGTTTCGTTTTTTTCAACCTTCCTCACATTCAAGTTATCAAGCCAGCTAATAGATGGAATATGGATGAAGCTAGCCTGATGGAGGGCTAAGGAATGAATGGATTAGTTCTCAGAGGCTCCTCTTCATATTCAATTCAAAAAAAGAACTCTGGTTCAAAGGCCTGGATCTCTTTTCTCGAGTATATCTCTGCTACAGATGCTTACCTCTTCCCTCTGGTAATTTTCAAGGGCTAAACAGTACAACAACAGTAGTTTCCTCTTGATTTGAAGCCTTTTGAGGGCTGGCAGTTCACAGCTACTCAAACTGGATAAACAAATAATAAAATAGCACTTGAATAGCTGAAAAAGATCTTTATCTCTCATAGCCAGCCAGCAGACCCCTCAGAAGCTAGACTGTTAGTCCTGAATAGCTATAGCAGCCATAAAACTGATGAATTCATATAGCTTTGCTTTCAAAACAATATACTGCTTATTTACTTGCTTTCTCATATCTCTCACATTCTTTAACCCCTCGATCTAGGGATCTTTTCATCTCTTAAACGAGCATACAGAAAGAAAGTTAGCAATATGAGCTAATAAGAGGATTCAACTATTGCAGGCAAGCGGTTATTCCTCAGGAACTATCATCTAGCTCAACTGAAAGGCCTTTCAAGCCAGAATATCAGATCTGGATGGAAAGCAACTAGTCTGTGGCCTCTCAGACTCTCAAAAGCTCTTCTAAGCTCTCTTCTCCTCGAGAACAGTCAATCAAGCTGTCAGACCCAGTCCAATTCAGGCTCAGCACAATCAACAGCACCTTATCTTCCCCCAAAAGCCTCCTCAAGCCAGCTAGTCCTCTTTTCAACTCCTCGAAAGGCTAAACAGCTGTATTATCAGCTGCTAGAGAATCAGCAATAACTTCGAACAGAACCAAGCTGCTATATGCTATTCAAGAAGATAAAAAAAGCTTATGGGAAGAGAAACCTCGAGTTTGCCAAGGCATTGGAGGAAAATAAAGCGTTGAAAAGGCAGATTGAGGCTCTGAGGCCTAGTAAAAGAAGAAAGGTTGATGTGAACCCGAATTCGAAGTTTGCAGGGATTAAGGATATACAGAGAGCTTAAAACGCGATCAATCGCTATGAGGATAGTCTGAATGAAGAGAGCGATATCGAATTACCTACTGATGAGGAGGATTGAATCGTAGTGGGTGAATAGAATAGATAAGCAGTATATATATATATGGGTGTGTGTATTTGACGAGGGTGGCCAGGGTGGCCCAAAACTACCCCGGCCCAAAACCCCCCCCTTCGACTTATATTATATATACATACTACTAAGAATGCTCGAACAACAAAGAGAAGTTTGATGAGATAGCTATTAGCACCGAAAAACCGCATGCTATCAACATTGGCTGCACAGAAATCTCTACGGATACGTCTTATTCCCATGCTGAGTGGGGGAGCAGGAGAATAGACGATTTAAAAAAAATTAAAAAAAATTAGAGGCTTATCTCTAGAATAATGTCGATTCCATTTTCTATCTGCCTTTCAATCACCGTTTTCGAGCGCCTCAGAGCCTTCACGAGCTCGGGCGAGCCACACAGATACACCTGTGCTTGCCGATCCAAGCAGCTTGCCGCCAGCATAATTAGCATCTCAAATCCTAGACTCAATCATACATGACAAAGGAACACAGGCCAAGACTCTTATCCCTAGTACTAAGACCGAAGCCGTTCTCTGTGTCCTTGCTCTTTTATTGTCAGTACAGAATTTGTCAAGAGATGAAGGATTATTATGAGGACTGACCGATGGAGACTGCTTTTGTCTTTCTCTTTTGTAGTAATCTTTCATATAAACCTCAAGCATAGCACTGTATGCTATTGAATCGCGATGCAGGCAATGCCAGCATATGACATGAGCTATGGTTCTGTGTCGATAGAATGTACCAAGAGGTCCATGTCCACAGCGCTTGCAATATTCCAATGTAAGGAGTGGTCGTGCTAACTCTTCAGTATATTCGACAAGGTGATCCATTTGTTCGATAGAAGCAATAAAGAACTGAAGCTTAGAGTAAATATATTGAGAGAAGAATCAATAGAGACGAAAGGAATTTATACTGCTAAGTCTATCCCTTGTTATGTAACAGTTCTTGTATATGATCTCACTGTCGCAATGTCTGCATTGCTTCTGTTTTATTGCCGGAGAAGATGACACAAGCAGCTATCCAGGTTAGACATGATTCAAACTGCGAAGCACAGGATTCCCACAAAGGCCAACAACCCCCTTTGCTCTCTAGCATCTTGGCTAAAGACCAAATTGGTATATTTGACCCGTGTACTGTCTGGTCAGTGCGAAGAATCGAATTTCGGTTCACACACTTGATCCGGCCTGACTTCTAATGCAAGCTCGCTTATGCACGAGTTACAGGTCTACATTCAGACTTTTGAACTAATGCAGAGCTACTCTCGTCAGTCATAGTGGCTCCGCGTCAATTACAGTGGCGTGCTGGCTGCTCGCCTGGTCTCGACATGGTGGGTTGGCTGGATGCTTGCCTGGCGAGGACTGGCTTCAGGGCACTGTTCTAAGACAACCCAGTATTATTACATTTGCAGCAAGAAAGCGGCAGCCGTGCTGCTAAGAATAGGAAATCAAACCACCAAGATTATATTGAGAGAAACCAGGATCTGAAGTTGCCACAACCCAGGTGCATCAACACCAGGCATAGTACATATCAATAGGAATATGTTCAAGTATAAAAGGGCTAGATTTTGCACTGCTGCATTGACTCGAATAAGTCCTGTTCTCCCCACTCGATCACCTTCCCCTATACATGTTCTGCAAAATGTCTTCATTACAAGGCGGCAGCTCATTTTTCACTGACAGCGGCGCATTGGAGCACAAGTACTGGCAAAACAAACTTGCTGGTAAATACTAACCTGAAACCTCTTCTTCTACAAGCTGACAAATTTGACTAGGCATCTGCTCCAAGTATGGCGTATCTACACCACAGTTTAGCATATTCTCAGATAAACGAGGTCAGTCATCGGCTCAAAGGGCACCCTCTCTTTCTCTTCAAATACACTATCTCGCATGCTAATTTCTTGTATTTCTGCTATTGTAAATGTAAAAGACTAACTTGCAATATCTTTGCATAGGTAGACGTACTGCTTGGACCAGCTTCGTGATTATTGCCAACTGCTCTTTTCCGGCGCGCTTCTGGTATGACGGCAAATTTCTCAATAATGCCAGGGAGGATGCAGCCGAAGTAGCGTTCAGGGTGCTTGCGGACTGTAAACGACAGTGACAAGGTTCTTTGACTGAAGGGGGGGTGGGGGGGGGGTTCGCTTTTCGCTCTCCTTTTTTTCCCTCTCTTATTTTCTTCTCTTTGCCACATCGGCAGTGTAGTAAATCACTATCACTAGGATGCAGCAGGCTACTACAGATCTTTCACAAGCATTGACAGATCGCCAAGTCGGTGCTCTTCTTCACAACATCCAGCAAATATCATACTACACTGTCTACACGCATCTCACGGTGCCCCTTGGAACGGGTGGAAGCATACAAGATGTATGAGTTTGAGACTGGCAGTCTGAAGCTCACGTACATCCAACCTCCGCCCGGCTTCCCTTCCGTGCATCCCATAGCGCGAGCTTCTAGTCATGGTCAGTCGCTCAGGAGAGAGAAGGCCACTTATTACGAAGTTGCGTACCAGCTTCTCTCCATCCGTGCCAACGAGGATGCTCGCCGCGCAGATGTAGAGCAGATCATGGATCAGCGCCAGATACAATTTCTGCAGGAGCAACTGACCAAAGCAGAAGCTCGTGCTGGCTCTGATGTTATACCGGCCCCCCCAAGATTGGTCGAGAAGGCGCGCAAGGACAACGAGGAGCTCAGAAGAGACTATAGTGGCGTTTGCAGAAGGCTGGAAGCTGCCGAAAGTCGCATCATACTTCAGGAGGGGATAATCGACACTTTGCGCGAGGACAGAAAGCTGCTGCGAGACCGCTTACGCGACAAGCGTGAACTCTGGGTCAAGCTTACCGGCCCGGGAGGCATGTTCCATACCCCCGAGATAGCCGAAGCGTTGCCTATCCAACATCACCAGACTCTACGGCAGACTTTGGAGCCCAGAACCGACCCAGAAACCCAGCTTCCGCCCAACATGGAACAACATGCTCAAAATCTGAGCTTTGCAGCAGACGAACTGCTAAGAGAGTGCCCCCACGAGAGCATAATCTCGACAATCGAAAACCAGGCACTGACTCGGGAACAACTCCAGTCAGTAGCAAGAGAAGCGTGTTCATTTGCTCTGGCTAGTCCGACTGCTGCGGATGCTTCCATCTTTAATATGCCAGGCTATTCGAACAGAAATGGAGCTAGGCATCTGCCTCAAGAATGGGCCGGGAAAGTTGTTGCAGAGAGTTATGTGGATGGTGCTCTGATGTACGAAGTGGCATGGGATTCCATACTGGAGCTACAGCCGCCACATGGCGAGTGGACAGGGCAAGTCACTGCAGAGAGACATATGGATGGTATCTTGATGTACGAAGTGGCCTGGGACCCTTCACTGCAACCAGGGGAGAACCTCAGCGCGGCAATGAAAGAAACTTGGGAGAGGGAGAAGAAGCATGGAACCAAGCCTTCAGCCCTGGCTTGCTTGGCTTGATACTGAGTCTGTCGATCCTTGTACCTGAACAATCCTGCCTAGATGTTCCAGTCTGAAAACTGTGCCAACAAGATGTATGCTACCGGTGACTAGGATCTGAGTATCACCTCGTGAACTCTGTAGCCTCCGAGCGATCTCAAGTGTTTCTTTGACACTTGCAGCAATCCAGATCTGGGACTGTGAAGTGTAAGTAGATCTCCAGATCTCTCGGTAACGCTCTAGCATCGCTACATCATTGCTCGAGCTTTCATCTGGCTCATTATTAGCCTCATTTATGCCAAACTGGGAAGGGCAAGGTACCTTTATCCTGATAATAGGTTGTAAAAATAGCATGTTGAATCGGTATATGAAGAGACTCTGCCAGACGCTTCAGCACTGCTTCACAGTCACGAGCTGTTGACTTCTGTGCAAATATCAAGATGCTATGCGGCATTGAATATTCTCTGCAGTTTATTAGCCAAGTGTATTGTGAGTACAGTCCCAAGGGGTATTTGAAGCTATACCTGGATGCAATTTGGAACCATTGTGCAGCTTCTGTGATGCTGAGCTCGTTATGTGCTCCGTCCAGATACCAAGTAACTTGACCAGCCCGAATTATCTCAAAGCGCCCGGGCCAATGAAAACGTTGGATACCGTCGACCACAGCCTGTTGAGATAGATAAGGTAGCTGTCCTTTCGGTACTGTTCGCCGAAGGAATTCATCGCTTATTGCTTGCGCCAAGGAGCAATTGAGGCGTTGAACATCGCTCGCAAAATGTCCAGGAAGCTCAGTATTCATCCCAACAACCTTCAGTGATACTTGCTTTGCAGCTGCCCAAGCGTGTAATACAGCAGAAACACTTGGTTCCTGCGGAGCACAGAACGTTGTAGCTCCTGCTTTGAGAATGCCAGCTTTATGCCAGGCGATATCTTCTATAGTTGGCCCAAGATCGGAGACATGATCTAGCCCAATGCTTGTGATTGCAGTGATGACTGGATGCTTGACGAAGTTGGTAGAGTCATACTCACCACCATGATGCGTCTCAGATAGCAACATCGACACCTTCGTGAACAAAAGCGTGGATCGAGATGATAGCAAGCAACTGAAGAAAGCGCGGACCGTGGTTGATGTTGTAAAGCGATAAGCCATCGCGGACCTCGAAGACATACTGTGCGAAACGAGCTTCGTCGAGCGGCTCAAAATTGATGCGGATCCGTTCGTTCATCTGCAGCAGATGTGGCGAAGTATATAGCCCAGTCTTGCGCGGAAACGATCTACCATTCCCCTGCGCTCGAAGGAATGATTCGATATATGCGCAAGTACTTCCTTTTCCTTTGGTTCCGGCGACATGTATGATGTTCAAACTGTCCAGTCTCGGACTCTAGCTATCAATCAGGGAAGCCATTCAGCAGTAAATGTTGTTTTAGCATACCGAGTGACCAAGCTGCTGAAGCCATTGTTTCATACCCACCAGCGAGGATGTGCCTCTCAGGACTGGTCCGTTTGGCGGGGATGCATGTCCAGGCCCCCCCAACTTTGCCTTTGCACTTGGTCTCGCAATGCGTAGTCGGCTTGCTAAGAAGGCGACAGCGCTCTTGAAACAATCAGTATCTCTGTCAAAATTCATCCTGTTGATAGCTACTCACCTCGAAGTTCCTCGACTCCATGCTGTGAGGAATGAGATTGATGTTGGGCTCTGCAATCTGACTGTGGCGCACGCTTCTGGATAGCAGAAGTGCGGGGTCTACTCACCTTCAGCATTGCCACCTCGAATCCTTATCTCAAGCAGAACCAGCTTCTATTTCAGCCCAGAGCCTTGCCAGATTCTCGCCTGTCACTCATCAATATGGCACCCCAACTCAACAGCACGCCTAGCAAACCTAACAAGGCTGACGCTTGGAGAGACAATTTTGGAAAAAGAATTCGCACCAATCTTCAATGGTTAGCTGGGGACAGTCCAATATGCAGCACTCAACATTGTCACATGGCAGTATTCTTCAAAGGACTGGGTAATGACGCATACCTACAAGAAGTCCAGAAACTTAGTGCCTTTGAGTTACAGTTATACTGTATCTCACTCACCCCTTCGGCCCAGAAAGGCGATCTCTGCTATTTCTGAGCCCACGAGATGAAAACAGCATTATACGCCGGCTTTGCGAAGAAAGAACGATGCGAAGAAGTTCATCAGAGGATCTTGGCTTGCAGAGACGAGGTGTTCAAGAAGATCTATACAGACGCCCTATCAGATTCCTCACGCGATGAAAAATTTATCGAGGGGTTGAGCAGCCTTGTTCTGTCCATGTTGAGCAGGCAATGTATCCAGCACTTAATTCATTGTAAGTGGCCCTGAAGATCAACTATATATCTATGGCTTACCATTATAGGTCTCTACTCATTCTCCGCGCATACTGAATCGATCGGATCTCACGAAGACGGCACGCAGCCCGGTGACCCGGCTCCCAGTCAGCATCCCGAAGCCCAAGAGGACGGAGCCAATGTCTCCGGGCCTTCCGGTGCACATCTTCCACCTCTCAATAAAGAGTCCAACCAATTGCTCCATATTGTATAGTTTGCAGGGGGAGCTGTCTCGGACTGCTTGTTCAGCACTGCTTTGACCTGGACGGAAGCAGGAGAAACGGAGGCTGTCGACATCCCCGTTCCCGAGGTACTAACCTCCAAGGAACGCACGGAAGCTGCCATAGCACAGCTCCGTCACCACTATTGCTTAATCGATCTGACTGGGTCTTCTGACTTTGGGAGACACTTTATAATCAATCCGGAATACTCTGCATATCTGAGCAAAGAAGCACGTGAAGCCTCAACCTACTGGCGGGAAACAGCACTGGCAGTCCTCTGTAGAGCGTTTCCACGATGGCCTCATATATCAGCAAGGTACGAGACCCGTGTCCTTTTTTCCTTGGAGTAGGAAAACCTCTAACATAACTTAGAGCATCACATTGCAAGATTCTCCTACCCATTCTGTGTCACATCTTGTTTTATCTTCCAAGAAACCTCAACCATAAACTGCGATCACATCTTACCGAAGTCTGCATTTCAGCCTCATATTTTGGATCCTTGACCTGGAAATCGGTCATGTTGAGATACGCTGCCCACCTCAATCCCGGAGACCCTTCACGCACAATGAAGATCCGCTTACGGACTCGCATGCTCAATAAGCTATCTCTCAAAGAGGATATCTCCACTGACAATGCCTCACTGAGACACTCCAATCAACACTTGAATGCTGTTTTTGGAGAGGAGATTATCTTCGAGATGCAAGGGCTACTTGAGCAAAGAGTACCTATCAAGACCTTGGAGGATTACTTCAAAAGCTTTGTCCCTCTAGAACATTCAGAGCAAGAGGAGCAGATACTGCTTCAGGGGCAGGAAATCCTCGCAAGAGCTACTCGATTCGAAGGCTTGTTCGACCAAGCCAATACCCGATATATCCAGATCATGTCAACTTATTCTCGGAATATCATACCACAGCGCTTTGTGGCTTCTTACATTGAGATTCTCTGTGAATAAAGTAATTCACAGGCAGCTCTGGACATGCTTTCTACTGAATTTGACAATCAGTCGAACAATCTAGGAAGGCGTCTGACCTTGACCCGGGGCCATGTCCATCTCACGAAAGCACTCTGGAACCTCTATCTCAACCACCAACTGGACCAGGACTCGATAAAGTCATTACAAGAGGCTAAAGCCATTTATATACAACAACGAGACAATCTCTGTCTTAAGGATATCAGAACACTTACTAGGACTAACAAGGACAATTACTTCGTTGTATGTGCTGGTATTGCAATGGCAGCACATGCTTTGGTTATAGATAATTCTTTGAGAAACAGGCAGGATTTGCTCGAAAGCACAGTGGAAGCTTTGAAAGCATGGCAGGAAGCTGAGGCTGCTGCCAAGAACCGTTGGGAGGAAGCTGGCTATTCTGAGATGCTCACTCTTTATTCTCAGAGTGAGCTTGCACATATTTTGGGTCGCACAGATGCTAGCACCTTGAGACAGAATGCCTTGAAGATCTACAAGACAACAGGTCGACAGTTCTACTATGTTGCCCATGGGACTGTTTGGTTTCAGATTTTGGAACATCTTGCGACAAGTTGTAGCCGAGCTGGAATACTTGTCTGAAGATTGAATCGTTTGGAGATAGTCTTAACTGAATGGCTTGCTACCCTACAAATACTTTTCCTCCTCTTGATTTCACCTGCTTTGCTAGCTGGACTACCAAGTCTGTTGTAATGCCCAAGAAAGCTATGATTCTGGAAGCATCAGCAAAAGTTACGTAGCCTCCCTGAACACCTTTGCCACGCACAATTGTTCGGTCTATCTTCCCAAGACTCTTGTCAATATCTCTCCAGGGAAGAGTTCGCTTGCATGTACAAAGTTGATAGATTTGGGTTACATTGACCTGCCCTGTCTGTGCTAAGTACAGTACAGTCTTGGTGTTAGACCTTAGGATCCAATAGGTCATGGTTGCTGCTGGCTGCTCATTGGCATTCTGTGATTGTGCAGCAAAAAGCTGAGCTGGCGGGCTATCAGGGGGCTCAGTAGGGACCAGGCTGTTGGAGATCTGGGTCGGGGGGCCTGTATGCTCAGACAGCTCAGCATGATCTCTACGAGAAGCAAAGATCTGAGTCGGCAGGCTGGTATGCTCAGGGAGCTCAGTGGGGACCAGCCTGTAAAAAGATTTGAGTCAGCAAGCCAGCATGCTTGGATCACAAATGGGAAGTCAGAGTCGCAACATACCAATCTAGAGGGCTTGGAGCATTTTGAGATCGATGCTGCTCAGGTGTTGGGGGATATTCGGTAGGGGTTTGCTCCATGGAAGTATGTGAATAGTTCAGGAAGGAGTCTTCAAGAAGAATCTGATCAGCAGGAGGGCGATCATCCGGTGTGATTCGAAGCAGAGACTTGACGAAGTTGCAATAAGCTATATCTATAGCACGGTCAAGTCTCTGTATAAGCTGTTCAGTCCAGCATGGGTAGTTCGCATCTTTCCTCGGGTAGTCCGGCAGCCCAAGAACAAGCTCTAAAGCAATCACTCCGAGAAACCACAAATCGACCTTGTTGGTGTAGTAGGCCTGGGAGGAAACCTCAGGAGCTAGGTAGAGAGCTGTGCCACAATTTGTCTCGAGTTGTTGAGACCGTGCAACTGCCAGACCAAAATCGGTTTTTTTGATATGCATCGGATTGCATCTTGGTACTAGGATGTTGGCTGGTTTGAGGTCACGATGCGTGACATGCCTGGAGTGAAGATAATCCAGGCCGGAGAGCAATTCAGTTGCGAGCTCTCAGGTGTCATCTAGTGTGAATGGCGATTGTTGATGAGATATCTCTAGGTTGGGGCCGTGAACGAGTTCCATCACTATCATAGTATTATCGTGACCCATCGAGATGAACTCGATAAACTTGACAATGTTGCGCTTTATAAAATATTAGTATGGGTAACAAGCAATATTAGTACAGGAACATACATGAGAGAGGCTTTGCAGAATTGCTGGTTCTTGCAAGCTCCGTTCGTTCAGCTTGTGGATCTCCTTGACCGCAACATAAGCTCCGGTGTAGGAATGAACTGCTCGATAGACCGTTCCGTAGGCGCCGTTACCGATCTTGGCTTGAGGCACATAAGGCTGCCGAGCTCCCCGGGCTGCAGTCGCCAATGTGGACGATGGCGGGATAGATGCTAGATCCAGATGACCGAGACTCGGGGGGGCTCGACCGAGGCGTGAATAGAACTGCTCAAAGCTGCAAGGGATCGTTGCTGTGATCAGCAAGCTCAAGGATAATGACGTTTCCAGGGAGGAAGATTGTTGTTAAATCATTTGGTACCAGAGCTCACTGAGTTTTGATCTTGATTTTGCTGTATAGCATGGAGCTGATATTGATACTATAGGTTGAAAGGTTCTTTATTACAATACTCTTGAGATCAGGATTGATATACACATTACAGGTTGCTGCGTCACAACCAAAGACAAAGCCAAGCCGTTCGTCTTTCATGCTGTGATCAACAGTGAAGCGTAAAGATACTTTATCGAGTTCCTCCGGAGCAGGTGTACTCCCATGTGTAGCTGTTTCCTGACCAGCGAAATCATCAGAGAGAAACGTTGGCTCTCCCGACACACGAAAGCGTTTGTTGTGGGAATGATGCATGAAGTTGCCAGTGGAAGTCACGGTGAAGAGAATTATAGCTTCCTCGTCCATGCTGGAATCTTGCGGCAGGAGAAAGAGAAGTTGGAGTGGAATGGCTTGTCTTTGTACGGATGATTACAATGAAGCAATGCAGTCTTATACGTTCCAGAATTGATGCAGAGCTGGGTTTCGAGGAGAAGGATAGGGGGACTGTGTGCTACCATACAGGCTGCTTTTCACCGCCACTGTGATATGAACGCTGGTTGCAAGTACTCCGGACTTACCCTGTTCAGAGTACAGACTACTATCACTTGATGCATTGCTAAATGACAGGGTAGTCATCTTAAGCGCCGGGTAATCCATCGCGTCTTGGCACTGTTAAGATCACTTGGTTACATTGTTGCCACGGGGCCCAGCAGCAAAGTTATATAGTACGGATCGTACACAGTAGAGCTAGAGGGACAACTTTGAGCCAGTACCCCTGGCGTGCCCGCCACGCTTACGTCATGTTACTTAAGTAGCAGGCCCCCCACGCGGCAGGCAATACGGATCATTTTGAGGGTAACTATGCATGCACCCATCCACATTTCACATCTCCACACTGGTCAACCTTGCACATTTCGGAGAGAGCAGCATCTCAGCAGGATCAAGCTATCTATCCTTGTACACAGTCATTTCATACCGATCATCTCCCTATACAGCGTCGCATCCGAACAACCAAATTCCTCGTCAAGTACTTGATGCAACAGCTCAAGCGTTTTAAGCCTGAAGGACTACAGCTGATATCGCGCGACGAATTACAACTCCATCATGGACATGTTTGCCTAAAGGTAGATTGTACTGCACGAGCAGATGATCTCTCCTATTGGCAATGCAGGAAATCCTTCTTCGAGATAGAGCTGCGCCGAATGCGACAGGAGAAATTTGGCTTGCCACGACAGCCTCCCGACCCAACCTCTCTACAGAACGATATTGAGTGCAGCAATGCACAGCAGAAATTTGCTGCTCGCTGGCCAATCACCAAAGCATATATAGAGCAGTGGCTTTGTACTTCACGAGGTATATTATTTTTAAGTCATATTATTCCAAATTTCATAAACTAATATGTTTTCAGAGACTAGGCCTAGGCGTAGGAGTCGACAGCTGGGAGGTTTGCCGCCAGAAGAGGTTCAGCCATTACCTCCCCAACGACGTATACACGCCAGAAGACATATAAGGTGATATCTTGAGAGTCAAAACCGAGGGAAGCTGAGAGAGAGATGGCAGTGTCGGCTCCAGGGCCTAGGCACTGCAATGGATAAGATAGCAGTAGCCCTGCGCCATTGATGCCGGCAGATGTGGCCGAGGTGGTTGCTGCGGCGGCGGTAGAGGTGGTCGTGGTGAAGCTGCCGCCGATAGCGTAGCCCGTGGACTCATCCACAGTTGCGTTTGCAATCTCTTTCTATTTCCATGGTTACAGGCAGGGCTTGACGAATAAGCTCTGGCACTGAACCAGAGCCGCTCCCGCGACAGGATATTCTGGCTCCAGCACATCGACAGCCCATAATAACAACACGGCTCGGATAAACAATTCGGCGGACGTACTTCATCGCGCTGTATCAGCTGCGCTCCTTCGGGCTTAAATCGATTGAGTTGTTGTATCGAATGCTTGATGAGGAGCTTGGTTGTCTGGATGCGACGCTGTGTTGAGAGGTGATCGGTACGGAACGACCGTGTATGAGAGAGGTAGCTCGATCCTGCTGAGCCAGGCAGATCGCCATTGCTGAGATGTGCAAGATTGGTTCTCGTTAAAGGTAGAGGCGAACTTGTTCGAGTGATAAAGGCGTTCATAGCGAAAGATTTATGGGTGACTGGACTGGAGGAGAGAAAGCATTGTAAGCATTGGAGTGAGGTTGTGTACAACAACAGACCCTAACCCTCTTTACTTGCTTAGAGTGCTGAGCATTGAGAGCCAGCCAATGACGTGTGCATGAGTGGGTCCCGATCAGAAAGGTGGCCTGTGCTGCCGGAGCTTGACAACTGGCCAGCGTTGTGCCTTCTCTCTCCGTGGCCCCCCAGGCAATTGGAACGTCTTATGAAGTACATGCTGCGACACCACGACCACCGTCAAAGCGCTCCATTTTCACCTTTCCCGCCGTAACCTGTTGTCAATTGCCCAACATGAACTACGGCAAAAAGGATGAAGATGCCGACACCGGCTTGATCAGGGTTGACAGGACCCAGGTCTTCCAGGAAGGTCAGTTGTGTTCTCTTGTCTGCGATCCAGCTGCGCCCGCGCCCATCCCCTTCTGCTTCTTCCCCTGGCAGAGCCAGCCCACGATGCTGATGATGCTGATACCGGATCAACTGCAGCGCGTCTGTTCAACAGCTCGCCCATACAGGCCAGAAAATGTCGAATTCTCCTGACCAAGATCGCTCTCCTCCTCTACACTGGCGAGAAGTTCCCCTCCAACGAAGCCACCACCCTCTTCTTCGGTATCTCGAAACTCTTCCAGAACAAAGATGCCAGCTTGCGACAGATGGTCCACCTCGTCATCAAGGAGCTGGCACACTCCGCTGAGGATATCATCATGGTCACTAGCACAATTATGAAAGATACTGGCGGCAGCACCGATGTCATCTATAGACCCAACGCTATTCGGGCCCTGTGCCGTATTATCGATGTATGTATAGACCAACGCTGTGTGCAACGTCCTCTTTGACTTTTCCTCGCTGACGTATCCTCTCTTGTTTTCCCTCTCCTCTAGGCGACCACTGTCCAGTCTATCGAGCGTGTCATGAAGACTGCCATTGTCGATAAGAACCCTTCCGTGTCCTCGGCCGCCCTCGTTTCCTCCTATCACCTCCTTCCCATCGCGAAAGATGTCGTCCGGCGGTGGCAGAGCGAGACACAAGAAGCTGCGGGCAGTGCCAAATCCTCGGGCGGGTTCTCTCTAGGCTTCACGTCTTCCTCTAGCCAGCTGCCCGTCAACAACTCGACCATGACACAGTACCACGCCATCGGACTCCTGTACCAGATACGCTCCCACGACAGGATGGCCCTAGTCAAGATGGTACAGCAGTTCGGGGCTGCTGGGGCCGTCAAGAGCCCGGCTGCCATTATAATGCTTGTGCGCCTTGCAGCGCAGCTGGCTGAGGACGACCCTGGCCTGAGGAAGCCCATGATGCAGCTGCTGGACGGATGGTTGAGGCACAAGAGCGAGATGGTCAACTTCGAGGCGGCCAAGGCCATCTGCGATATGCGGGACGTGACCGATGCTGAAGTCTCTCAGGCCGTTCACGTCCTTCAGTTGTTCCTGACATCCCCTCGTGCCGTCACCAAGTTCGCCGCGCTCCGCATCCTCCACAACTTCGCTTCCTTCAAGCCGCAAGCCGTCAACGTCTGCAACCCTGACATTGAGCTTCTGATTTCCAACAGCAACCGCTCTATCGCAACATTTGCCATCACGACTCTCCTGAAGACCGGTAACGAAGCTAGCGTCGACCGGCTGATGAAACAGATTTCGGGCTTCATGTCGGAGATCACGGACGAGTTCAAGATCACCATCGTCGAAGCTATCCGGACACTGTGCCTCAAGTTCCCCAGCAAGCAAGCCGGCATGTTACAGTTCCTCAGCGGTATCCTCCGTGACGAGGGTGGCTACGATTTCAAGCGCGCTGTTGTCGAGAGCATGTTCGACCTGATCAAGTTCGTTCCCGATTCCAAGGAGGAAGCTCTTGCACACCTGTGCGAGTTCATCGAGGATTGCGAGTTCACAAAGCTGGCAGTTCGTATATTGAACTTGCTGGGTCTGGAGGGGCCAAAGACATCACAGCCGACAAAGTACATCCGCTACATATACAACCGCGTTGTGCTGGAGAACGCCATCGTCCGTGCGGCTGCAGTGACATCTCTGGCAAAGTTCGGTGTAGGCCAAAAGGACCCCGAGGTCAAGAGGAGCGTGCAGGTCCTGCTCACCCGCTGTCTCGATGATGTCGATGATGAGGTCAGAGATCGCGCTGCTCTAAACCTCAGGCTGATGAGTGAGGAGGACGAGATGGCCGAGAAATTCGTCAAGAATGGTGCGTCTTGCAAACCCCCCCTCCCCACCCTCCCTCCAACTTCTTGTTGACGCTAACAATCAATGCAGACAGCATGTTCTCTCTTCCGTACTTCGAGCACCAACTTGTCATGTACGTCACATCAGATGACAAGTCAACGTTCGAGTCAGCCTTCGATATCTCCAAGATACCTGTTGTCACCAGGGAACAGGCAGACGCCGAAGACAGGACCAAGAAGCTCACAGCGTCAACGCCATCGCTCAAGCCGCCAAAGGTCGCGCCGACAAAGGCCGCACCGAGTGGAGCAGAAGCTGCGGCATCTGCTACTGCGGCGGCCCAGCAGTACGCTCAAGAGCTAATGGCCATCCCCGAGATGAAGGAGTTCGGCAACCTGCTCAAGTCGTCGGCTGTTGTTGAGCTGACAGAGGCTGAGACCGAATATGTCGTCAAGGTGGTCAAGCACATATTCAAGGAGCACATTGTTCTACAATACGACATTACAAACACCCTGGACTCCGTACTGCTGGAGAACGTGTCAGTTCTTGCATCACCGGCCGAGGATGAAGAGCTCGAAGAGGTTTTCATCATTGAGGCGGAAAAGCTCAACCAGAATGAACCCGGCAAGGTCTATGTGGCGTTCAAGAAAACCGCTGGCGAGGGTGCACTTCCCGTCACTTCCTTCTCCAACACACTCAAGTTCACTAGCAAAGAGATCGACCCCACGACGAATGAGCCAGAAGATACCGGCTACGATGACGAGTACGAGGTGGCCGAATTTGACCTGGTCGGTAGCGACTATGTGATCCCAACCTACGCCAGCAACTTCGCGCACCTGTGGGAGCAGGTCGGCGCCTCAGGCGAAGAGGCAGAAGAAACGCTCCAGCTCGGCAGCATGAAGAGCATAGCAGGTAAGGTCTTCCGGGCCCACCCTACCCCGGGAAACCCACTACAGAAGCTGACAAGTTCCCCCACAGAGGCCACCGAGCAGCTCACCAAGGTCCTTTCCCTGCAGCCCCTGGAGGGCACCGACGTGCCCGTCAACCAGACGACACATACGCTCAAATTGCTCGGCAAATCCGTCAGCGGCGGCAAGGTTGTGGCCAATGTTCGCATGGCTTTCTCGACCAAGTCGGGCGTCACCACAAAGATCACCGTGCGCGCCGAAGAAGAAGGCGTTGCGGCCCTTGTGGTGGCTTCTGTTGCCTAAATAGCATGACGCTGGTAGGAGTTGGGAAGGAGAATGAGCTTTGCTTCGGGCTTTGTCGGTGGATTGCGGAGAGGGAGAGAGAACCTTGGCGAGGAGAGAAGGTAGATGACTCCTTCTCTCTACCGTGCGTGTCTTAGGTCCGGCGTGGCATCCCCGTGGCGCAAGGTTCCTTGACGGGGGAGGGGGGCGTCTCTTGACTTGCTTGCTTGGTTGTAGACTGCAGGAAGCCAGGTAGGGCCCGAATCTTTAAAAGAACCCTGATCCTATTTTTGTTTGTTGTGTTTTTTGGTCTTATATACATATAAGAGGAATTGATTGGTAGGATGAGGAATGGATGGGGTCTAGCATGCAATGATGGACGAGCCAAAATTGAGTGTTTTTTGCCCACTTGGAATGAATGGACCAGCTTTCTCAACCCGACTATTTGGTGCAGCAGGTCGATTTTGCCTGGCAAGAGTAGCAGACTCTCATGCTGATATCAGAATCACGAAAAAGCATCACTAGTGGAACGAAAACTCTGGGAGCAAAGATGATGGATGGATGCCTGCCTCTCACAAAAAGATATCTCGCTCTCATTTTCTTCATTCAGTCTCTGTACAGGAATAAATCCCCAATGACAACGACAACAGCCCAGTCTACTTGGCCAGCAGCAGCTCCGAAGGGTAGGCATCAAGCAAAAAGACATATCTTCTCCATCCATCCGTCTCATCGCCTTCACTCTCCGTCCTCCGCCACACGTACACCATGACATACAACATTTATGATGCTGCCTCACCGATCTGAGGGAAAAGAAGAAGAAAAGTCCAGGGGAATCTAGAAGAAGATAGAGGGTACACAGTTTCCGACAAAAAGAAAAAATTGCTAAGGGGGTTTTGAGAATCGAAAGGTCGATGAATAAAGGTGAACACACGCCTGACGCTCGCAACTGATAATGAAAAGGCGCTCACCGAGCATCGAAGCCAAACATTAGATCCCCGCCTCTTTTGAAAAGAAATCTCAAGCAATGAGAAGAGGACAGGTTTACTGGAGAAGGGGTTTGTGACATAAGGAAATTCGTAATCCGCCTCGAAAGGCTGCTGCCGTGATGGTGGTCTTGAAAAGTACTGCCTTTGTGTGATCTGCCGCCGCGGCTGGAATGGGCAATAGAAGCCTGCTGCCCAAAAGGGTTATCACGTCCTTTGTGGACGGGATACATGACGGATTGAACAAAAGACGGATGCCCACGACGTGGGGGTCAAGGCGTGAGATTAACATATGGTGGTGTATCGCGCTCCAATTCGGTCAGGGATTGCAGCCACTGCTCAAGCAAGGGAGGCGGAGGCGGTAGCGGCCGGTCGTAGAGAGCGCTGTTGGGGACAGAGACCGCCGCCACGCTAGCATTACGTACGGGTCCGAACCTCTTCTCCTATCGTCGTCGGACTGGGCCATCGCGCTGCTTAAGACGGCTCGTTCGCCAGCCCTCGTACCATTGGTCCCTGCTGGCCTCGCGCAGCTCTGCGCGCCAGTCGCTGAACACCGCCTCCTTCAGCCGCAGGAAGTCGCAGTGTTCCTCGTTGTTGGGATCCGCGAAGCCCCAAGGGAACTTTCGACCAATCACCTCAGGCTCGTAAATATCAGGGCTAATGATGGACAGTGGGATGTAGGGGATCTCCTCTTGCTGGCCCTCATCGCCTCTGTTACGCCGGGCCGAGGCGATGGACTGTCGCTTCGAGCTCTTGGACTGAGGGGACGCCTCGCCGGCCTGGATGGGTAGCTCGTCATCATTTCCTCCCTCTTCGCCACTGGCATAGTCGGAATCCTGTGCCTCTGGTTCTTCTGCAATTTGGGTAGACGATGGCCGTGACTCCTCGTCCTCGCCGTCCTCGAGGCCTAGGACCTCCAGCGGGTCCATGTTTGCCTGCTTCAGGCTATCCCAGACCGATTTCTTGAGGACGTTCATGTGCTTGGAGGTGATGGTGTCTGCCTTGGCAACGACAGGGATGACTGTGGTCTTGCCCTGGAGCGTGCGGAAAACCTGCAGGTCGAGGTCGTCGTCCAGGCTGCCGACGATGCGGCTATGGGCGTGGTATTTGGCATTCCCATTGGTCGCCAGAGCCCTCGCAGAGGAGATGTTCTTGTCTAGCCTAGCCGGGTCCAGAAGTATAAAGGCACAGTGAATGTGAGTATCCTGAACGCCGGGTGACCGTATGACCTTCATCTCCTCTGCAAAAGTCTCCTCAAACTTGCTTTCGACGAATGTTGACATCTCTCGAAGCTGCAGGTCCACGACATTCTTCTCCAATCCCTCTGAGTCCCACAGCGTCAGTCCGACGCGCTCGCCGTCAATCTCGCTCTCGAGGTAATGAGGAATGAAGTTGCCAGACGGCGTGGCTCGGACGCGTTCATCCTCGGGATCCATGCGAGTGCCTCGCTTATGAGGGGGAAGAGCCAACGCAGTCTTGAGGAATTCGAGAAAAGAGGTCTTGCCAGAGCCCCGCGTGCCGATGATCAAGACGCTACAATCAGTTGAGTCGGTCAGCCCAGGTCGTCATCTCTCGGAAGGCGGGTTATTTGGTGGAGGACTTACTTGAATGGAGTCGGGTCCTTTCTACGGCGGACTCGTCGAGGGTTGTTGACGGTGGAGATTGCAGAGCTTGCGTAGCTGTACCGTCCCCGATTCGTCATCGACTCGGTCCGCGCGTACGGATCAACCCAGTGCCCCGTGGGGATAGGGGGCACGGGGATGTCGGTGGATATGGCACGAGGCTGCTGGTCCATTGACGAGCGAGGCATGCTGCGAGGTTGTGACTCTGGGCGGTCGGAGCCAAAGATAGCAACCGAGTCTCGGGTTTCGAAGATGGGCTCCCGGAGTCCATTATAGAGCTGGGGAAGCTTGGGAGGTGGACGAGCGCGGGCTGCCAGGGTCGCCTGCCGTTGCAGTTCCGCCTCGCGGGCCTGCTGAGCCTTCTTTCCTTTCATATCGCCTGACTTTCGTCGCAACAGCATTCCGAAGGAAGAGCGATGCGGACTGCTCATTCTATGGCGAGACCAAATTCGTCAAGGAAGGCTGCTGGGGCGGGGAGGCCACTAGGACGCACCAGCACCAGCAAGAGAAGGCAAGTACGGTCGACGAGTGTCCCTGTCGGCCAAGACAGGTAGGTTGAGTTTTGGGGAACGTCTTTAAAGGCGCAGTCGTCTGGTAGACGGGGTCGGTAAGGTGCACTGGGGTTGGAGTAAGGGAAGGTTGTGTTCGCAGTTGGGCACAAGAACACGACCTCACCAGAGAGCTGGAAGGCTGGCGAAGCTGTTGGCGCTAATTTCTTCCGTGGTTGTGTGTGTGTAACCGGCGCACGGGATGGTGAGACCACTATGACCAGGAAGCATTGTCAGTATGTTGGCGTCACGGAGCAATTGAAACGATGTTATAATCTGACGCGTTGCAGATCAAATATGTATGCTCGGCCAGCAGTAATGACGAGGGAGAGCGTGCAAACGAAGTCTCTGCACCGGCAATATAGCCTGTGTGTGCGCGGATCGAGAAGGCTGCAAGATGTGTGCGCTGTTGCGCCACCTTTCAAAACCAGTGTGGTGGAGGACTCAGAAGATGGGTGGGTGGGTGGTGTGGTGGAAGTGGGGACAGCGTCCAATTGCCACAAGGCTCTATCCGTATAGAGACAAGGCGCTTGAGGATGCTCGGAGATGTAATCTACCTCTTGCACCAGAGTTGCCGGCAGAGCCATCCCACAAGCCACCGAACAGGCCTCACGAGACACGGTTACAACATCCAAGATGCGAGCGAGGAAAAAAGAACGGCGACGTACATCTTCGCGCAGAGGAATCTGCTTGGTCACGGAAAGAGGACTCGACTTGGACTCGAACCTGGACTCGAACCTGGACTCGGTTTGGACTCGAGGTGGACTCGAGCTGGACTCGAACCTGGACTCGAACCTGGACTCGAACCTGGACTCGAAGCTGGACTCGAAGCTGGACTCGAAGCTGGACTCGGTTTGGACTCGAGGTGGACTCGAAGCTGGACTCAAACCCTCGGCTGGGACTCGACTCTGGACTTGACTTGGACTCGAATCTGGACTCGACAATTATTGTCGATATCGCGCCAATGATGACGGGGCCGTGGATAAATTATATGCAGTGTGGACTAGTCCAATCGGGCTTAGTCAGGGGTATTGTCGAAGGCCTGTATGGGAACCCAATGATGGTGAAGTGCTGGCTATGTCGTACAGCGGCGTGTCGTTGTGCAGTGGTGATGAGCGTGGAAGGGGGAGATTTTATCAAGAGAAATGAAAATGGCAGGTAAACGAAGGTAGAGAGTGTCGAAAACGACGAGATTCGATTGGTGTGTCAACGGGACCGCAAAAAGGTGTCGTCACGCAGCAGGATCAGCGCCTCTGCTTCTGTGGGTGGTGGACGGTATGTGAGGTGACGTTGGTGTTATCCCACCCCAGAAGGTGACGTTGGAAAATGAGCGCGGCTCTGTGTTCAGGTTTCCCAGACCGTGAACTTTGGTTTGTCGAGGGCTTGTTCTTCTGTCAATTCGACGACAATCGACGAGGAGGGGAGGAAATGAGGGAGGAAAGGAAAGGAGATAGAGGGGAAAAGAAGGCTCAACGTCGAAGATCAGAGTCCTGTGGACACAACGCAAGAAAAGACAAGAGATGCTCCAAGCTTGGGGAAATTGCCTGGAGGAGACTGAGGGGGACTGAGGATGGACTCCGGAGGCCCTGAAATCATGAGAGCGAAATGCAGGCCATCTGGGGTGTGGCCAGGGGTCCAGGCCTAAGCGGACCCAGGCACTGCAGGTACCGCGGCGACTTTTGTCTTCAGGGGCTCTGTCTGCACTTCAATCTGGGCGCTAAAGCCAAGCAAGGGCTCCCCACTAGCCATGCTACTGTAGCCTAATCATAGGTACTCATGGCATTATGTACTTAGCATACTATGTACTGTAGTGCATTCGAATCCCAGCTGTGGGGGACCTAAATTGGCCCGAGCTCCTGCTTTCTTGCAGGCAACCCAATGACCCTCTAATACACCGTAATTAGCTGCTGCTACAGTATGCCCTAGCTGCTGCAGTTCCAACCCCACCCACCCACCGCGGTAGATACCGGCAGCACTATGGCCAGCTTCTCCACCAAGCTGTCTTGGAACTTGGCTTCAGCAACCACCGACACACTCCGCAGCGCCTTTCCCAACGTCCAAATTCCCGCACGCTCATGCCACCAGCGCTGCTAGTATGTAATTACCCTGTATTGAGTGAGGATGCTAGTCCTTACTATGTTCCTCAGATTGGATGGTCGAGGTTTGTCTCCCTCATCTCCGCGCCGTTGTTATTTATACTGCAAGCACAGTGTTATTATTGGTGGCAGCAGAGTTTCGATTAGAGAGCTAGATTCTCGAAACGAAAAGAAAAGGGGGGGGGGGGGGGCTTGTCACCACCAGCATGAGAGAGACGTTGTGTCCAGAGCCGTGCAACAGCAGCCCTCCCGGCATTGCAATCTCGAGGTGTGTCCCCCTTTTAAAATTACAGGCGCCCAAGTCTTCCCCTGCCGCCACAGCACAACCGCACAATGCCGATCCCATCTCCATCCTCTACGCCCGCGGTGGATCTCCTTTTTCTTTTCTGAACATTCTTTGCTCTCCCGGATCCTAGAACCCTGTTCCTGTCAACTGTTCTTGCCCAGTGCATTTCCTTGTTCCTCCCCTCCTCGTAACTACTGTACTGACCGCCGCCACACTGCAAGTCCTCAGCCAGTGCAAGTCTGCAGCCAGCCATGAAGCCTTGTTTCTTGCGGCACGCCTGTGCCACATGGGACGACGGGTGCACACACACACTCTCACACACACACGAGTGGTCTCAGACCAAGGGCTAGGCGGCTAATAAATCATATACAGTACGGCGATGTCTGCTGGGGTAAGCACAATCACCCCCAGAACTGCGAGCTGCAATGAAGATCTGTTGTCTCCCTTGTCCTTCGCTTCCTGTTTCTTTTACCTTACAAAATCCGCAGACGAGTAGCCGAGGAGTAGGTCCGTACTCATTTCCCCAACCCCCCCCCCCCCCCCAAAAGAAAAGGATAAGCCAGAAGTTGTTATGAAAAAGAAGGGGAGGGAAAAAAAAATTCACACCCGCCCATTCGGAGAAATAAAATGATCCATCGAAGACCACATCTGCATTTGTTTCAGCTTCAGCCCTAAGAATGGAATGGGCCCACCCTTCTCTTCACCATCTTAGCACAACTCCATCCTCTTGGCTCGGCTACAGAGGAAACAAACCTTCCCATCCGGTGTCTCTCTTCATCTTCTGGAAGTGGTTGGATGGCACGTGTGCTGGGGATAAAAGAGACATCACAACGCTGTCGAGGGACATGTCACTTGAGTCCAGGTCTAGAAATTTGCCGGCGCCGAGCTGAGCGGGCAGCGATACGTATCATTCAGTGGATAGATTAAGCCTGTTGGTGGGAGTTTCGGACGTAGCCTGAGAGATACGCTTCGCCAGCGGTTTGAGGTTTCTTTCTTAGTTAGGTCGCAAAGATCCCTTTGGGAATATGGACATAGATAGTATCGACTCATACGACATGATCGGTCGGAAACGTCCACCCCGTGAGGAGAAGACAAGATGGTGAATCCCGTAAATACTGGCCCTCTTTACTACGGCGAAGGTGACGCCTGCCACGCACAACCATAGTGGCCATGCACGGCCATGATGCATAGAGCAAGGAAGAACAGGCGCCTGGCCAAGCTAGATCCACTACAAGGCAGAGGGATTGCTAGCATACATGCAGACTTAGACGGTCAAGGCTTCGCAAGTCTTGATACAAGAGAAACAGACATTCCCAATGACCAGCGCAACCAACGCCCCGCCTATTTCTCGCCGCTAGGAAGCAACAACGACCAAGGAGTCTTTGCCCGTGGTCAATGAGGTACAAGATAATGCCGGTCCTTTTTTTTCTGTCGCAATCAAGATCCGTTGCTTATACATGTCTTCCTCGTTGCAAAAAGAATAGCCAAATAAGTTACATTTTCAGACCACAGGGGAAACTGCCTTGATCTCCTCATTACCTTGGCTGTAGCTCTCTGCAATACGCCAACAAGGCCCTGGCAACAGGACAACACGCTTCCCCCTCCCCCCCCCCCCCCGCCTTTTCTTTGCCGGGCCGTGTAATTGTTTTGTCAATCCCGACAGAAGGAACTGAGCCATAGGCTCAAGGGGGAAGCTCGCACTTCCTGTCCTCCATGGTTGTTCTATACTCGGTTTTGAATATCTTGTCTGTCTTCTTCCTCGCCATTCACTTTCCCAGCTCTTAACTCTCATGAATACTCCTCATCGTATGACCATCCACCTAGAAACCCGCCACGAGTGAGCATGTACTTCTAACCATGCACAGCTGCGGAGCTGGGGACGGCCTCGGTAATACTAGGGTCGACGGGTGGGGCCTCGTTGTCGACAACAGACTGCTCCTCGCCAAGCGACTCGGAGAGAGGTGCGGCAGAGCTGCTCATATCAGCGGTAGGCATAGGAGCCTCGGGAATTCCCACATGAGCTTCACCCATGGGCGCCTCAACAACCATCGAAGCCTCCTGCAGCGGACGAAGATCGGTGGTCTCAGAGCTCACGGGCAGGGCGCCTGACATGACTGGCGCCTCTTCGTGCATTGCGCTCGCATGTCCAATGTCAGTTCCATGGTCAGTCCCATCATTTCCATTGATGTCGGTATGGGCTTGAGGGGGTGGAACGGGATTGACATCTTGCACTGGGCGGGGAAGGTTTGGCGTGTAGAAGAGGTTGTTGGGGTGACCATCTTCATCAAGATCCTCTTCTCGCCGCTCGGGATTCCTCCCCGCGGCAATCACCATCTCCTTCTCCTTTCGGCCGAGAACCACGAGATCGAAAGCGGCTGGAAGGGGTCCATCAGTCCTGCGGCGATAACAATAAGAATTAGCGTCTCTCGTTCAATATAGGAAAATTTCTCTGTTATGTAGCACCTACTTGAGAATATCAACCTTGACAAGACGCGCCTTGTCACGGAGGCCTTGCTGGTCTCGCTCGGGTACGTTGAAGTGAAGGTGATTATCCCGGATGGCTTTCTCAATAGTACTCCACTTGGCCTTGTACACGTCAATCGCCCGGACAAGTTGTGAGATGTCGTGGGATGTCCATGGTTTTCTCTGCTTGGGCTGCGATGGCCTGCGGTTGGCCTTGGAGATCAACTGAGACTGCCGCGACAGAGCCACGGGGTCGAAAACAGCAGGCGATGGGGCCGATGAGCTCACGGGCACGGCGTGGGCCGCCGGGCGCGGAGGAGGGGGCATCGCGGCCGCATCATTCGCACGAGCCCTCTTTGCGCTGGCATCGGCTTCAATATCGTCTGCGCTCTTACGGCTACGCTTCTTGCCGTTGCCGCGCTTAGTGGCCTCAGCAGCTACATCAGGGTACACCGATTCTTGGCTGGTGGGCATGAAGTATCGAGCCTGGGCGGCGAGCTCACGCGACTGAGCAATGACTTCGGCGTTCGTGCCAGCGATGCTGGCGCTGTCGTCGGAATCGTTGATAACATGTGCTCCAGAATCCATCCGTGCATGTACCTCTCCTGGCTGTTCAGCGTTGCTAGACGTGACATGCTGACGGAGACGATCAACGCCATATAGACCGGTACTGGGAGGACGGGGTAGGATTGATTAGTTTCTCTCGAGGCCTGGTCTTCACACACATCAAGAACCAGAAAGCAGGCGATTGAGCAGGAGCATCGTCACATAGGGGGAGTAGACACACCTTCCTTGCGGTAGAGTAGGCCTCGCTCCGAGTTGCGACGCCGTGCCTGGGGTCGAAAGCGTGTCCGCGTTGGGATTAAATGGAGGAGGTCGAGGGGGGCCCGGTGTTTTGATCTGGTACGTCCGGATCCACTCGTTCAGATCATCCAGGAATATCTCAAATGGGTAGTGTCCCTCTAGTTTGCCGATGACAGCAGCGGGGTCCATCTCTACGAGCATGGCACGAAAGGTATTGATGTTGTCTCGGTATTTTGGGAGCTCCGGGTCGTCGATGTCGAATGCCCCAAAGGCCCTGTAGCTCGCTCTGTCGATGTAATCTCCGAGTACATCATCTTCGATGGGGTCGGCGTCGAGATCTAGGAAAACCTTGGCGAACAGACGGAAGGGATTGCCCTGCTGGTGCCCGCGAAGGGTCTCGATAAACAACTTGGTCCGGATGGCAAAAGCCTGGTCCATGGTGCCGTGATCGATGATCCACGCCCGATTCTCCTCTAAGCCCTTGGAACCCCCAGGCGTGAACGTGACTGGGAAGTCTTCATCGATTCTCTGGAGCAAGGGCAGACGGTTGAGAACATTGGATCGGTCGCCGTTGAGATCGTGAACGTCGCTGAGCAGTTTTGCCAGGTTGGCTGTTGATACCGACTTGACCATCCTCTCCCAGAGGGTGGGTATATTAGAGCACTTTGATCTCTCCAGAATAGAGTCGATGTTGATGAAGATGTCTGCATCAATGTTGTAGACCCTGTAGAAAGAATTGAAAACTTCCTTGTGGGTGCGGAGCTCCAAGTCCCACGACTCATCTTGCTGCTCAGCAGCGATGGACAGGTGACCAATGAGGTCTTTGGAGACTGAGAACAGCCTGTCGACAAACTTATTCATAAGATTTGCCGTTGCATCCTGGGTTCTGGGGGTGAGGTCTGCAGCATCACGCCATATTGACTCGCCATAGACAATTTCAGCTGCTTCAGCACGCTGAGGGGTGAAAGGCTCAGATGCTGCTGGAAGTTAGTATATATAAACATGAGGTGTGTGTGTGAAGCGGAAGGGTGGATTTTTCTTCTTTTTTCTCGGCTCTTCCCCCCCCCCCCCCTTTTCTTTCTGAGGCGTGTGTTGTATTGGTTCTTATTTGGGCTCCTTTGAACTGTAGAATAGAGAATTGCTTACCACCGCCGTTTGCCTCTAGAGCGTAGACATCACTGGAACGGGCGGTATGGCGAATGGAGTAGCTGGCGATGCTGCTGCCACCGCGATTATTACGCGTCGTCCCCCTACGCGCATGGGCCTCAACATTGCCTCTTGAGCGGCTTCGACCGCGACCACGTGTTGACGATGATGAAGGAGGAAGATCAGCAGTAGCAGCAGCAGCTGCTGCCGCAGAGGAATCCGGCAGAGGCGCGCGGCCAGTATCTGCAGCTGACCCTGCGGGCTGGCGCTCAGCCTGTTGTTGCGCTGTGCCCAGGCGCGAGGCGAGGCGAGAGCTCGTCCTGCCGCCACCAGTTGCGGCGGCGGCGGCGGCAGCTGCAGCACGACCACCTCGCCCTTTAGGAGGCATGCTTCCTATTGAGACTTGAGGTTTTGTGTGCTTGCTTGCGAGATGGGAACCGTGGAAACGAGATGGAGTTGGTAAAGATTCCGCGTCGGTGAGAGGGTTAGACCCTATCCCTTAGCTATGAAGTAGTCAAGGGGCGTTTCCAGGGTTTTGCCTTCGGTGTGGGTTGAGCCAGGCAGTCGCAGCCAAAAGCTCATGCGCGCGCAACGAGATTTTATGGTGGCTGTGTATAGTTACGTAAGCACTACGCTAACGCTGTGCTTTTCGAGTAAAGTCACGTTGAGCGCCGTGCACGCGCGTCAAACACCTTGAGAATTTCAAAACAATGGGAAAAGAGGCAGCAAGCTCCTGACCTTTCTGCTGAGTGCCGCTCCAAAGCTCATTGCAAAACTATATTGTTGGGTGATGTCAGGAATACAGCGCCCAGCAGCCGGACGAATCAGAGAACGCGAAGATCAACCCAAAAGGTTCTCGTACATCGATTGACCTGCATAGAGTCTTTCATCTAGGCTGACAATGCGATGCGTTGTGATACTGAAATCCTGAATGGAATTTTTATTTTGGAGAGATTGGTCAATTCCAAGCCACAGACATTTGTTTGAGACAAGAAGCATCTAGCGTTTCGATGATGAAGTTCATCTTGCAGGTCATAGTCCAGTCGTGATCCAGCTCTAATGTGTACCTCGTGCTTGACAGCTCAACGACATCTTGTTGTGTTCCCGATACGTTGTCAATGGCGGACTTTGCCCCTGACCACAAGTACCTTGTACTCATCTTCGGGATGCGTAGCATTCTAAATGCTTGTACCTGAACGGCTGACTAACCTTGCGTGGTTGGACTGGTCTACTGGGATGAGCCCCCTGTCAGGCCAGGTAGAGGAGTGTGTGTCTCCCCCCGTGTCCGGTCGTCAAGGACAGATGGAAGTCCGTCTATTCTAAACCAACATACTTTCCCACGAGGTTGTACAATCATAGCACAGCCAGCCCGTTACTGCTACCCGTGCGTGCTGCCATCGGCTCTTGCCTCCGCTCGAAGCCGTGCATTTCAAACCGGCTGTCACATCGCCACCCGATTGCTCTTTGTGACCCAGGTCGCGATCTGCATGCCAGGCCCCTCGCTCGGTCGCTCTCCTTTCGACGAGAGAGAAAAAGAGAACCAGCGCCCTGCTCGATTACCTCTGCAGGAGACCTCAGCACCCTTTCTAATCCCATCGACATCTTTTAGAAAGTATCGAAGCTACTACTCTTGCGAGGATCGGCTCATCACACTTCTGTATTGATTAGGAACAACGCATTGTCTAAGACCCCCTGCTTCGTGCCCCCAACACCTCTCTTTCCTCTTTCCTCCCTCCCCGCCTCCTGCTCGCGACGAGAGAGCGCCACCGTCAGGATGAGACTACGAAGCAGAAGAGCGGCGCTCCCCCTTCTGTTCCTGTCCTCACTCGCCGCCACGTCCGCCCTCGCCGCCACGCTCGATTCCTCTTATGCTGCCAGCCCTGCTGAGTTGCAGCTTGGGTCCGTCACCTCGTCGTCCAACAAGGCTGGCACTAAAGACGCGCCCGTGGACGGTGTTGACGGGCGCCCACACGAGGGCCCATTTGTCGAGTCCGAAAACTTACGCTCTTCGACCGGCGACCTTAAGAAGGACCTGCCACCGCTTGAGGGCCGGCCCAGGGATCCCAACGTCATCGACGGCGTCAGGATCCCCGAGACCAATGATGGCGTTATGAACGACCCAAACAGGGCAGAGCCCAAGGAGGGGACGACGGGCACGTCAGGCGGCGTCAGCGAGAAGGACCAGGTGCGCAAGGCCAAGGAGGGTGCGACAGGCGAGAAGACGGAGAACAAACCCGAGCCGCCCAAGGAGGCTCCTCCTTTACCGCATAGCGAGCAGGAGAAGATCACGAGCATGGATGACTCCAAGAAGGACAAGAGCAAGTCTGACGCCAAGACCAGCAATGATGCGTCTGGGCTCGAGGTGCGTCCAATCCAGCGGGTTTCCCCTCGTCCTATTCCTGATGATCGAGGAAGAAGGGGGAAGCGAGGCAAATGTAACTGACAAACATTCTAGAAACCCGTCGACCTCCCCGAGAAGACATACGAACAGACCATCCCAGTCCCTAACTCGGCGAACAAGAACCACCTCGACGTATCCTCGGGCAAGTCGTCCAGCAAAACGAGCAAGCTTGCGTCTGAAGACCCTGACGGGATCATTCAGCCTTTCCACTCCTTCATATTATCGATGGCCATGATCCTCTTTTCCGAGATAGGCGACAAGACCTTCCTTGTCGCGGCCCTCATGGCCATGAAGCACGATCGCGTGGTTGTCTTCACGGCTGCCTTTGGTGCCCTGATCACCATGACCGTCCTATCGGCGGTGCTGGGCCACGCCGTGCCTACGCTCATCCCCAAGAAAGTCACCAACTTCCTGGCGTCGGCGCTCTTCCTCGTCTTTGGGGCACGCATGCTCAAGGAGGGGTTGGCGATGAGCCCCGACGAGGGCGTGTCTGCCGAGATGGCCGAGGTAGAGATGGAACTGGAAGAGAAGGAGAACGCGGCGCGCAAGGCTGGGCGGCGGCGGTCGTCCATTAGCCCCTATGCGCTCGAGATGGGCTTGAACAGGACGCACACGCGCAAGTCGCGATCGCAGTCCCGGTTCCCGACCCCGCCGCGCAGCCCGTCCGCGTCACCGGAGCGCAGCCCGAGCCCCAGGCGCGGCCCGTTCGGGTCGCTCTTCGACGGGGCGAGCAACCTATTCTCGCTGCTCCTGAGCCCGGCGTGGGTGCAGACCTTTGTCATGACGTTCCTGGGCGAGTGGGGCGACCGCAGCCAGATCGCCACGATTGCGATGGCTGCAGGCCAGGACTACTGGTGGGTGACGCTGGGAGCCGTATTGGGCCATGCCTGCTGCACGGGTGTCGCCGTACTCGGAGGGCGGGCCATTGCTGGGCGTGTGTCGCTTAGAGTTGGTGAGTGATGAGAGCATTCATCTTCTACTTCCCCCTCTTCTCTCCCTCCCTCCTTCTTTCTTTCCTTTCCTTTTCATCTTTCTCCTCCATACTGACAATCATTACGCAGTGACCATCGGCGGAGCAGTGGCCTTTCTCGTGTTTGGCGTCATCTATCTCATCGAGGCGATGTTGGCAACATGAAACGTCTCTGAGGTCTCGTCGACAGTAGGCGTGCCAAGACAGAACGGAATCGTGCAGATGACTGTATCTCTCTCCCTCTCTCCCTTGTTTCATCTTTTTTTTTTTTTTTTTTTGGAAAGCCCCTGCGCCAATCAACGCTGCGCTGGTTGACAGACAGGCGGATCTACAGGGGGAGAGAGGAGGGAGACCAAGGTCATGTACTTTTAGCCGACCTTCAAGCAAAGGAAGAAAAGGGAACGAGTTCGAATCGCATAGCTGGCGTTGGATATCGTGTGTTGGGTTCTGGCACTGAATTGGGGTTGCTGTGAAAGGGAAAAAGGCTTGGACATCCAGAGGACGGGCACGCATGGCGCAGATGTGGCTGGCAAGGAGTACATAAACAACAACAACGACAGGGATACAAGGCGATATCTTTATGATGGTATGTTGTCCGCCACAAAGGCAGGACATGTAATAAACGAAACACGAAACCCTCGTTAGGCATTCCCATGCCTCACTCATCCACGCCTCTCTCTCTCTCTCTGTGTGTGTGTCTCTATGTCCGTTCGATGTCCCTCGCCATGGAGGGTAAATATGTCCCGAGCCTGCTGGCCCGCCGTGACAAGTTCGGGTCGATGCGATATAGATATCTTCCGGGACCCGTATTTTCCGAAGAAAACATGATACACTCATTTTGCCTCTGAGGAGAAGGCGGGGACACGGGAAGGAGCAGGAGAAGAAAGAAATTAGCAGCCACCAGCTAGTTTTCAGAGTCGATAATCAGCACCATCCTCCGCACCACCACCACTATCCATCAGGCTGAGGTTGCGGCTGTGATTACAGAATCACCCGACGGTCACCAGCTGGAAGGTATGGGGGGCGGGATGCACCCGGTGTGGACGTAATTAAGGCAAACCTGGTTTAGCAGCAGAGCAGTCCCGGGGCCGCAAGGAGGGCAAGGTCTCAGATCTTGACGCACGCGGCTGAACTAGTTCTAGACCTCGATATTCTAGCCTATTTTCCTTCTTATCTTGTATTTTTTTTTTCCCCTTCTTCTCTTCTTCTTTTCATTCTATTTCCCTCTATACAACCACTTATCTCAGCATCAGAAAACTTACTCCGGAGCTCGGAGTGGGGAGGTCAGCTGTTGTTGTGGATAACGCGAGACTAAACTCTGTAGAGGAGGAGGAAGAGGAACAAGAAATGGTCGGAAGGCTCAGAGGGGAAGAGCAAGAGAAGGTGTTAAAAAAAAAGAAGAAGAAGAAGAAGAAGAAGAAGAAGGAGGAGGGAAAAAAAGGAAAGGAAAGTAACCGAGCAATCCATGTGTAAGCCTAGTCTCAACGAGTAACCCACCTACACGCACGAAAACAAGCCCCGGGCAAATGCAATGCAATGCGTGGTCCTCTTTAGTTTGTTTGTTGGACAGCGTAAGTAACTTGTATACCAATCGATTTTCATATTCCCCCGCCCTTGCGCGACACACACACACACACACATACACACACGCACACCACACGCACACCACACAAAAGAACAGCACACCAAGTCATGCCATAACATCCGTTTGGCCTTCGGAGCTGAGTTGAGCTACGCAGTTTCCAAGGGTTCCTCTTGCAGGCCCCCTCTTCCCTTCTTCCCCTCAATTCTCCGATTATCGCTTTTCTAAGCAAACCCAGGATTAAACACTTGTACTCTTTTTGTTGTTCTTCCTCTTCTTCCGTTTTTTTGTGCTTCTTCACATGTTTGTTTGATCAGCTGTGGCCCCTCTCACCTCCCCCGTCACAGTCATACCTTGACGCCATCGTCATCATCATCTCCTTGTGTATCTCTTTCTCTCAACCTGCTGTGGATATTCCCTTTCCCCCCTCCACAACCCCCCCCCCTTTTTTTTTCTTCTTCTCTCTTTACCATAAAAGAAAGGTCCCTCGGTCGATCCACACGAAGGTACATACACACACACGATCCCTACTTGTCGACCACCACCTTTCTTCCTTCCATCTCATCCATCACCCACCATCCATTCCCCCCCCCCCCCCTCTCCCTCCTCAACTCAATTCGATCTATACTATCCCCCATCACCATTACAATGAGCCAACCTCAGCTCTGGTCCAAGGACCCCAACCCGGCCGGTTCCCTCTGGCAGAAGCCTCTCGTGTCACCCACCGCCTCGCAACACATCCCCGATGCTGCACCGCTGTCCCCAGCCGAGGCGCGCGTCAAGAACCCGGGCAAGCGGTATGCCCAGATCGTCAAGCTGAAGCCGGAGCATTACGATGAGTACAAGAAGGTGCACGCCGCCGTGTGGCCCGAGGTATCGAAGCAGATCAAGAACTGCAACATTGTGGACTGTATGTGTCTTTCTTCTCTGTCCCAAACTTGGGATTGATAGTATTACATCACGTGCTATTCTTTCTTTCTCTCCCTCTTTCTCTCGCTCTTTAGAGAGGAAGTGAGAGTCTCCCCTCTTCCTCTTCCCTATCCCCGTCCTTCCGGAGTGCTCGGGAATGACATGTTCATGACGGGCCAGCGGGAAAAAACACAACGGGAATGATACACAGTGAAGGAGAACCCCACCCCCCTCGGCTTTTGCCCGTCTTAGTCGCCCGAACACAGGGTTCCCTGAATCCCGGGACATCCTTAGTCGGGCGAGACCCCATTGCATTTCAACAAGATTGAATACTTTCTCCCACCCCTCAACCCCCCCCCCCCCACTCGAACTTTCTTCATACCATTTATATACTAAAGCCACACCCCTCCCCCTTTCTCCGCGCGCAGACAGCATATTCTACGATGACCTGACGCACATCTTGTTTGCGACCTTCAAATACGTCGGCTACGATTACGCAGGCGACATGGAGAGGATGCGGGAGAACCCCAAGGTGCTCGAGTGGTGGAGGATGACGGACAAGTTCCAGGAGTCGTTCGTGCCAGACGCCAAGAGCAGCGAGGCCGGCGAGCCCTCGTGGTGGAAGCCCATCGAGGAGGTCTTCTACCAGGCCTAAGAGGTTTAGGTCCAGGTCTAAGGTGCAGTGGCCGACAGACCTAACCTGCTCCTGCTGGTCATCTCGTGTGCATCCGAGCTTGTTGTCGTGTCATAGATCACGAAGAATTGGCCATCCTAGACTTTTGACTTTTCAAAAAAGAATCATAGCCTTAAGATCCGACAGACAGTATTCGTTCCAGACATAGGTGTGCGTGGGTCGTTTGTTGTGCGTATGCGTGTCCGTGTGCGTGTGTGCATTCCCCGACAGGCTGCCTGGCAATGGTACCGTGGTCGTCCCAGAAGTATTTCGCGTGCCTGTGGGAGCCTTCTACGCCTGGGGTTGCAGCATCCATTCACCCGCCTAATGATGATGATGCATGACGATAGACTCGCCAGACAGTGTATACAGTGTACACTGGTCTGTGTGTGTGTGTGTGTGTGTGTGTGAGAGAGAGAGAGAGAGAGAGAGAGAGAGACCATCAACTCACCTCCCGCAAACCACAGCTCCTTTATTATCCGCCTCATCCCTTAAAACTCCCAAACAAGCCTCCAAACAAACTGCCCCCACCACCCCCACCGCCCCGGCCGCCATGGCGCCTCGCCTCGGTGCGAATCCATTCCTCCAGAAACTTCCTGTCCCGTAGCTTGTTCCCGTCCGCCACCTTGGTCTCGACCTGCGCCTCGCCGGCGTCGAAGCTCAGCAGGGTGGGCACGCTGGTGATCATGTAGGTCAGGCCGAGCCCGGCGGCCATGACGTCGGGGGCATCGAACTCGACCTCGGCGTAGGTGACGCCGCCCTCCGCGGCGCCGGTGCCGGACTCGACGAGCTCTTTCAGCAAGGGGGAGACGATGCGGCAGGTGGGGCACCAGGAGGTCGTCCAGAGGGTGAGGAGCGGGCGGCGGGAGGACGAGGAGAGTTGCAGGTAGGTCAGGAACTGGTCATGGTCGCGGATGCTGGGAAATTGGGTCAGGTTTTGGTTGGGTTGGGGGTCTGTCAACTAGTCTCTCTTCCTCTTCTTCTTCTTCTTGTACAACAAGGAAATCACAAGAAAATGAAAATGGGAGGGAGGGAGGGAGGACGACTCACGATGTGTATACGCGATTCTTGGATTCGGACCGGCTCGGCGTGGAAGAGAAGCGGCGAGCACACTGATCAAGAGATAGCAGCAAGCGGCAGCCTTGGGGAGGGGCCTGGGCCTTGCGAAAGGTGTGTGGGGAGCAGGAGACCGCGGTTGGTCTCACCGGCGGCGGGCCATGAGGGTTACAGTTGAGGAATCGCAGGGCCCTTGTGGTCTTTGTGGTAAGTCCTATCGAGCTCATCGTGTGTGTATGTGTGTGTGTGTGTATATCTCTCGGAGGGGGGGGGGGGGCTGACGAAAGGGAGGAGACCTTGTCACAGGAAAATGCGCGCGATTGGTGCTGCTGATAGGTTACGCTGACCGGTCAGACAGGCAGACAGTGGGGTGAGGTGACTTTCCTCGCGGGTCTCTCTCCTTTCTTCTGCCAGGAATTGACTTCTCGATCGTAGGGTACCAGACTGTGATCTGTCTTGGGAGTCTTGACTCGGATCTGTTTGGATATGCAGCAGGAAATGAAAAGAGTCGACAAGGGGGTCTTTGGAGCCGAGGTGGTAGGTCAGATAACGCCTAAAGCTTCAGCACCTAAAGCACTGAACCTGGGCACTGGACCGACTTCGAGCATGCTGGGGGGTGGCAGGCAGGGCAGATCATGCAGCAAGCTGTCAACCAACACCAGACCGCCCTTCCCCATACTAGCGCAGCAGCATTTGCGTCATCGCGCATCCCAGAAACCACTGCACCTCGAAACCACACCCGAGCACGCCGTTGAGCACGCGGGTCGACCACGGGATCTCGTCTTGGGACCTTGTGGGCTGGCAAGTTGTTGTGTGTGGAGGATCGGTGGATTATGGATTGCAGGGTGGGCTGATTAGAATGGCCGCGAGAGGGGCATCCGCTGCCAGCCCAGAGGATCATCACCACAAATCCTTAGATCTATCAGTTTTCTTGTAAGGTATGTGCTATAATACTGTAATCATCTTATAACACAAGTATTACTTGATATATGACTCTTTGTTGTGGGGGGAATTAATTGCAATCTACCATAGTATCTCGACACCAATGATCTCTTGTTTGTTCATATGATGTTTGTAACCTTGTCTTCCTCCATCTCCATTACTATGCTGCATCTTGCATTACACCCTCCACGACGCTCATCTCCACCTGTCAACTCACTCACTGCTACTCGTACTTGTGCTAGATTCCGGGTCAAGGCTGTGAGTCTTGCCTTGCCTGCTCATTAGCCTCTGCCTTAGTGCCCTCACAATGGAAGACAGGGGGTCTCCAACCATGCAAGTCTGTTCAATGCCGCGTGCACCCTTGCCAAAGCAACTAACTTACAGCACACCCAACAATAACAATGAAAGGAACAAGGCCACATCAATGAAGAAGTACCGATAAATCTAAATCTGGTATCTCTTATAGTACCCATACGCTGTGCTCCAGTTGCTGCAGCACACCCTCTATTCCAATAATCTACTCTATGCAAAGTTTATTCCTCCCACCCCTCCCTCCATTATTAACGAAGCTGAGCGAAGTTGGATGAAAGTGACGAAAAGGTTGCGTGCATGCTACAAATAGATCGCGTCAGCCTGTACCCATGCCCCATCCATCTCGTCCAACCCCCCCCCCCCCCCCAAGACAACCATCCACCCGTCTGCTGTTCTGCTGATCCTGTGGGTAGGACAAGCGACGAAACCACCACGACTGGCAATCCTGCGGGTCCTAGAGCCTGGTATACTCTCTAAGTGGAAACGCCGCCTCCGCCACCCTGCCGGTCAGCACGGGCTTACCTGGGGTCACCCTTGGCGATCCCCCCAAGGACGAGGACCCTGAAGCCCATTATCAGCCACCAGATATCCTCCTGCTCCTCCTCCTCCTCCTCCAGTACATATGTCTGGTGGGGGTTCGGAAACCATCCACCCATTTTTGGGCATCAATATAAGGAGGACTTCTACCTGGACCTTCGACACCTTTTTGAACGGGGCTCTGGTGTGATTTCCAAGAAGATAGGTCTTTTCCCCCCCAAGGGACGAAGTACATCCCAGAAGCCGGGCATTCTCATCAGGGAAGGCGACACCAAACCACGGTTCGCAAGGGAGGGATATTTCAAGAGACAGGAGTGTCTCAAAGGAATTATCCCGCCTCTTTTCGACTTTCTCTTATGAACCCGTGGGGTCCGTCTTGAAAGCCTCCTTGACCAGACTGATCATATATTTATACTTCCTCTCGCTGCTGCCCAAACTGAACGCGCCGGGAGCGAGGGAGTGGATTCCCCATCCGTCTCTCAAGGTGCCCCTTCTTCTCTCTGTCTCTCCCTACTGCGAAAGCCTCCTTTCCAATAGCCAGTCCCCTCACCAATCAAAATGGCTTCTTCACAAGATGGCACACCGCGCACCTGGGCGTCGCGCCTCCGTTTCCCGAGTCGGACAAAGGATGAGAAATCGGCCGACCGCGAATCCGTTGAGGAGCCTCGAAGGATTGCGAAATGGAGTTTCGGGGTCTTGAACGACAAGGAGACTGTCGAAGTCCCAGGTATGTCTGGCCTCATTGGCTGCTATCCTTGGGCTTCTCGTACGAGAGAAAGCTAAAACATTATTCAAAGGTTCCGTGTTGCTGCTCTCAAATCACAAGAATGAGCCCCTCGGTCTGCGCAGTGCCCCGGCGAGGACATCACATTCCTCCCTTCCCACCTCGGCCACTGTGATGTCGCCAGTGCAGGCAGACGAAAAGAAGAAGACCTCGGATGGTAAGATCATCTTGGAGCCGCAGCCTGAGGAGTCGGCCAATGATCCACTGAATTGGCCGACATGGAGACGCGACGCTGCTCTACTATCCCTCGGGCTGTATTGCATGGTCGGTGGTGAGTTACCCCTCCCTTCCCAGGCAGCAATTATCCTCATCTTGACGCTTGAAGGAAAGAAGAAGGCTGATCAACTGCTGGCACAGGCGGGATGACGCCTGTATTGGCTGCTGGTTTCTCCAACGTCGCCAGTGACTATGGCGTGGCCGTGGCCCGGGTCTCGCTGACCACAGGGCTCTACATGATGGGCATGGGCGTGGGCTCCGTCTTCTTCTCACCAACAGCCATTCTCTTCGGCAAGAGGCCTGTTTATCTCTTTGGCTCCCTGCTCTTCATCGGGACTTCGTGCTGGTGTGCAGCTTCCCCCAGCTTCAATTCTCTGATGGCTGCCCGAGTCTTTCAGGGTGTCGCCGTTAGTCCCGTAGAGTGTCTGCCGTCTGCGACCATCGCCGAGATCTACTTCCTCCATGAACGGTAAGTAATCAGGTGGTTTGCCTCTGTCTCCTCCGTCTCTCGATAGACGAGAATCCATAAAGGTCAACAACTTTACTGACGATTGACTGTAGTGCTTTTCGAATCGGAGTCTACACACTGCTACTGCTCGGAGGCAAGAACTTGACGCCCCTTGTCAGTGCAGCCATCATCCAGTCATTGAGTTGGCGATGGGTGTTCTGGTAAGGCAGCAAACGTCGCCCTCGTTCAGAGGAGAGACCACTTTACAATTTTCTTATTGAGGTATACAAAACTGATAAGTTTCGAATAGGATTGTTGCATTTATCGTGGCGTTCTGCGGCTGTCTGCTATTCATCTTTGTCCCTGAGACCTTTTGGGACCGGAAGCCCATTCCCCGACCAAGGGCACCGACCAGACCTGGCGTGCTCTCACGGCTGTCTTCGAAGTGGTCTCATCATGCCCACGCCCGTGCACACGCTGCGGAGTCCAATGGGGCCGAGACGCCCCTCGAAAAGACGCACGAGAATGCGCATTTTGTGACGGACTCGGGATCAGAACTGCTCAAGACGGAAGAGCATGCAACACGGGAGGATCACCATGTCACCTTCGATCCGAACACAACAGAGACTATCAAGGAGCAGCAGCAGCAGACTACGGACATATCTGCGCCGGAGCAGGCACCGGCGCAGGACGAGAATGAGGCCACGAATGAGAAGAACCTGGCAGCACCGGGCGACTCGAGCCCAACGACGCCTCAGCCTGCAGATGTACAACAGCTCGAAGCCCGCCCGCAGAAGAACCCAACTGTGCCCTCCCCACTGCTGCTCGCTCCTCCTCACGATGCCGTCTCCCCTCTTAGCACGCACGCGCCCATGACAGGCCGCACCGAGCCCATGACGGCGCCATTAAGTCGAAGCTCCTCCTTCCGCAGCCATTTAGCCCCGTGGAGCCACCACCACCAGCACCATCAAACGGATGAAGAGAGATATGCAGCAGCTGAGGCGGCCCGCAATACCTACTCAGGCCACTGGCGCGAACGCGAGGCCAAGTCCTTTGTGCAGCAGCTCCGACCCTGGCACGGTCGTCTCAACAGGGACAAGTGGCTCAAGGTGGCCGTCCGACCCTTCATCCTCTATACATATCCTGCGGTCCTCTGGTCCTCAGCCATCTACTCGTGCTCCATTGGCTGGCTGATTGTCATCTCGGAGTCGGTGACGGTGATCTTCCGCGAGGACTACTACAAATTTAACGCGCTCCAGACCGGCCTGATCTACATCTCGCCCTTTTTGGGTGGTGTTCTGGGCACGGCGGTCGCGGGCAAGGTGTCAGACATTGTGGTCAAAGCGATGACGCGACGCAATGGAGGGCTGTACGAACCCGAGTTCCGGCTGGTGATGGCGGCCCCGATCGCGGCGACGACCATCATTGGCCTGATGGGCTATGGGTGGAGTGCGCAACTCGAGGACGCCTGGATCGTGCCCACCGTATTCCTGGGCATCGTCAGCTTCGGCTGCTCGCTCGGCAGCACTACGGCCATCACCTTCTGTGTCGACTCGTACCGCCAGTACGCGGGCGAGGCGCTGGTGACGCTCAACTTTAGCAAGAACATCTTCCACGGTCTGGTCTTTAGCTTTTTCGTCACGGGCTGGATCGAGGATGACGGCGCCAAGTCCGTCTTCATCTGGATTGGTGTTATCCAGCTGATTGTGCTCGTCTTTACCATCCCCATGTTCGTCTTCGGCAAGAGGGCGCGCATGTGGACGGTGCGGAAGAACTTTATGGAGAAATTTTAGTTTGAAATTTAAGATATGCAATATCACAGAAGAAGCAAGCGATGTTAACTTTGATCAGAAAGAAGAGGAGCGGATCGACCTGTTACAAGCATTCTTGAGCAAGGCTGATGACATTTGAGTGGCCTCTCGTGAATATGTTTTGTTGTACATCTGGAAAGGCACATGTAAAATTTTTTTTTTTCGGTGGGCTTTCATAGGCATGCCTATTTGTTATAGTCTTATTTTCACTTCTCTTCAGTATTTTTCCTGTCCTGGCTTGGGTCTGGGGGAGTGTGATACTCATTACGCGCGGAGCCTACTCTGCATCGGCATGGCGGCTAGCATTTCGATTGAAAGGAAGGGCACTGGGGAAAAATGAGATCCCACCATTGAAGCGTCTCGTACCCAGTACAAACCCATCGTTTGCATCATCATGTCATAAAGTCAAAAGTAAAGCAGCTCTCGAGTACGAATTGTTTTATATAGTAAGTAGGACGTAATCAATCAGTAGCTGGACGTTGCGCGCTGTCGCGGGTAGCCTTTTTTTGCTACGTCAGGTCGAGTCCCCACACAAAGTAAGTCCGTCTGTCCCTCACAAAGATCACCAAATTTCTCGCGAACCCTCCAGCATCACGACTCATGGCCTTCTTCTATCCTTTGATAACATCTTCTCCCCCGCACAACAACAATCACGACGCCAAGGACAGCCGTAGTATAAATCATCATACGGATTCGACAGACGAGCGAGAAATTCATTCAAGATGTCCTCACAGATCCCGCCCCTCCTAGAATCTCACCTCGCCCTCCCGCCGAGACACTCACAGGTCCTTGTGACCAGCATGCTCGGCGCCAGCTCGAACTGGCTCGTCCTGCGGTATCTGTACAGTTTTCTTAAGGCGCCGAGGAGGATGGCACGACGAGGGCATGATGATGGTGGTGGGCTGGGGCTTGGTGGTGAGGCCAGGACGACGGGGAGGGATGAGGAGGAGGGGGCCAGTGGACAGGATGAGGTAAAGGTTGTGCTGGTGAGCTTCATGCGGGACTATGGCTTTTGGAGGGACGGCGCGGCACGATTGGTGAGATGGCCTTCACAGTTCCATTCCAGCCAGACCTGTTTATCTGGACACGCACGCACACACACACACACACGCACACCTACGCACGCATGTACACAAATTCATGTTATATGTTAGGGTGTGTGCGTAGGACGAGTGCAAATGGGAACAACAAGCTAACTGAGAATCAACAAGGGTCTCAACCTTGACGCCGTGGCGAAAGAGAAGAGATTCTTCTTCGTTGACGGCCTCGAGCGCCTCTTCCTCGAGAACACCGCGGCCCGTGGGCAACCACCACCACCATCATTGCCGAACAGGACGAGCCACACGTACCTGGAGACCCCGCGCCTGTCTGATGTCGCGAGGACGTTACATGCCGCCATCGACCAGCCACTCTCTAGCTCTACGGGGCCCGTCGTGCTCCTGATGGACCAGCCGGACGTGCTGCTGGCTGCAGCCGGCGGGGTGGCGGAGGGGATAGACAGTTGGGGGTTGCGAGAGTTGGTTCTTGACTTACAGGAGGTGAGTGAATTCTTCTCTTCTCCCTTGTTCAATATCTTGATAAGGAGCTTTCTTGTTTCACACGCACATTGCAAACAACAAGCATGGACGGCATTTTTTGCCCCTCAGGGAGGGGGGTCTATTGGCAGAAAGAGGCATTCCTGGGAGTGGGCGGACAGGTGAAATGAACCAGGACCCTAACTGGCTCTACTGTGGCCCCCTCACCTACTATATTACAAGCATGCTGTCGTGGCTAGTAACAGAGGACTAAACACCGCGCACGCAGAAAATCCATGCGACCATCCTGACGCTCGCCGCGGACGAGCCGTTAGTCTCGCCGCAGTCCTCGACATTGGAAATAGAGCACGCCTCGTTTCTCCTCTCAATAGCCCACGGGGCAGAGGCCGTGATCTCCCTGAGGACGCTGGAATCGGGCAAGGCCAGGGACGTCAGTGGGGTGGTTAGGATCAGCAGCAGCAGCAGCAGCAACGGCGGCGGCGTGAGCGGCTCCAAGCGGCCTGCAGAGACGCGCGAGTATTTGTACAATGTCGCGTTCGACGGCACAGTCAGGGTTTTTGAGCGTGGGCAATAAGTAATCGACGATGTCCCCCACCTGGACGGTCACACAACAAAAGATACCCATTTCAAGTCAGGCTGTCGCTTCCGTTGACTCCATCTCGTTGTCCGTTCCATGGTCATCTTTGCATGTCACATCCTTCGCGATGCCCTGTCATGTGCGCATACGCCAGTCATGACGATTCTTGTGTGATCAAAATCCGCATAGCCTCTCGATTTCAGCTACGAACAGATCCTGGCCCCTCGAGCCCTCTTCTTTCTCACGCAACGAAATGCCGTATAGGTTCATGAACGACCTACACTTTCTGGAGGAAGATCGAAAACCCTTGTCATTGATCCTTGCCCGTAACTCATGCGAAGCAAGTTGGAAAAAAGAAATCAGGTCTGATCCCATTCAGTGGAGTGTAATTCTTTGCGTAGTTGGATTCCCCTTGTTCCGTGTGTTTGTCCCTTACACGCCTCCCCAAAGAAAATGCAGTACGCCCCTCTGGAATTTTTGGTGGTTTTTTTTTCAGTGTCGTCCATCACCACATTTCATCCTCCCCACACTCCAGCCATGAGTAGACGGCCTCCCATTGTCTCGGTCGGTTTCGCCGCTTATGGCTTGGAAGGGCCGCGAGCACCCTTGGGGGTGCCGATCTGGAAGCCGTTCTTGAATCGCCGGGAGATGGTGGACAGAGATCGCATGCGGCCGGTACCGGTGGTCTTTCTGCGCTTGGCCTTCTCGGACCAGTTGTCTGTTGTTGTCCTGCGTGTTAGCAGCCTGTTTTGTGTGCATAGCTTCCATCGGGATGCTCCTCGTGTGGACTCTTTCCTCCTCAAATATCGACTGCTTAGGGAGGGGGCGAGGTGCATCGTCCTCCGTTGTTGATCGGATGGGCTGTTCACATACACTTTCGGGTCTTAGCAGCGGGGTAGCCGCAAGAAGCGCAGGTGTGCTTCTGGATGTGCAGAGAGCGGCGACCTGTTCGTCAAAGAAAACAATTCCAGTCAGTTTATCATGATCGCTCGTCGGAAGGTGCGGTCTCTCGTTGCTGTTTCTTTTTTCTTCTTTTCCGAGACCTTGAAGAGAGAGACCTCGGGTCGCACATCCATCCTTCCTGGGCGGTGATTACTGACCACATCGACGGCACAGAGTGTGCGTCTTGTTGTGACGCTTTCCGAAAGAGCTAGTTCCCTTCGCTGTTTTCAATTGTCAGTCAATCGTGAATCGTCGTCGAGAGAATTTTCGATGGATTCGCTGGGGTGCGCGCGTGGTATGGAGGGTGGGACGAACTCATTTTGCCTGTTGATCTATCGGTCGTTGTCAGTTTCGAGGTACACAGCAAAAATATGAATCGATTTTGAGTTGTTTGGATAGTCGTACCTTTTGTAGTGAGTACGGGGGCAAAAAGGGTGACGATTGTCGCTTTGGTCGTGGATGGAGTCGTTGTTCGCTTGGACGGGGCCGAACAGAGAAGAAAGTTTGATCGTAGCTGCACTTGGTGGGGTCACGTGCAAGATTTTTTACTGGGAGCCGCCAAGCAGACTAGAAGGGCAACATTAGCCAATCAGCAAGAACCGTGAATGTGGCGTGGGTTTTGCATCATCCCGGGGTTAGGGTAAGGCTAATGTTTCGACCTTCGAGTATTGGAATTCTTCCTCAGTCCACGCCATCAGCTGTGCAGACCAAGCATGTGTGGAACAGAGCGTGATTTTCATTAGGCTACTGGAAACTTCTGGGGAAACATATCCAATCGACTCGTTTGATTCTCTTAGCGCTCCTCTGTGCTGCATGCAAAGTCCCAGTATCCCATGTTTCGAGAACCTTGCATACAGATATGTGCAGTCGAAGCAACTCAGTCATCCATGCATGCACTGATCTCGAGTGGTTCTGATATGAGATGTCATCGACGCGTCCGCAGGACTGCTCCCAGGGAAGTGTCCCGATATTGAGCTCATGGGGATTAATTTGGTCTTTGACGAAGAGGGTTTTAAGCAGATGAACAAGCTACATTCTCAATCTCTTGATCCTACACTGGATGATCAGACAGAGTTTGGTTGGATTAGCTGACTTGTTGGCCCCTCTCGTTGCCCTCCATACCCCGTAACGCCGAAACTCCTTGCAGATGTATCAAGAACGAGCATAGAAAACCCTACCCTCTCTAGGTCTCAGCTCTCAATATCAAGCATCTGTCGGAGGGCCAGTTCAGAGGCCCTCCACCACCTGCCTCTTTCCTCCAGATCGTCCTCCACCCCTCCGAGGGCCTGTTCTTTCCTGCGGCGGGCTTCCTTCGCAGCCGCCATGCTGTTCTGCCTCTTCTGCTCCAGGGGCTGCAGCTCGGCCTGCAGCCTCTCCATCTCCTTGCGCCTCCTTGGGACCTGTGACCTCAGCTGCTCGAGCTGCCTGTCCAGCTCATGTCTCTGCCTCTTCCTCTCCGCGACCAGCTCCAGCGTCTTTGCCAGAGGCAGGTTCAGATTTGGGTTCTCCCCCGGCTGCAGACGCTCCCTCAGCTCCCCAATTCTCGCCTCCAGGCCCTCGATCTTGTCCGGCAGCTCCCTCAAGGCGACCATCTCCGTCCGCACGCTCTCGTATCTCCTGCTCAGCTCTCTGCCCCTCGCCTCCAGCTCCTCCACCATGTCGGCAACCTCCATCTTCTGCGTCTTCAGCTGCGCCTTGGCCCTGGCGTTTTGCTTCTCCAGCTCGAGGTTCTCCTGGGGGGTTACGATGAGCGGCGGTTCGCCGACGATGGCGCGGATGAACTTCTCCTTGGTGACCTGCTCTACATAACTGAAGCGGAGCTTGGCGAACAGTTCCTTGTAGTGTGTCAAGTCAGCCGCCAGGCTGGCTGGCGTCGCGTCCACGGAAGAGTTGGACACGTCCGACGTGCGGGTTGTGTTGGCGTCTTGACCCGGCTGGGGGAGCGCGCTGGAGATGGGCTCGCTGAGGCTGATGATTGAGACTTTGTATGCGGCCTGAAGATCCTCGAGGTCTTGGAGGACCTGCTCTGCCTTTGCGCTCGTCATGGTGTATGTGTGTGTGTGTGCCAGAAATAAATGCCCAGAGGCAGACGCAAGTCTTTGTCAAAGATGATAGCTGTGAAAAGTGTTTTTGTAGTCTTGAATACCTGCTCATCCACACTGATTGCGATGAGATAGTATGATTCGTAATGCCTTGGTACCAGAGCCAGGTCGAATATCTTATGAGATACGGCGCGAGTCCAATGAGCGCGCCTTGACCACAGTATTGACAAATAACCCAAACAAGCCTAGCGCCAGTACTCAAGTTTGGACCGACCTGGACTTGGCCGATAAGCCTATAGCGATAAGACACATGCTAACATGCTAAGCCTCGAACCGTCGCAGGCGATGGATTCCTTTAAATGACAATCATTCCCACTGTACCTCTTCGTCAGAAGCCCAGCTCTATGATCCAAACACCCTCCTCGACATTCACTATACGACGATGGGCGATGATGACCTCCTCACAGACGAATACGTCGCAGACCTACTCGCAAAAGAAGCGGGCGACTGCTCCTTGAAGTACTCTACGATGGGAATGGAGGCTTACACAACGTCGTCCTCACGGTACGCATCAGCCCCTCCCCCTCCTTTTTTTCTTATCGTTCTTTTCCCCCCATTCTTTCATTTCCTCTCCTGTTTTCTTACGCTAATTATCCCTCCGTCTTCTTCTTTTCTCTAGGCCCACAAACAAGCTGAAACCCAACACACGCTTCTTGCGGAACATCATCAAGGGCACGAATCGTCATAACAACGCCCTCGCCGCAAAGGAGCTGTCCGAATCCCAGGCCCGTCTCAGAGACCTCGCCGACGCCAAAGAGGAGAAGCGTAAGAAGTACACCCCCTCCGCCAGCGAGATCCGTGGCCGCCAGCTGGGGAACATCGCCGCCCTGCTATCGGGTAAGAGTGGCCCCGGCACCGGAACCTCACAGAAGAAGCGCAGGCGATCCGAGGACGAGGAGGAGGAAGATGACACCCCCTCGGCTATGACAAAGGCGCGAGCCGATGAGGATGCGAGACGGCTTGCGGATATGGAGGCCGCGTCGAGGCGGCAGAGGGAGAAGAAGGAGAAACACGACAAGAGGCGGCGGAGTCTGGAGAGGTACAGCGTGACAAGACGCAGGGGCAGGAGATCTGAGGGTGGGGACGAAGATAATACGTACTGCAGGCGGAACTCATCGTCAGAGGACGAGCGCGGGGTAGGGGAAAGTAGTAGGAAGAAGAGACACAGGGAGAGATCGCGGTCACCGAAGGAGGGTCCCAGAACACATCGTCATCGATCACCAACGAGAAGGAAGAGGCGGGATGATATTGCTGAAGAGACTCCCGACCGGCCCTCTCATCGACACTCCAAATCGACAGGCAAGCCCACAAGGTCAAAACAAGCCAATGACAACGACGACGACGGCAATGCAGAATCGGACCCGCTGGAGGACTTGATAGGGCCAGCGCCACCCCCAACAGTCCTTCCGCGTGGGCGAGGTGCGCTCAAGGGCTCCTCTGGCATGGACAGCAGGTTCACCCCAGAGTATGATCCGAGATCCGATCTTCAGGCAGACAACGACAGTCCTGACAGCTGGGACACCGCCGTGGAAGCTTTTCGCGGCAGAGCTAAAATGAGACAACAGGGAGCGGACAGGCTGCGTCAGGCCGGGTTCACGGAGGACGAAGTCAAGAGGTGGGAGAAGGGTGGCGAGAAGACAATCGACGACGTGCAGTGGGCCAAGAAGGGCGAGAAGCGGGCATGGGATCAAGGCAAGGACGTAGACCAAGACGGTGACTAGTGGCAACTATGCATCTGGGGCAATATGGCCGAGGAGGATGAGGTGCATTTTAGCTGCAAGACTGAGGATGAGACATCTCCCCAAGACATTTCTGGACCGGGGATTCCGCTCAGACTGATTTCCAATTCATAGCAGGAATGGTAGACAATAATGCCTTTTCGATAGTATCGTCAGGAACTTTCATGACATCAGGTGTTTGGCAGTCTTTTTTTCTTGCCGGGGCCCGGGGCCGGGGGGGGGGGGAGTTTCTGGTCGCTGGGAGTCCAAGAGAGAAACCATATTTGTTCTTCGTTATTGCTATCGAGTCGATCGGGAGTAAGTTATACAAGGCTGTGAGCGTGGCTTCATGAAGCAAATGCATGTTGCGTAGAGTGAGGCTGTGTAGGAGAGTATATCCGGTTGAGTTTAGATCCTGCCCTCACGTTTCAAGACCAGAGAGACTTTGCAATTGCCAACATTTCCAATACTACCATACCGTTACGTAGAAAAATGAAAGTTTGTGCCGAATCCCTAGTGTTGTCACAGAAGTCTTGGAGCCGAGAGGTTCGCATGCAGTAGAGAAGGGGGTTGTGTTGATTCTGGGAATGGTCATCGTGTAAGTACACACACTTTGTCTAATTTATCGGGAGAACCTTGAGGTCGCCTCACTTCCAGACACCCTTCCCTTCTTCCCCTAATCTAATGCCCACCTAACAGCCCAGACAAATTGTTCCGTCAATAGAAATGATGGGAGCAAAGCATTCTCCAAATCCCAACCCTGACGGTCCATCTTTAGCCGCATATCATCAACCCAATCACGCCCATGTCAAGACCCCAGACCGGTGGACCCTTCTCACACCTTCATATTATCCCCATGCGGAGAAACCTGGGGTTAGTTTTCTGGTGGAAAAAAGATGCGGAGAAATGACCTTTGGGACTCAACTGGACCTGCCAGGCTGGTCAGGATTTATTCCAGGGATCTTTTTCTTTTCTTCCCCTCCTCTTGCCCTCTTTGCAGGGCAGAGAAAGAAAAGAGAGGCTTCGGTGTAAATCACCTTGTTCTGCTTAGCACCAGCACGGATGCTCGGCTGAGATGTCAAATCTCCCTGCGGGGCCTCTCGTTCGTGGGAATTTTGAGATGGCCTCTTTCCGTTGTTGGTACCTCGATTCTTTTCTTTCCTTGTGTGTGGATCCTCCACAAGATTCTGGAGACTTGATGAGGTGACAATGTTACCGTCACCGCTCTCCCACATCTTCCTCCTCCTCCCTCTGGACCCCTCCTCAGGAACGCAGTCGATGATGCATTGATGGTGGGCAACATCAAGGGGGGATATAAAAATCTAGACCATCCGCCATCTCAAGCAATCATCCTATCCTCCGCCTCCTTTGGTCCGTGGGCTGCTGTCTTGTGTGTTGTGACTTTCTCCTCGTCCTGACCAGACCAAACCAGACTAGACCTACTCGTCGTCGTTGCCGTGGTGCCATCGAATAATCGTCACCGCCACTCTCTCACGATGATGTTCGGCTCGCCCAAAGCCCTTGCGGCTGCCGTTCTGTCCCTGGGCCTTGCGTCGTCGGCCCTGGCAGATAGCAACACCGCGGCCCCTCACCCTGCGACCACCTTCGCCGAGTGCCAGAGCTACACGAAAAACCCCCTCCAGGGCTGTCCCGAGGGCACCATCTACGTTGCCCTCAATGATACCCGCGCCCAGTTCCACTCCATCCAGTCCGCCATCCTTTCCCTGCCCAACAACTCGGTCCCTTACTACATTCTTATCGGCGCTGGCAGCTACGTCGAGCAGCTCAATGTGACGCGCGTCGGGCCGCTCTACCTGCTGGGTCAGTCCGACCTCCCTGCCCAGGGCAAGACGTACGCCGCCGACGTCAGCTACAACCGCACCGCCCAGAACGATGTCCAGGTCTGGTGGAACGATGCCAATGTCGGCGGTGACCTGTACTCGGACAACGTCTATACCGGCGTCCTCACCATCGGTCCGACCCTCGATGCCACCCTGACTGGTTCTGGAACCACGGGTTTCGCTGTGCCTGACGGAACTCCCTTCGGCACGAGGGACTTTAGGGCCTACAACATTGACTTTAGAAACGAGTACGCTCCGTACAGTGATGGGCCTGCGCACGCCATGGGTGTGTCGAGGGCGAATGCTGGGTTCTACTCGTGTGGCTTCTACAGCTGGCAGGATACGGTCAGTTATTATGGCCCTTCCCCCTTCCTTCCTCGCATCTTGTTCCCGAATGGATCTTTTTTCGTTGAAAGAGAAAGAAGGTGACGAAGAAGGAGAAGGGCAAGGATAGGGAAACAAGGATAAAACGATAAAAGAAAAAGAAAGGACTAACATCTGATTCTCTCCTGTGTTCTCTAGATCTACGTTGGAAAGCTGGGCAATGCCTACTTCTACGATGTTGTCGTGGCTGGTGAGACAGACTTCCTGTATGGCTTTGGAACGCTCTATATCACCAAATCGACACTGTCGCTGCGGCACTGTGGCGGTGGCATCACAGCCTGGAAGGGAACCAACACCACCTTCACCAACAAGTATGGTGTCTACATCGATGCCACACAGGTGATTGCCAACAATTGGACCACCAAGGCCGAGGTTGAGGGAGAGTGTGCTCTGGGTCGCCCCTGGAATGATGCCCACAGGTCCATCTTCATGGACAGCTACTTGGACTCCTCGATTCTGCCTGCTGGCTACATTGAATGGGAGGCGACTCTGCCCAGGGTGGACAACTACACCTTCATGGCCACCTGGAATGACTATGGCCCTGGATACAATGTCTCTGCCGAGGAGGCAAGCAATATCACAATTGTGTTGAACAACACTGCCGTGGCGCCCTATAGATGGCCTGTGGATGTATTTCTGCAGAGCAATGGGAGCACAGGCAACACCTGGTGGGTTGACCAGAGCGTGTTAGTACCTTTCTGAGGTTGGGTGGCTATAAGTAGCTGGCTGTACATGGCAATTCTTAGCAGCATCACTGTAAAATTTTGGGTTTTCTACGCCTTGAAAAGAGAAAGGAAAGGAAGGAAGATGCGACTTCTTGAATGTGACCAGACCCGAAGTTCTTCCAAGCTGTGGAAAGCTTCCTCATCTGAAGTCTGCCGTGGAAAGTTTCAGTGGCATACTTAAGAGATTAGAGGGGCGCATACATCCTTGTGAATTCCTACCACTTTTCTCCAGCAAGTCGCACTTACAAGTTTTCCTCTCCTCTGCAATGTCGCTTGGACAAAGATATTTTCACATCATCGTTAGCATCATCGAGGAAGAGACGCTTCACGATGATTCTCTCCTGGCGCTTTGCTTGGTAGGCCTTGCCCTCTTCCTCCTTCCTCTTCCTGTCCTGATCAAGTGCAGAGCCACTGATGTCATCAAAAGTTCCTTGAGAGCTGAGATATAGGACACTGTCGGTAGAACCTGCAATCTGCTCTGAGTGTTTGTACCGTAAAACACCACCTGGCCGCTCCGATTCCTCCGATCCGACCTCTGCCATTCCCTTCGACCTATACCCCAACTCTTCGTCCGACCAGCCCTGTGGCGATCCCTTCTCATCCTTTTGCTTGTCTTCGCCGTCTTTCTCATCGCTGTTGACGCCGTTTCCACACATTCGGTAAATGCTCTTGTCTCCATCGCACGTGGTGTTGGCGGCACAGCTGTCTACATCCCTACTGCACGTTGGCTGGATGGTGTCAATCCCCGTGTACGTGGCTTTGACCTCCTTTGCGGGTTTCTGGATGTTAGCCGTCCTTGTGGGAGTTGTGCCTTCTTGGTTATCGTCTGTCTCTGACTGAAAGAAGGAAACCTTGAAATATCCGTGAAGCCATGGCGACGTGACCACCCTTTGGTCCCGCCCATTGGCGGTGGCCTCAACAGAGGAAGGTTTAAGAGGATCCTTGTTGACATCGCTGAGTGGCTCGCCGTGGACGCCGTGAACGCTCATGTGCCGTCCGCCGGCTGAGGCGTGCGCAGGGGTAGACAGAGACGCTGCAGTCGGCCTGTTTTTCTGGGGGAGTATCTCGTCAACATTACCCCGAATAAAGAGCTGCTGCTGATGACGATGAACACCAGGGCTGTAGCCACAGCTCCTGTCTTCCTCCTCGACTGTACTGCAGCTGAGATTCTCGCCCTCAACAATGGTGGGAAGCCACCGGGAGCTTACAAACACGACACTTGTGCAGCTGCTCGAGGTACTGCCTCGTCGCTGGGCGTCTTCAGAGCCATCGCTAATGCTATACGTCCGTACCTTCGTTCTCCAGACAGCACGGTCATTCTCCTCCTCGCTTCTGTTTTCAGCTGACGGAGGAAATAAGGTAGCTGCAGCGGCGTCCTCACAGACTTTGGCATAAGCCGGGACGGATTTAAGAGCACTATCAGCATTGCCAACAATATTGATATGATCGGCATCATCGTCGCTACTGATGGTGACAATATCGATGCGGGCCATCCCACCACCATGGTCACTGCTGGGGAAGACACTGCGGCCGCCCCAGTCGTTGTGGTTGCTGTCGCTGCTGCCACCACCGCTGCCAACATCCTTTTCATCATCGTTGCTGCTGATGGAGATTACATCGCTAGTGTCAGGCCTATTTCTAATACAGTCGATTTCCTCCAGCCAACGCCGCATGTGTTTCAACAGCTGGTGTACAACGACAGGCGGGAAGGCGTTGCCGATTTGTTTCTTGACACAAGGCCCTACCAACTTATAGCCATCGGGAAAGCCTTGCAGCCTGGCAAATTCGGCAAGTGTGAGCTCTCGCTGCCCACTCCAGTGGTATGCTTGGCCGCCCGAGGTGGTGATGGTCCGATTCATAGGCAGGGAGCCATTCCAGGGCGGGCGGTCCAGGATGCGGGCCCCGGAGGCGTCGTGCAGATCCTCTCCGTCTACAAGGCGGCGACACGCCCTGATGGCAGACACCAGCTGCCTCTGACCAGCACCCGGGCTGTCGCTATGTGTGGGCTTCGGCCAGTCTGGGAGGGGCTGTCCTGGAGCGGCGCCGATCATAACCAGCCTCTTCCTGGTCTGCGGCAGCCCGAACGCAACGAGAGGCAGTACTCTCCACATGAGGGAATAGCCATAACGGGTGAGGGACTGTACGAGCGCATTAAAGAACGGGAGGTAGCGGTCCTGCACAATGCCAAAAGTCTGCTCCAGGGTAAGAAACCTAGGCCGAAGCATTTCGACGATATACTGACAGGCGTACAATGCTGCGATGTTGGCCTCATCATGCTTTCCGGCGCACGTGTGGGCTGGAGACCACGTTTGACAAGGCGGAGACAGATGCACAAGGTCGACAGGCTCGTGGTCAACAGTGAGGTCGTTGCAGTAGGCCATAATATCGGCCTCGTGGAGCTCAACTTCCGGGTGGTTAGCCCGGTAGGTGGCATTGCATCGGGGCCAGTGGTCGACTGCGCACACCACTCGAAACCCTGCCATCTTTGCGCCGCACGTGTAGCCGCCGGCACCCGAAAACATGTCGGCCACCGTGTATTTTTGTCCAGCGAGGCGTGGAAGTCGACCATCTCCGCCAGGTTTTGCATCGGCCACTTCCTCTTTGCCCTGGGGTACGAGTGACCCGCCTTTAGTGTATGATCCCCTCCGCCAGTCCCTCGTGCGCTCCGTGTCCGAGGTGCGATGTCTATTTTTCTCGACATCCCCCTCCTTGAAATGCGCAAGGACTTCGCCGTCGACGGGACGCCTGGCACGTCGGAACCGCTTGTCTGGATAGTACGACGTGTGGACCCATCGGCAAGTCAATGGGGCGCGGTCCTCTCTGTCTTGACTCGATATGTAGCTCGCAGGATCAAATCGGCACTCAGGAAAGGGCTTGTTTGTCCTGTGGAGGACCCTCGGCTCTGGCTTGACGTCGTTAATCGTTAACTCGACTGTGGCCTGCTCCACAGGAGAGCGTGGATCGTCACTGTCAACCTCGAGCACCTGGCAGACTTCGTTCTTGTAGGACGCCAGTCGGCCGCCCATATTACGGGTCCTGGAGTAAGGGACACCTCGGAGCAGGAAAAGGCCGCTACCACGAGGAACAAGCAGGCGGGAAACCTCGACAAAGTCAATCACGTAGCGCCCGACTCGCACCTCCTTCGTCAGACCTACAACGTGACCGACCTCGAGATGGACGCCATCCTGACCGCGATACTCGTTGACCTCGTCATGAGAGCCGCACATGCAAGGGTTCCTGGTGCCCTTCTTGGAATGACTGCAGTAGAGGCTCCCTTTACCCCCAGAACGCCACTGGGGCTGTGTGTCTTCCTCGTCCTCGGCCCTGGCTAGGTCGCCGCGCTCAATGCTTCGAATCTCTGCCTCGTAGGCTGCTTCATCGTCAGCCCACTGGTCATCCACGTTGTCGTCGTCGAGCTGGATGGGATTAGAAGGCACGTCCCCTGCCTGGATCCTTTCGATGAGCCTTCCAACCTCTATGCCGATCGTGGACTCGGGGGCGTCGACGTCGCTAAGTCGTTCAGACATATTGGATCATTAGATTTGATGATCGTTTGGAGGGATAGGGAAGGGGGGGGGGGGTAGCAGTGCGAGGGAGTAGAAGATGCTGCAGATTCTCGGAAGGCTGTGAAGGAAGAGAGAAGTGTTGAGAGGAGAGGAAAGAGAATGAAGTCTGGAGCAGACCAGACCAGACCAGGGCGTGGAGGAAGCATTGGCATCTTCACAGACTTGATATTCGTGCTTTGTGGCTGTCTTGCTTGGACCCTGACTTATTAGGAACATGACCCAACCAAGTGGAAAGGAGAGAGTGGGAGACCAGATGGTAGCAATGACATGATGCAAACTTCCACTCCTCAACCCAATATACTTTACAATGACGTGATTTATCATTGTCATGTTCCGGAAGATCTTGAGCTTTGACAAGACTGGATGGTGTGTGAAAGTGGACATATATCGATCCAAGTAGGCCAGCAAGAACCCTTACACCACAATGAGGCAGGGCATGCCGATATTTCCTGGAGACTTTGGTTTACAAAAGCCCAAATAGTAGTCAAAGAGGACATACAATGAGGAAATGAGGTTGCATTAAAGCATATTTCCACCTAAAATGTATCAAAACGCTTGATTTAAACCCTACTGAATGTAGTCTCTGGTGGCTTGTGAGTGGGACGGCCAGATTGCAAGAAGCTTTGTGTTTCAACATTTTGCTGATGCTTTGTATAGCTTTTGGGTGGTATTCAAATAACAAATTCCTTTGCCATCGACAAGAAGACATGAAACAGAAACCACAAAGTAAGAGAGCATTCTTTGCTTATTATCTTCCTTTTCTCCTCATGCTACTGCTGCTGATATCAACACGGACACTGTCATGTCTGCGTTCGACAAGAGGTGCTGTGACGTGGAACAATAGGGAGCGCTGAGGCTCTTGGCACGACCATTTGGGTGTTTCCCATCTCAGACCGGGGGGGGGGGGGTTGGACTTCGGAAGGGTGGAATTGCACTCGTCCCGATGAAACCTTCTCTTCCTTCACGAAGCCCAGGTGGTCATGAGCCAGCACCCAGAACAAATTTGTGCCGAACGAAGAACCGACCAGCGTGCTGGCCCGTGCAAGGACGAGAGATTAGTTAGCGAATCATACTAGCATTATGTCTCTCTGTCATGGACCGCGCCGGGGACGTCTAGGAACGGGTAGCAACAGGTGTCTCGGTCCAGGGCTCGATAGCGGTCCGAGTGCAGTAAACTACGCGTCAGAGAAGTGCTGTCATTGTAGAATGTTCTGTGATCTCGTCAGCTATGCGCCCCAGGGGTCTTAGCCAGAGTCTGGAGGTGATCGCGGGAGATGGGGGCAGTGGATGCCTCTCAGTCAGACATGAAAACCTGATTTCCGCACATTGTGGCTAGGAAGTCGTCCATTATAAAAAGGTTGATCATCATGAAGAGGCTTGGTGGGGGGCTAAGAAGAATGGCAGACAGTATGGGAGCCATGAGAAGACACTTACCAGGCCAAATATCAAGGCTGCCTAACCCCCGTCCCAGAGGATGGGCAGAGAGCACATTATCATCTCCATCATGGAGCAGAAGAGATCCTAATACTCAACGACTGAGGGCGGCTTGGGCTGCATCCCATGTTCACTCGCTTCACCTGGTGGCATGCACCGATGCTTGTTGTGATGATGAAGGAAAAAGGGGGGTGAGAAATTTTGGTGCCAGAAATTTTGACGTCTGGGTTTTGCGTTCCGCGCTTTCGGGTGGGTGTGAGTGGATCTCAAAAATTAGGGCAGGTCCTCGTCCTTTTTTGCGACCAAGCATCTGCAGTGTGTCTCCACTTCTTTTCCCATTTTGGTCGCCTTCCAAGTTATTGTCAGGTCTGGAGTTTCATCACCAACGCCTATTCATTCGGAGCACATAATAACGCCAACGACGGTTCAACATTTCCAAAAAAATAAAAATAAAAAAAAATAACATACGCCTACATGAGTTTGCCAAAAAGAAGTGAACAAAAGGTACACAAATACAAGAGAGTGGAATGGTGCAGCTAAAACATAAACTTTCCATTGCCATTGTCTCCACCCCCCTTGGTTCCCCCGCCTTCTTTCTGTCCCTCCTTGACTTGTCCTGTCCAAGGCTTCGCGAACAGGTGGTCGCCAGTTCCCAAGCATCTCTATCCTTTGGTCTGCTACAGATAGAAGAGACACTCAAAGACCAGGAACAAGAGACAAAGAGATAACATGCTTGGGCATCCATTTTTGCCCCACTTCCTAACTCTCACCTGCAAGGCATCGAAATCAGAGGGGGCCGAGGTTCTCTTTCTTCTCGGGGGAAAACACACCTACTTCACTCGACGCTCAGACCAGCAATCCGGCGGCTGCGACGGACGCCCTCAAAGAAGTCCTCGTTGGGGGCAACGGTCAGATCTGAGCACACACGTCCTGTCAGTGCCGTGACGGGCCATTTATAATGATGATTCTGGTGATGGTGGTGATGAAAAAATTTGCGATGACAGCAACATACCAGCCTCATCCAGCCAGCGCTCAACAACACCGCCATATGTGTAAGCGCAGAGACGCTTGTCCAGAGGATAGTACATGTATTCAACCCATCCACGTATGTACTGGTTGCGGGAATACAGGGCGTGGACCTGGGCCAGCTTGATTCGCAGGCGAAGCTCCTGGTCCACCCAGTGCCCAAGGTTGTCCTGGAAGGTGGCACAGTAGTTTCTCCACTTGACAAAGACGTGGTTGTTAACGGGCAAGACAGCCTCGCCTAACGCGGCCTTCCTGCCCTCGGGGCTAAATTTGATCAGCGAGTTCAGGAGGGCCCAAATGTTGCGTTTGACCTCCCAGAGGCGGTGGTCACATGCTTTCCCAGTGGCATTGGGCGGCGCTGTGCCCTGGACTTCGGCGGGCGATGGGCCAAATTGGTCCAGGGGTGGTGCAGTCTCGACATTCATGGTGTCTTGTGTGGCAGAAGTTGCCCTGTCTACCATGACTGAAGAGCTCATTGTCTGTGATGCGTGAGTCAACCGTTCTTCGGGGGTGATGACTGGTGTGCCACGTCCTTTTTTGGTGTGAGGGGTGAGCGAGAGAAAGAGAGAGGGTGTGTTCGCCTCGGAGGGAGCAGAGCAGAGAAAAGTGATTAGGCCAGTTGAGCGAGCTGAGGAGGAAAGATGCTACGGATTAAACAGAGCAGAGCAAAGTAGGATGGAGACTCACGTCCCTTTTTATGAACAGTCTCCGAGAGAATGTGGTGGGGTGTCTGAGAGGAGGTGAAGGAGGAGAGGAGGAGGAGGAGGAGGAGGAGGGAGAAATGACAGAGAATGAGAGGTGCAAACGAAATCAGGGCTACTCGAGGCCTTGTATCTGGTCTAGGCAGGCCACACACTACATTGGGGCCATACACGTATGATCGCTCGCCCGGCGGGCCGTCATACAGCATTTCCTTTACCCAAAATGGTTGAACCGTGCCACGCGAGATTTTGGGGCAATGGCAACCGAGAAGACTGCTTTTCCTCTGGTGTTTCTTTCATTTTCTTCGTCTTTCTCATCATGTTGTTCTTCGTAAGCGGGTTCCCGTGCCATTTCCCGCGAGACATGCATGAAATATGTATGATCCCCGTCTTCTAGATTGGTCCGCCCCCCTCAGCTCCACACCAACGGGTCAGGATCGGTGTCAGCAGCAGAGAGAGAGGGAGAGGGGCCCAAGGCTCGTGTCGTTCGGAGAGTCAAACGGCTGAGAGTCTTCTCAAGCTTCATCATTGTGTAAGTGAATGCAGATGCTTTCCCTCCACACACTTGGACAGATTAAAACAGCGAGGCGCAAAAGCTCTGGCTTACAGGAGAGGGGTTGAGCTGGCAAGAGATATCCTGCAGTGTTAGTACGCCCTCTCCTCGGTCACTTGGATTTGCTTTTTTTTTGGGTTGGGGGGGGGGGGGCCGCGACCAGGGCATCGCGCGTAATAATTTTGGCACAGTATCCAGGACTTCAGCCCTTTAGCAGACAGGGTCCTGTCGCCGTAGTGATGGACCCGAGACAGACGGGCAACGGGGATGGAGAAAAGGAAGAAAGAAAGGGAGAAGAAACAAGTGTAAAAGGCGTTTCAGTCAGGCAGCTACCCGCATGCGAGGAGAGGGGGCAGGGAGGGCCACATCCACTATTGTAGCGCCACGTTCTCTCACTCTCTCACTCTTCACTTTAACGTTCTCGTATCAGGACTTGTACAGCTGAATGATAAGTCGAGGCGACATTGGAAAAATCAAAGACAGATCCTTGTCCCCCTCCTCGCCTTTCCCTCTCTCTATGACAGAGACAACTATTTCACGGGATTTTCAAAACTGGGTGCCAAACATTGAATGCTAGAAAATTGAATGTTAGGTACTGCATGGTTACGTATTGAATGTTGCATTGAGAATGTTAAAAATAAACCCGAGCGGGAATAAGAGCGGTTAGGAGGGGGGAGAGGGTGCGTTTTCAAACGGACACAATTCAAATGCCTGCCTTTTCTTCCCCAACATGATGAGAGATTGCTCCGAGAGCAACAAGATTCACAAAGTGTGTGTGGGTAGCAACATGCCGGGTCTACCTTGACGTGGTCATCCTGTACTATGGGGCTGTACCATAGTAGCATGATGCGCTCTCTGTACTTTGAAGGTACTTGTCGAGGAACGATGGATCCTGTTACGGCACCAGCCGTGCTGACCCACAACTTGACAGTCCCCATTTGGGTCCACATTCTTAAAATCCTGGCCCCACCAATCGCCCCGCTGCCACCGCCGTTTGAACTTCCGAGCTTGCTTGCTGGGTCAAGTCACCAACCATCGTGACGTCCATTGTCCGCCCCCGAAGGGGTAAGCTCAAGCCCTGGCGCCGAGGACTTATCCAGCATCTGGTCCCGATCAATCTGAGGTGTACATGTACCACCCACTGAACAAGATGTTGAGATCGATACCTAGCGGTATGTAACCTGATACAAAGCCAGCACATATGCAGCATGTCTCGATGGCCTGCTTGGGTTCACTTACAAGGCAGTCAATCACGGGTATTGACAGGTCTGCCTGTTGACGACTCCTACTGGCCCGGGGGGGGGGGTGTCGGAGCGTACGGGTGGTATACAACAGAATTTTTCTTTTTTTTTCTTCTTCCTTTCCCTCCTCCTTTTTCGGAATGTGTTGCTGCTGCGTGGCTGCCGTCCGTGCCGAGGTGTGCTGAGTTGAGTCCTGCACAAGCCCGCCCACGCAGCCCGAGTGATGCCAACGCCGTCTTCCTCACCAAACGCACTCAGCATCAATCCCTGGCGCCATCTCTCCGGTGGCCAGTCCTGCTATGGCAAAAATCAAGTGCAGCTCTCTCCCCCCCCCACACCCCCTCTCTCTGTGGCCATGCCACTACCCGCGATGCACCCAAACACGACAGCCTCAAATAAGCTGAGATCACCGTGTCATCAGATGTCAGGCACAGGAGGCAAGTCGTGGGGCTTGTGTTGTGGGCCCTTTGACAAATTGTAGGAACGCGCTCGACACTAAGGCGTGCAGGTGTGAGACATGTACGATGCAACATCAATGACGACGAGTTCCCAAGGTGCGCCCGGCCATATCTCGTCCCCCACCGAGCAGACAAACAGAAGGACGTGTCTTCCTCTGAAGTATTTTCCCCAACTCCTCCTAAACCAAAAGCTTTTCCTGAGACTTGAGACCGTGACATAAAGGTCAATGAGTTGGTTACGACATGCCGGCCGGTTTTCATGCATCGATCGCAGATCCATGAATTGTTTGTACGACATTGGGAAGCAATACAAGCCCATCAGGTACCCTGGTCATGACCCCCCCTGGGCGGAGAGGTTAACTACATATCCGCCAAAAAAAAAAACCCCCCCTTTCCTTTTTTCTTTATTTTTTTATTATTTTATTAATTTTTTTTTATTTTTTTGGATGGATAATTGTGGTGCTGCAGGAAGGGGTTCCCAGCAGGCTCAAACGACGCAAATGTGCCCTTCCAGCAGGCTCCCGGTAGGCGTGCAAATTGCTCCAGACGAACGTCGCGTCGCTTGTTCGCCGACGCCCCCCCCCCCCACCCCTCCTTCCCTTCTTCCCACTCCTCATGCTTCTCCTCCTCTCTCCCAAATAGATCCCAAGATAAGGTCTGGTGAAGAAAAAAAACCATGTGAACAATATTAATTGCTAACACATGATTGCAGGGGGGTGATTCACATCCTCAAGAATGGTAAGAAGCAAGCACTGACCATTCGGGCTCCGGCATATACGAGGGCGAGTTGCTTCTGATTTCCAGCTTCTTATCATTTCTGCAGGTCTATTGGGTGCAAGTTGCGAACTCTTCATGCAAGTCTGCAACTTGAGATTGCACAACATATGCGAAGCAGGCCAGCAACCCTCACCTCCACATCAACAAGGACGCGGGGTGGTAGGCGTATCGGCGAACCCCGTGACTGTCGAACCTGTTGGAATCGCGTCTCGCATGCTGCCGAAGCGTCACATGAAAAGAGAGCAGACGATGGAGCTGACCTCCGTCCATGCACTTCTGATACCGGCAGGAGGTTACGTGCATTTGCTATAGATGAAGGGTGGCGAGGACGAGGAGGACGAGGAGGACGAGGAGTAGGAGGAGGAGGAGGAGGAGGAGGCGGAGGAGGAGGCGGCCTGCAAGCGTGGCAATGAACAGGATAATCGGGCCACGGAGAGCTGCAGGTGAGGCGAGCATATTCATTTCCCTTCACCCCGCTGGCCAATTTCTGCACGGTCTCGCCCATTGCGGACCCGGGGATCAGAACTTGTGATGGGCTCTTCGCTTTTGTTTTTCCCCACCCCCCCTTCCCCCCCCCCTTATCTTGCAAGGCGGACGAGGGTGGGCAACAACGGGACCATGCATGTGGTGTGGAGAGTGGTGCTTGGTCTATTACGCCGTGGTCGCAGGTATTTCGTTTGACCAAACGGGATGAGTGGTGATATCACGATTGTTGGAGACCGGGTTACACTACAGCAGCTGCTGCTGTACTGTAATGCCCTGGGTCACTCCATCCATACTCCCCCTCGCCTTTCTATTGAACATTATAAAATACGGCATGTTGCCCCCAGTCCTTTACATGGCTTTCTGGCGGGAGCAATCCACTGCCCCTCCTCCTCCTCCTTCCCTGCCCTCACGGATTCTCGATTGGTACAAAAAACAACACATCACAAGAAATTCCCAAGTCCTGAGTCTCCAGCTGTTCTTCTTGAGAGACCTTCATTCCTGTCATTCCCAAGTCCTTACAATACAACCCACACTTACACATACACACATACATTTGCACGCCAACACATAAGTACACAAACACACCGGGATTGAACAGAGAGCAAACGCCTACACCTACCTACACTCAAGCCCAATTGCGCACCCATCTACCCATCCACCCATTCCTAGACTCCCCACGCCCCCCCCCCCCCCAAATGGGAAGCTTCATCGCCATGGAGACGCAGAACGTTGAGCTTGCCCGTTGTCTTCCTATCAGGGATGCACGAGCCTCTGCCGTCGACAATGTCCGGCGTTCTACTGCCGGGCGAGCCATGGCCATGGGGGATGAGATGCAGTCGGGGTCTGCAGACCAAGATGAAGGAGGTATGTGTGCTGCTGGCCATCTGATGGGTGCGACCTGCATACAAAAAATACTGACTTTCCATACATAAGAGCTTCAGCAGCAGGCGTCAGCGCGGCCAAGCAAGAGACGTCTCTCCGGAACTTGCGAGGACAGCCAGTCGCCTATCAAGAGGCCGCAGCTGCCGCAGACGGACGCTCAACAACATGGCGTCAAAGATGAGACAGTGACACAGCCGGTGGTGCGCCGGGAGGTTTGTAATGAGGATTTTCCATCACATAGAATGAGGCCGGCCAGCTGATCAGACTGATGCAGGCATCATGCGCGCTACATCACCCGACGCCTATCCGCCCCGAGCAGGGCCCGGCGTCGTTCCTTGAGAACTCTGCCGACCACCCTCACCCGCAGGGCCCTCTCGGCTTGGTCCCAAGAGCTTGTCGCAGCGCCCCCGCGCTGGGCTTGTCTGGCGATACGTATCGGACAGAACACTGTCGGTCGGACAGCTACCTTTGCCGGCCATGCATCCTCACCACCACCTCGGAGAGTAACGAGGTCGACAACACTAATGTCAACATGAATGTTGATAATACTGTCGACAACACCAGTCAAAGCAATGTCGGCAGCCATGCTGCCCCGGCTACAGTTCAGGTGTGGACTACCTACATTCCAGTGACGCTCCTCCTCCCTTTTCAGACCGGCCCATTCGACTTTTATAGGATCGATCTTGGTGCAGATACGCACCCTCGTCCGCGTCAGCAGCTGGCCGCCCGCTGGACCTTCCAGTGGTATCTCCACAGCACATTCCCCCTGGGTGTCAATCTCGCAGTCGCATCCATCTCACTCGGCCTTGACCGCGTTCCCACCCCTAGAACTTTGCGAAAGGCTACATATGGTTGTGCCAAGTTGAGACAGCTGTCACAGGCAGGCTCTGGAGGTCCAGACGTCGTCGCCCAGTACTTCCGGCTCAACTTATTCCCTGACCCCTCGCTTGTAGACGCCGTGGGCCGCGCCGACAGATGCTCCACGGATGTTGGTCCCCACATATGGTACGGATACACCCACAACTTTTTCACTCCCACACAGGCACACTTTTTCAACAATGAGGCTCGAGCACTGCCGTCCCACACAAGGGTGGAGTACCCGTTCCTCCTCATCGAATTCGCAGAAGCCCCAGCCTTATCTGCGAACCTGGACGGACCCGTTGCGCGATGCTTTGAGAACTCGGCGCCCTTCGCCAAGATGGTCGCCCGCCTCAACCACCTGCTGTCCAAGTGGGCCATGCACAGGACCCAGCCCGTCAACCAGAGCGTGTTCATGGTTGCCATGAGCACCACATCGGCCCGGCTCTACGTCGCATGGTACGATGGCGACAACACTATCCATCTGTCGATCCTTGGCTATTTTAATCTCGAGGAACGCGATGAGTACCTGCGCCTCCACAGATATATCACGAAGATCCTCGTCTGGGGAGGGCGTGTCAGGCTACACGAGCTCTACTGCGCCTTGAACGAACTTGAATTTGTCTCGAGGTGGAGGCAGTGGGTCAGCGCCGTGGTGGCTGCCCATGTTGCTGCTCACGCTGCTGCTACTAATCCTCAGCCGCCGGCCGTAATGGTCGCCCACGGTTGAATACTTGAATCCATTCTACGAATCCGTCGCGAAGAAGAGAGACAGATTGTTCACGGCAATGGGGACGGAACCATGACAGTGGTCAACGGCATTCTTGGGAGAGTCTACAGTACAATGGCTCCCCAGGTGTTCTGTATTGCCAGACAGACTATCACTTGTTTCCAGACGGAGGTGGCCGGGCGGGTCTTTGGGAATGGATTGAAATATGCCCGCAGCTGAAAGGTAGCTGCTGGTTTGGCAAGTGTGCTTTGTCTGTTCATTTTTGTATTCTTTGCGCGCCCCCCCCCCCCCCTTCCCGAAAAAAAAAAAAAAACCAACCAACCATACCACCATGACTCCGTCTCATGGATGTCTGGTCGTGTGTCGCCGTCATCAAAACTCTAGCGATTCGTGCGGCGGGGGCAAACCTGTCGATGTCAGGGTGTCACCTATCTTAGGCGACAATGACTCCTCAAGGCACGGCGATGGTGTCAACCCAAGGCTTTCCCCGGAATCCCACCCCGTCGCCCAATTCCAAGTCACCTTTGTTTGGTATTCCTGTTTGAACCTTGGCAACGGCTCTATTAGGGGTCATTACTCTCACATGTCGTCTTCTTTTGAAATGGGTTTGGTTATTCAGGTCTGCAGCCTCTGCTCTGCGGAGGATGTGTTTTCACTTTGGCGCTGCCATTGTCGTGTTGTGGACACCGAAGGAGGCGAGCTAAATGGCCCACTGCCCTACCGTTGGTCGTCTGTTCCGTAGTTTCTTTTACAAAAGTACGCTATGTGCCGTCGTGTGTAAACCCCGTACATTAGCTATATGAAGATGCTTAATAAATATATGTATATATGTATACACTTGAGATACAAAGTTGGTAAGAAGCCTTCTTCGCACGCTGTGTTTGTGACTGCCTGAATTGCTGAGGTCGAGCGGGTAAAGACTTGGGCAGAGGAAGACGAGGATAGGCGTCAATGATGGTAGGTGCTCGATATATTGCAACCTTGAATTGACGTCGGGCTGTCTGGCCTGATGCCACAGTAGCAATAAGAGACGCCCAACCACCAGCAAAATTTGAATACACGTTCGTATCAAGACTGGTGCCGGACAGAGTCAGCCGTCTCTCTCCCAGCGCGTTCTCCTCGCGGCCTGACCGTCACCCATGTTTTAGTGAGCTTAACGGAAACGTACTTGGTTGGAATATTTGGGACATCCTCAATAACGATCTCACTAACGAGCGTGATGTTACCTCAGCCAATAAATTCAGATGAACCGAACAGCCTACAGCCATTCAACCATGTTCCCTGCTTGAGACAGGGCTTGACTTCAGCAGCCAGTAAATATCCGGTGCCATGCAACAGCACAGCTGAGCCTATCAGGTTCAGGGGACGACGAGGTATGCAAATTAACTCTTCTGCCGGCTAAACAACCAAGGCGAATCATATCATCGTCTCTCCAAAACTCTAATATTTACACATATTGTTTGTTATATACAAAATGCTGAACTGACTATGTCTCTCCTTGTTGTGAATCTTTCACATCACTGTGGGTCATAGACTTTGATGGCTGCGATTCACTCCAGTGGTTTGAAGGAGCCCACTCCGGAAGTTCTGAGAATTCCTCAGTATTGGTGATGTTTCGTTTTCCCGGGATCGCAGACCCTGCATCCCCTGGCCTCCTTGTCTTGAGGGTACTGATCGAAACTACAAGCTTGCCGAACCACGGCCTCAAAGGAGGCAGGGATCCGCAGACAATAATGCAAGTAGCTTCGATCAGCGACCAGACCACAGTATTAACATTGTCGTCTAGATGGATTGTTAGTTGAGTGAAAACCTTGCATAGAACATCGCCTCCTCGACACGGGGCTGACTTACATGTGGCATCAAACGTTTTGCTAAACTGTACGAGATACTTGAGGCGGATCATGCTTGTGACGGTCGCGCTACGAGGCTGGTCAGTACGGGGAAATGGTGTATCAAGTAACTTCTTCGGATGAATCTGACTTACAAGGAGGCCAGGCCAAACATGAGACCAACACCAATGCGCTGCCTGGCGCTAATCTGCAGTTTTCGTAGCTCTGGGATCGGGAGAAGTACGAGGACGATGTCTTCAACGATAGAAAGTACGGCGCCGGCGTAACCTATCGCATTGACATCCAGACATTGGCCAACGATGAAATGATTCCAGATGGCTTCAACAGGGCGGCACTGGAATGCGATGACGAAGGTGAATGAGATGACTGAGAGACCGCAGTAACAGAGACATCCGTAGCAAACCAAGTGAAACCATCTGGCCGTGAAGACGCGCATATACAATAGGATAATAGAGGCCTTGGCGACCAACTTTACCCAGGTGTAAATGATCTCGACGGCGTAGAATATTTGCAGCAGATGTGCGGCATTGGCCACTTGCACATCCCAATAATGCAGGCCGAAGCCCAGCTGTGCACTCGCCAGTTCCAGACCGGCGCCCACAACCAGCAAGACGGCCGAGGCGACAGCCATCCAGTCATCGCCCCACAGTCTTCCTGTCCGGTGAAGCCGCGCCACGCACCGCATGCTGACAACGACGACTGATAATGCGAGGGCGACGATGGCCGCCAAGCGCACATCGCTGACCCGGCTTTCAATGGGAAAAGCGGCGCATGTTGCTATAAGAAGACTCCCCGTGGTCACCTGCTCGCTGAATGGACAGGATGTCTGCACACAGGTCGACATGCCAGAGAGTAATGTGTCATTGGTGCACAGGCAGTCCTCCAAAAGTGTGAGATTGGTGAGTGAGCATCCTGCGCTCAAGACACCCTCTTCAGTACATGGTAACTGTGAAATGATGCTTTCTGTTAACCAACTTTTGATCACTTTCGCATGCTCTTTCTTTCTCTTCGCCCCCCCCCCTTCTCCTCTCCCTCCCCCGGGCCCCCAGACTCCTCTTTTCCACCTTGTCGCGTTCAAATCGGCACAGGAGAACTTACAGCACAACTTGGTATCTGCGAAAAAGTATCGGACACGGACTGAGCAAGAGCTCTGCCTGCCATCAAAGAGACAAAGAGAGTTGTGAAACTTGCTGTGCAACGCATATTGTTCAGATGCGGGCGTCGCTTTGGAATAGTGCAAGTAACACACAACTGGATGATGTTTGTCCGCCGAACAGAAGGTGTGAAAGAAGAGACGAGACCAGAAAGTGAGCGCCTAAGAAAAAATCCCCCCCCCCCCCCCACTTCCTTGGAAGGCCAAATTCCAGATGGGAAAACCTTTCCGCTGGCCGTTCTCAGCGGAACTTTCCACCCTTGATACACAACTATGCGTAGAAGATGTCACAAAGCCAGGAACCATCGGAGTCTAGCCCGGTCACAGGTTATGATGGGCTGCCAGTATCGTCCCATACCACTTTTCTTGATCCGGATCATGTCCCGGGAACGCTGTAGTCTGATAGGATGCTTTGCAGGCACGGTTCCAACCTAAATGAGGTGGCTAAGTCCAAGTCATGCTAGCCTGAAACCACGACGCAGGACCCGTTAGGCGTGTGGGGACGAGGGCCCGGCGGGATCATGCCTGATCCAGGGGCAGAGCTAGTGAGGAGAATTTACTAATATTCCTTTCGGAGAGGACAACCGAGTTACCATTCTGCAAGGAGTTTAACGGCAAAGAACTATTAGGACGCACATTCCCGCGGAGTGCCGTTTTGGTGCTTGTTGGGTCCTTTTTCGTATGCGGACGCCACAAGGGAGAGAAGATATTGATGGGGTCCTGTTTTTACAAAAACGGGCGATGAGCCGAGGTCTAGTTGCATCGGGGCAAACGGCAATGTTAGGGAAAGGAGCCGCTGCAGCTAGGTGTGTGATTGACACAATCTGTGCGCGATGCAGTCAAGTGCGAATCCTGGCTTAGTATCACACCTTCTGCTTTTGTACATCCGAGAGAGAACTTCATTTCATTTCTTTTTCCCTCCTGTTCGACTGTGAACCTTTATTCTATAAGGATTTCTCATCCTCTCCTATGCTCTTGAGATCTTCATTCACTCAGGTGCCGTTCTTTCTACACATCCACGCTGAGTTTGGTAGAAGCGCTTGCTCTTTTTGAACGTCGGATTTTTCTCAAACAACAGCGCTAGAGTTCTGCTTTTATTGGACTCTTCCCAAGAAATAAATGTTCCGAAATAATAATCCTTCTATTTCGCCTCGCCTTCACTCTTTGATTCAGTCTCCGAACGTGTGCTCTTGCTTAATAGTGAGTTAGTATTACAGGCAAGCCTAGTTGGAATAGCTTCAGCACCAAGCTAGAGCGATGCTAGATTTATACAATCTACCTTGCAGCATGAATAAATTATTCTGCAATTTACAGAATAAAATTATGACTTAGATTCTTAATAAAAATATGTTATGACCCATCCGACATGCAGGTTACGAACCAGGACACCCGGCACAACCATCCGGAAGACAGGGAACGGATCCAACACCCTAGAGGATCAAAGGGAGCTTACATAAGCAAGGGTTAGGGTTACGGGATCAGTAAGGATCAGTGGCTGATCCAGCAGGAAACACAGCTAACGAGTCTGAAGAGCTGGATATATAAGGATACGCTCATTACCACCAGATAGACCACTAGACATAGCTCTTCAGTCGTCAATCTAAGTATTCATTTGTTCTACACTTGAATAGCCCCAAAGGCAGTAAAGCACTTGCACAGATTACTCAGTTATCTTTCCGTATTCAGGGATTGATACTTTGATACCGCTCTTGTTAGCATAAACCCTTTGTATACTTCAGGATCTTCGGATATTGCAGTGCATCATCACATTCCTCTTGCTTAAAAGCAATATCCTTATTCCTAGTCTCCTTGCTGCGAACCAGATACAGAATACTATATTCTCAAACATTTTGCTATTTGCTTTTATTGCATTACAGAACCAATATTATCAAAATTCATTCCCATCCTTTGTCTTTATTGATCACAATCCTCACCTTGTCTGATAACCATATTGTCTTCCTCCAACCCAGCTCTGCTGCCTCCTATCTAACGTCGACCCTGTTCATAAATCTTTCGAGAATTGTGTTTCTTGCGAAGAGAGCCTGATGGCGGACTCTGCGAGTCTCTGTAGCGCTTAGAGGAGGTCTTGTGGCGACTGTAGCGTTCCGATATCGATGTTGAGGTGGGGCTTGGATTCGCTGGTCCAGCAGCAGCAAGTGCAGATAATATACTGTACTCCTAGCAATCGTGTCTTGCAGAAAATTATGATCTTTCAATAGCTGGTACTGTGTAGTCAGCCTTGCAGTCGAAATTCTCGTTCGAGACGGAATTGGAGTTATCCCAGGGCTGTGTCTTGGCTATGGGCTCTTCCCGAGCAGCTGCAACCCGCGCTCGGTACGTAGCGTTGGCCTCCTCAATGAATGTGTTTCGCTGCTGCATCGCTAGGTCCCTCAGATTCCTGTATGCAGAAGCTCCCTGAACAAAGGTCTCACGTGTATCTGTTATGCCGAATGTTCTCAGCTGATTTATATAATACTGGAGTTGCTCTCCTGGTGCAGCGGGCGCAGTAGCATGGTAAGCGAACAGCTTGAGCTGGCCATCATGGTAGGTTGAGCTGTAGGTATAAGCTTGTCTATCGTACACTAGCTCCTCCCGGCTATAGTTCTGCAGGCTATGCATAGCTCGGGTACCAACTGCTCCATCATAGCAAGCCTGCTGCAATATTACCGCTGCTGATCCGTCCGGGCCCTTCGCTTCCATAAAGAAATTTGGCGCTATTAATCGATGTGTTGAAGTGGAAGGGATAATGTGATGTTGAAGCTCGCTGCGAACAGTCGGATGGAGTTGCTGGGGAATGGCGCCGAGAGCAATGTCTGGTCGAGGTGCTGCTATAGTCCCATCGGTAAGTGGCTCGAGATTCCCAAAGACTATAGAGCTGGTAGATGGATAGTTGGCTTCTCGCGGACCAGCAATAGTTGGTACTATATATTTCATCACGTCGTTTTCGTCCTTGGCTTGATCATTGGTCTTGCAGAACGTTTTAAATGTGCTGTTAGAGAACGGCCCATCAATTGTCTAGCAATTCATTGTATGAATACTAAACTTAGAATTGTAATGATTCGGGATTTTTGGGAAAAGGCGCAGCAGAAATGCGTCATGATCGTAATGTGATACCGACGAAGGCGAGCCCGACGGGGGAGCATTCCGGCCAAGTTGAGAGAGAAATTTACCGAATACAAGGAGTAGCCGCACCTCAGGATCGCCAGGCGCTTGTATGACGTCAGGATAACTTACACGGAAGTAGGTCGTGGGTGGGTTGAAGGCTCTAGCCAGCATTGGCTAGGACACTCAGTGTGAGGTGGTCAGCTATTTATTACTCATAATATCCCGCAGGCCAACTGTCGTAAGTCGACCATGGCCGGACAATCCGCTCAGCTGCGTGTATCATCAATATACCTGAGCAGCACACCCCACGGCACACCCCACAGCTGCCTGTTGGCTTCTGCCGGCAGCTAATAAGCCATGAGTCCGGCGCCTGCGTTGCGGCAACGCGCTTACTCCTTGACTACCTGCTTCTACGCGAGCGAGGCGAGAACTAAGACTGCCGATTCCACTTACGCGCTCAGTCCGGCTGTCTCTCCATAATATGCTAGGACTTGCCTTACATTACATATTTGTTGCATGTAGAGTTTGGGAGAGCTATAGCTGACACTCGATGAGTTTTACTTCTCAACTATATCATTTTTATTAGGATGTACTCCCAGCAATGTACATGTTATCTCTCTAGAAATTCAGAAGCATTCCCACAAGAAAGATGCCATAGATTGTATCCCTACAAGTAGTTGCAACATCGAAATAGTCCAATATTATCTTTGCTAAAGCGTTACTAGCTATATCTGAGGATTATTGCAAACTGCACATTCTTCGCACTAGCCCTTGACTTCAGCCTCATATTTCCCACGGATCAAATCATGGCATTGCTGTAGCGATTAGACGAGGGGATAGGCTGGCGATGAAAGGCTGAACTCACAATATATATTTCGGAATGGTGATCATGAATTTTCAATTGAACGTGGATAACCGCATGAGATCCTGTTGGTGTAAAAAGTGCACTCAGTGGGGTGTCCCCAAAATACATTTACAACCAACTTCGAGTAATTTGGAAACCTGAGAGCGGCTTCAAGTGCCATCTTAGCGTCCACTTCCAGCCCAGATTCACAAACTTCTCGACGGCGCTTTTAAATTTGTCCTCACCCTGAACTCCACCAAGGAACCCCAAGTAAGTCAAATCGGAATCAGATGTTGTGGACATCGCATTTATTTTTCCAGAGCTAGTAATCCTGTAAGTGAGATGAGTGACGAGTAGAATAAATCGATCGTTTCTTTCAGCCCGATATACCTTTTCGCTCCCAGCTATTGTTCAGTATATCTCCCAGAATCTTAGCCAAGATTTCTATGTCCACATCAATGTCCTCTTTCACTTTTCCTTAACGTTCCCTTTAATATGATTCTTTAAGACAAGCAAACATAGCCAATAGACGTGCTAAGAACCAATCATCTAAATTCATTTTCCCGATTGCAGGGACTAGCTCACCTTTCCAGCGCATATGAATTACGTTTTCTGCCAATGTTTTAAGCATAAGCAGTATTGCTTCTATCACTATATTATCATATAACATTTAACGCAATGACTCCTAAGGCCTCTAAGAGCCTCAAATAAATAGTGATCCAAAAGGGCTAGGTAGTTTTCTCTTTTATCGATCTATTCAATCCTGATAAAGCCGATCTTGCTCTCTGCTCTATACGCTGCTAGACCTCACCTAACAAAACTTGTCCAGTACTGCGCTCAACGAACGCCAGATTATGAATTGCAGGTTTACGATTCAGACGCACGAGAAAGCGGGGCATCCGGTTTATGACGATCCCTTCACTTAGGATGTTGAACGCGTCGTAAAGGAGCTCTGCACCGCAAGCTATACTTGGAACCCAATACCCCGCTCTTCTTGAAGGTTACAAGGTGTATTATGTGGATCGAAGGGGATAGATAGTTGGATAAGGCATGTATAACACTGGCTTCTGTAATACATGTTCTAATATTAACCTTCAGAATTTCTCGTTAAAAAAATCAATCAGAGTCATGCGGTCCACTTGAATTCCTTGGTTCAATTACTGGCTAAATAATGCAATATTCCCGTCAAATTAATTAAATTTTTCCAGCTATACTCGCTAGACGCGAGGAAGCATCCTCGTGAGGATACTATCAGGTGGAAACGGTGCAAAGGCAATGTGACGAGGTCTTTTCTCTCTTTCAGGGCATACAACCAAAAATGACATTGAGGCCTAAGAAACTAAGTTCTGCTGGCTGGCCTGGCTGGCCGGCCCTAGGCCTTGCTGGCACAATTGGCCCTGACAAACCCCCCCCCCCCCTTTGACTTATTTTATAGCAGCAGTTACAGTATCTCTTCCGGGAATCAGGCCACATGTGATCATCCGCGACCTTAAAGAAAGGCTGGTATACTTTATGGAGGATATGATAACTGCCATCAGGATCTGAAACCTTCCCAGAACAGATCTTGATATAATTGAATGTTTTTTGGATGCGCGTTGTTGCGATTCGTTGAGTCGAATGCTCGATGCTCAGAACGAAGAACGAGTGTCCGGGGACGATAGTCGGATACCTGCCAAGAAAGCAGGAGGCTCAGGTATCTAGCTAATATTTGCAGAAGCTAGGAAATTTTTAAGAGGAGAGTTGCGAAGGCCACACGAGCACAAGAGCAGGGTGAAAAACCTGTTCTAGATCTGTTCAGAGGGTTCAAAATCGAAAAGAGAAGGGAAGATTATCTATTGTTACTATCTGTTCGAAAAAGAAGAAAAAAAGTAGATAGTACCCGCATAGTATGAGAACTCGCGACCCACTTCACTCTTACGTCCCGAGGACCACCACACTGGCCACCACAACAATACGTTATGATTACTTCGCAGCAGCCATATCCTGTGAGTCTGACTGTTCTCCGCAGCTATATAGACTATTATCATTTCCAGTCAGCTGGGAGTAGTCACTCCTTTTAGCTGTCGCATATATCCGATGTCCATCGCCGTGTCTGCTGCGCAAGTTCTCTCCTGGTGATCCGTTGGCTCTCACTCAGCTCCAACATCTTGCTGATATATACTTCAAGCTCGACTCCTTCTCTGTATTTTTGCGAAGACCTAGCCTGCAGATCGCACTGCAGTCGTTCAACCTCTTCAAGCCACTGATCCATCTGTCCCTCTGCCCGAGAATCGGTATGATATTGGGCTAGTTGCCACGCCGGGAATTGGGGCTGCTTCTCTGGCAGCATTATATACTTTATCAGATAGAGCATAGAAATGCCAAGTGCCCAAATATCTGCCGGATATCCTCTGCGTCCAACTCGGTATTCTGGGGGAACATACCAAGGCGTACCCCCTCTAACTATAGATCCGGGCTCCTGAGCTAGACCAAAGTCAATAAGGATTGCACCTCTTCTGCATAATGCAGTATCTCTGCCGTAGAGGATATTGCCTGGCTTGATATCGTTATGAAGAATGCTCTTGTTCTCCAGGTAGAGCAGAGCGCTCGAGATATCTGCGAGAATACGACATGCATCGGCATGGTTCCCTCTGAATAACCCTGTCTTGGTACACCAGGCGGAGCTGCTGAGATCCGATAGATCTTTGAACTCAATATACAGGGTATGTAATCGCGCGTCATAGCCCAGGAGATGAGCGATCCGGGGCTGTCTCTTATTAGCAACTGGCTAGCAACTGGCTTCCTGTGTTAAGAGGCAGAGAAAGAGAGAGAGAGAGAGAGAGAGAGAGAGAGAGAGAGCTGGCTGGCTTACATGGTCGAGATGACGATGCTGTTTGAACTCAGCATACCACCTCAGGGCAGCACTGCGTATCCCCGCTTCTCTGCATTCTTCAGCATGTATCCCTTGTGGTTGTGTAATGATCTTGACCACAACAGCCTTTGTGCTGGTCAGATTGCTATTCAGAATAGCTTTGAAGGTATAGGCGCAGTGCGATCGGCGCTCCCATCTAGAATACAGATAGGCAAGACGATATCCCACCTCATCTGCATTCTCATCTCGTACCATAAGCGTTTGACCCTCACTAGGCTTATACGCGAGCCAAGCCTGGTCATCCAGAGAATATGCTATACAAGCTACCTCTCCTTCTGGCAATGACGATGGTGTTACAGAAGGCATCAACAAGAGAAGCGGCTCAGGCGCGCGCCTTCTCTTGGTAGCCGGCAGCATAATCTCTCCAGAGCTTCTCTTCCCCAGTATCCTCCCCTCCTGGATTTCGACTGAGTACTGGCGAGGCCATAGCTGAAACTCCAAGCTGTGCTGAGCTGTCCAGACCTTCCAAGTACCTGGCACGAGAGTAGTATATCCTTTGGCTAAGAGCTTTGATGAGAATTCTGAATCTGATACGCACTGTATCTCAACAGGGCCTGGACCATTGCGTAGGATTATATCATCGCAGTTCGGGATATAGAAGAACTCGCACTGGATGCTGCCAGCTGTCAAGGAGAACATAGGTTCACTCCTGCTTTGTATGCAGCCCAAGAGATTAAGCCAGAGCGGCTGCTCTTCAGATCCAGGCCTCGAGAGCATTGTAACCTCCTGCTGTCCGGCTTGGTCAATCTGGATGGCCAGATCCCGGGGCTGTCTGAAGACAACCCTGATCCGCGGGTCCCAGCGCAGGGCCAGCTGGTCCAGAGAAACTTCCGCAGGCTGATGCTCGCCGCCCTGCTGGGAGCCGTGGGCTCTGTCTCGCACAGAGCTATCGGAGCCCTCGATAGGGTCAGGGTGGAATTCTTCCGGGGCTGTGAAGAAATCTTGTTGCTCCGAGACAGAGACCTGTGCCAGCTGGGTGCTGTCCTTGTCCTCCGGATGGTCCGGCTCGGGTTGGACAGGTGGTTGTCCGCCTGTGTACTCGGCGATCCTGGCGGCGAGGGAGCTGCTGGAAGAGAAGGGTTGTGTGCTCTCCCAGTTCTGTCCCGCATCTTGTTGTCCGCCCGTGTACTCGGCGAGCCTGGCTGCATGGGAGCTTGAAGAGAATGGTTGCGTGCTCTCTAGGCTCTCCTGCGGGTTCGAAATCGTCATGATGGCTTATCTGGCGAGGCGAGAAGACGTGCGTGTCCTGAAAACAGAATTGAGGAGGATGACTTGCAGCAAAGTCTTTTGTTCAAGTACTCGATACATCTTGAAGACGAGAAGAGAAAGCGGACAACTCTTGTACGATTAGGAGAAATCAACCCCCCCCCCCCCCCCAGCACTATGTTCCGGTTCAGCGGCAGACAAACCGAGGCAGTAAATTAGGTTTGGTTTGCTGCACTGACAACACAGCACGGCAAGGCCCAGGGACCAGCCCATTATTTATTGCCAGGCTACAAGCGATTAGGAGAAATCAACCCCCCCCCTCGAGAGATCAACCCCCCCAGCACTATGCCGGATTTGGCAGGGTTTTGCACACAGGGCGCACACTGTAATCAATAACAGAGACGTTGTAAACTGCGCATGCAGCCTAATCACAAGCGCACTGCATGTGCTCACATATATTTGGTGAGAACATGTAGCGTACTCATGACACCCCTGCGTACATACATACACGCAGCCTCAACACGAGCACATGCAGTGCGCTCGTGTTGAGACTATGTTACAAATTGATTTACATTGTAAGATGTATCTATCGAGAGTTATCTATTGCTCTGAATGTCAAGTTGCTTGGCTTTGGCTGTGATGGACAAATGGCGCTAGTTGTAACATAAGCACACGTCATACGCTTCAATGGTTTGTAAATATTTACTTCAAGCGCGCGCTATACCGCGTCTGCGCTTACGATTTTTCTTTCTTCACCAACAGACATCATCAACAGGGCAGTATTTCCTCAACACCACAACACTTTTTTTAACCTGCTGATCAATTGTCTAGGATTCAAGATGGCCTCGGACTCTGTTACGCCTTCCTCGTCTCTCAACGCCACCGCGGCTGCAGCTCCTGCTGCTTCGCGGTCATCTCCCACTGCGTGGGAGTATGTTAAGACGGTTGTGCCAGAGTACAGGACTGCGCCAGAGTTTCGGGGCGAGGAGCCCACCGGTATATTCGAGAGGCTTGGCTCGCTGCCAGCTGTTAATAGCCTTGTTCCAAATCCTCATCGCGCGATCCTCGAGCGGGAGGCTGGTCAGGTCTTTGACCTGGGCCGTACTGGTGGTCGCTCCAGATTCAACATCAACCTGAAGGCTATCCTTGTCCAAGCCTCAGGTATTGCCTCAGCCTCACCAGCTGAGGCATGCGACAACTGTCGCAATCTGCGTGGCCTCTGGCAAGGATGTGTTCGGGCTCCTGTGTCTGAACCCAACGCGCTTCCTCATGGGGCTTGTGGCAATTGTGCATATAATAGCCATTCACGATCTTGTATTACAGGACCTGTGATTGGCTATACTGCTCCGCCTGTATTCCATACAGCGCCTCCTGCCCCCTCTGTAGCTTCGCAGCCTGCTCAATCGGCGGCTGCTCTGTCTATGCCTGCGCCTGGGCCTGCTTCCAATGCCGTGCTCGCAGCTGCTCCTGTTGTGTCTGCTTCAGCAGATACAGCGGCGGTTCCTCCTGCTGTGGTGGAAGCAGATGCTGGTCCTGTGGCAGCTGCGGATCACACAGCTGCGGATTCCTCAGGCAGGTTGTTACTGGGCAATTCTGCAGGTATAGAAGACGAGCAGCCATTCCTACCTTTTGAGTCGGTGGGTTCATCTGACCATGGGGACAATATACAAGAACCAGAGGGCGGATGGTCACCTGAGGCTGATATGGGATGGAGTTGGGAGGGCGACGTCGTGGAGGAGGAGGCTGTCGATGAGGCAGTCGGGGAGATCGTCGAGGGGATTGTTGACGAGGCTGTCGCGGAGGAGGACGCGGTCGAGGAGGAGGAGGTCGAGGTCGTGGAGGAGAGTGCCCATCCGCCCCAGGACCCAGAGGGAGGCTCTCGGAAGCGTAAACTCCCAATCCACAAGTTGGATGGCATGGGCTAGAAGCTTGTGCCTGAAGACGATATGGAAAGGGAGGAAGACGATGACGCGGATGATGAGTATTCGCGATGCCAAGAAGAGGTCTGGAGGCAGCGGCATCAGAGGATGATGCGCTGCTTTCGGGCCCATGAACCAGCTCCCTTTATTCAGCCTGGCTCGGTCAGGTCTTTTGAGCAAGGGGAGCGAAGATATGCAAGAGCCTCTGCCGTGTTTGGGCAGGAGATTGCTCCTCGCCCTCCTCGGCTAATTGACTCGATGCGAGACGAAGAAGAGTTTATGGCAATAGACCTTCCTTCAGACTCACCACCTCGCAAGCGATTGAAAAAGGCATGCAAGAAAAACGATGAAGGCTAGTCGCGGGCTTCAACAGTATTAGACCAGGCCCTGCATCTTGGGTATGATCCCACTGTTTAGGGGCAAGGCCTGGTCCAGCGTGTGTTTTCTCTATTTCCTTTTGTTTTCTTCATTTAATAGTAATATGTAGTTCCCGTGAAGGCGCTAAGTGGCGTGCGATCAAGTGGGACCGTCAAGTGTCGGTCATTGCGATGTTTCCTTGAAGGAAGCACATGAAGACTGATTATCTTAGTTGACCATATGAAGAGAGATTACTATTATTGTGCAAGCTGACTTGATGTGACTGCGCACATTGCATGTGCCTACGTATTATATGTGGGCACATGCAATGTGCGCAGTTACATCAAGTCAACCTACTCAAGATCAGCATGAGGAGAAATTACTATTATTGTGCGAGTTGACTTGAGGTGACTGCGCATACTACATGTGCCTACATACAATACGTGGGCACATGCAGTATGCGCAGTCACCTCAAGTCAATCTACTCGAGAAGAACTGCAATACACTCAAAATTCTATGATCTGTTCCCCTATAGACAATCGCTCATCTTTCCGCTTCCGACTCTGGCTTGTCTGGCTCAGCTCAATTGATGCAGAGCTCAGTATTGATGCTGAAGCCTCGTGGGCTTGTCTCTGGATACGAGGAGGTGCAGAGGAAGGCAGAGTGCAGGAACCCAGGAGTGATGAAACTGGTGGCAATTGGCGCTCCTCACGCAAGCTGGACACTGCCATCATAAGATCTTCTCTCAGCACTGCAACTTGAGCAGCAGTGCTTCGTGGTCTTTGTCTCTTCTTAGGGGCTTCATCATGAGATCGGAAGCGTCGTGTACTGCCTGATTCTGCGGGCAAATTGGCAGCCCAGCCTTCTGAACTCTGAGGACCACGCCTTTGAGCATGTCTGCTTGGGAGGACTCGTGGATCTGGTATATTTTAAAGCCGGATATCATTGAGCGATAGCGGGCAGTCCTTTCGAATATTCCAATGAGGATGGATATCAGATAGTTCAAGGCAGAGAAACTGCTTCGCAAGGCTGATCATAGTGTGACAACATGGAAGACCGTATTGCTCAACGAAAGTGCCTGTATACTTTGTAGCTGGACTCTCGCCACGAGCGATCTCTCTGCAAGATCAAACTGCCTTTTCATCAGCTCCATCGCCTTTTTAGAGCAAGACCGATTGATGTTCTTGAAGAATGAAGTCTGTCGTAATCCCAGGTAGAATCTGCGTCGATCTTTGGCTCTGTTGCTTTCGAATTGATGCTGTTGTCGCTCAAGCATAGTGGTAATGGCTTTATGAAGCTTTTCAAGATCCGAAAGGCGATTGCGAAGATGTGCTTTCAATGAAGCATGAGCACTTTCTGCTCTTGAGGAGACTCGGATACCGTAATTGCGAAAACGGTTAACAGCATATTCGCAGAACTCATGCATCCAAGGTAGCCAGGTATTGTGGAGATAGTTGATTATCTCTGCTCATAGCAAATTAGTTAAGTCTGACTCATAAGGAAAACCACGCACACTGCATGTGCTCACATAAAATGTGTGAGCACATGCAGTGTGCGCGGTAGCGGCGCAGAGATCCTACCTGATTGGTCATGGAATTCCTTACATAGGTTGTTCCAAGTCTGTTGAGCGCTTTCTTCTGTTCTAGCATAAACCATATCTTGCCAAGCAAGAAGAATGCCATCTGCATTATCACACCACTTGCGTCCTGGCCTGGGTTGGGGCTGGAGATCTTTTCAAGCCTAATCCTCGTCTTATCTCCATACCGAGTCTCTTGATCAGTTTTACTGAGCATGCGGGAAGCGAGATTGTTTGCTCCACGGTCCCTCTCAACTGCAACCATTTTAGCCTCATCCTGTGTAATAGATCCATTGCGAAGAGCATCATGAAGCCCGCTGCCAATCCCACCGCCTCTCTCACTCAATATTGTGCCTGCCAGAGAACCATTCCACTTTTGTCGAATGTGATGAGCAACATTCTTCATGATATGCTAGCGGCAAAGCTGCTGTGCAATCTCGATCGGCTTTCCTTGCTCTTCTTGAGCCGAGAGAAAAGCGTTCAAAGCATTCTTGTATGCGAGATCACGATCGCTGATCATCACAAGAGGGAAATCAATGCTTGCTGCCTTAGCTAAAGCGAAAAGCTGGTCAAGTACCCATCTGAACGAGCTCTCTCGTTCTCCACTGAGAAGACAGAACGCAATGCTGAAGTTGGTATGGCAAGAGGAGATGCCACTCATCTGACAGAGTGGCATATTGAACCGATTGACCTTATATGTATTATCAATGCTGATGACTTCAGGATGTTCTTTCCACATCTCGAGATTCCATTGGTAAGTCCAGAAGATCCGGACAGGGCGTGAGGTAAGATCTCCGGGGATCTCATAGTCAATAACAATGCTTGCTTTACCAAGTGATTGCATTGCCTCGAGGTCCGAGATCATCTTTTGGGTGGCTGTCCTAGATTCCAACCGATGAGCTCTATCCTGTACAAGAACATATTTGATATCATTGGCATGGACTGGAACATCAAGCTCTCGGCGTAGCTGGGCAGCGATATCGTTATGTGTGTTCTTGCTGTTCTGTGCGAGTGTGAGGATTCGTTTGATGACCTGAGGCGTTCGGCAATATCGACGATTTGCTGGATGCATAGAAGCGTTGTGTTGATTCAGATCGTGGCCATGATGATGATCGTCCTCTGCCCTCAGATTGAAGTACCATTTCCCATCAGCATGCTTGTTTGCTGTTGCTTTCCACTGACAATCAGACTTTGCAGTATTGAGAGACTCCTTAGCTTTCGCATGCTGGCCATATACGCATCGGAGATCAACTCTTAGACGAGTCCTGCTGCCACGGGTTTCCTTGCGTGTACGGGCTTTGAATACATTGAATCCCATATTACGAGCGTGCTTTTGAACGGCCTCGAGCAGAAGTTCCAATGTATCATACTCGTTTGTCAAGAGTTGGAAAGAGGAGGTATGATTCAAAGGATCATCTGAGTATTGCTGCAGTTCAGAGTCGCTCTCTGATTGCTTCAAGCAAGGTAGATCTGAGGCTTCAGAGTCTGAATGCTCAGATTCAGAGGACATAGATCCATGATGCTGAGAAAGGAAGTCCCAAGCAGACATAATGCTGATATTGATTGAGAGAATTGTGCTGGTACTCTGATCATAGCAATGTGTAAAGAGTATTGGCGGTATATCATAAGCACAAGTCATGTGCTCATGACACACCGCCTGTGGAATTTTGCCATATGGAGATGAGCAATGTGTGAGAATATTTGTATGTGATTCTTCTCTTTGCTTGAGCGCTTTGGTGCTCCTCACTTCTCATGAGCAGGCTAGCAGCAGCTGTAATATGGCAATGGGTGATACATGTCCTAGTTATCTGACACAGTATGAAAAACGGGTATGCACGTAGATGGCCTTTACATAAGACGTTCATTTTATGTGGGGGAGGGTTGATTTCTCCTAATCGTAAATAATGGGCTGGTCCCTGAACCTTGCCGTGCTGTGTTGTCAGTGCAGCAAACCAAACCTAATTTACTGCCTCGGTTTGTCTGCTGCTGAACCGGAACTGACCGCTTCCCCACAGTGAAGCACGGGCCACACCACCTCACAGCGCTTCGCCGTACCCGCTGTTCCTCTCCTTGCCCACCCAACAACATCTTCATCGCCAGCGCTCTTTCGCATCCTATCTCCACGAAGCCCTGCCTTCGCAAAGCCCTCTCGTCCTACTCATAACGCCCTATCACTCATCATCATGGACGAGCCCCTAGATTGGGACTCGTTTATCTTCCGTCCTGTCGATTTTGATGATTATTTCGATCAATATCCTGAGCGTTTAAACGCGTTCCACAAGTTCATGCCGCACAATATAAGCCCTACCCTCATCTTCACTACTCTTCCCAGACAGTTCAATACTATTACGATACCACTGCAGGATTCGGAGGCTTTCTTTTTCGATATACTCGATGTCGGCCGGGTATCTGAGGATGGAGATGACTTTTTCCGCCGGCTCGGGGAGCGGCGGGAGGAGAGGCTGAAAGAGCTGCACGAGCTCTGGAAGGAAGCGCTGGACTTCTCCAGAACGTTTAAGAAATTCCGCATCGATAAGGATTGGCAGTCTTATTGTAATATCGGTAAGATCCGGAGTCAGAAGTCCTTTGATTCATATGTTGCATACTTTGCATCTCTTATGCTACGATCAAAGGATATTAGTGTCTTCCGCCAACCTGCTACATCGCGCCCGACGGCAGCTGGCGCCGCCGCCAGATCCCACGAACAAGGAGCAAGATCACCCCCTTCGGCACACTCGAGCTCTGAAGGAGGGGACCCGGCAAGCCAGGAAGCCTGGCCACCGTACGAGTCAACAGATGAGGAATGGCATCCGAGAGACGAAGGAGGCTCAGAACGAAGCGGATCGCCCCCTCGAAGCGAATCGCCCCCTTCTAGATACGCGACACCACCCGAATACCGAACCAGCTCGCCTGCACCAACAGATACGCTATATCCCCCTGCGAGGCAGGCTCGGGATGGGGGAGAGGAGAGCTGGGAGAGGGCTGATATTCCTGTGGCAGGCAAGAAGAAGGCGAGGACAGCAGCATCCCGCCCGTCGCCAGGCCGTGTGCAGAAGAAGCCGAGGAAGAAAAAGAAGCAGAACCCGGCCAGAGACCCCGACCGTGCCCGACCTGCTGCCAGCGGCAGCCCGCAACAGACAAGGCATGAGCGAGCCCTTGACAAGATGCTCCAAGGGCTGGGGGGTAACGAGCGGATAGAAAGCCGACCGCCCGTCCGTCCGGGGGATGGGGATGGGGAGCTTTCTCCATCACCCCCTTCCCCCTCAGCCCTACAGCACAAGCAGCAGCAGCAGCAGCAGCAGCAGCAGCCGAAGAGTGGGTCTCGTCACAGAGCTGGGCAGCCTTCACAACCAGCATGCACGGCACTTGATGGAGTTCGTGGAGCCAAGATAGCTAAGGCTCGTCGGAAGCGTGGGCTCCGGGGACCCGAAGCTTCCGCCCGGCTGGTCTCTGCCGCCCAACAAGCGCTGTCTAGCCTGAAGCCTCCTATTCCCCCCTCGAACGCCCTGTCAACAGCATCTGTACGCAGGAGCCAACGGCTGGAGGAGAAGGCGCAGAGCAGAGCAGCTGCAGGTCTCGGTGCTAGGGACAGGTGAAGAGCGCGCCAGCGGGCAAGCCTGACAAGGGCGGAGCCTAGAGAACACCCAGCAGCGACCCAGGACTTGTGGACATGTCGAGAGAGAGAGGGTAAGAGGGTAGGTATCTCCTGCTAGTGAGCAGTTCTAGAGCATCATCACCACAGCCCCGAGCATTCTTTCAGGCATGGTTGTTATCCTGGCAGGGCTGGGTGCAGCGGCGTAGTCTGGTTGATGTGCTCTGTGGGGTTTTGACAGGCAGGCATGGTCGTTATCCTGGCAGGGCTGGGTGCAGCGGCGCAGTCTGGTTGATGTGCTCTGTGGGGTTTTGACAGGCAGGCATGGTCGTTATCCTGGCAGGGCTGGGTGCAGCGGCGCAGTCTGGTTGATGTGCTCTGTGGGGTTTTGACAGGCAGGCATGGTCGTTATCCTGGCAGGGCTGGGTGCAGCGGCGCAGTCTGGTTGATGTGCTCTGTGGGGTTTTAGCAGGCATGGTCGTCATCCCGGAAGGGCTGGGTGTAGCGGCGCCGCTGGCAAGGCCGAAGCCTGAGGTTCTCTTCAGCGTAGCAGCTTTCCGTCACATGGAAGCAAGCCAGATCAACAGGAAGCTGGTTCGGATGCAAGCAGGTATGCTGTAGTTCAATTCATCTGAGCTTCTGCCGCTTGGACGATCATCTCATGCTCCTCGGACTTGAGGATCTGGTACTTCATGGCAACAAGGTCCATCTCATGACTTCTAGCCGAAATCATAACCTTTTGTCTTAGGCCATAAAGCAAATTCTTACGCTCCATCGGCCCATGCGTATCTCTGCGTTTCAAGCTTTGATATTCTAACGAGAATGATCTATACGCATAACTTCTCCTAGTCCTTTGGGCTTCAATGAGCTTGATGTACTTCAACTCTAGATCGTGCGCGGTCTGGCCATTTATACCAAGGTCAGCTTGTCACTACAATACATGCAGTAGATAATGGCAGCTCACCTTGGGTAGTCACGTAGTTGTGTCCTGATCTCCTCTTTTACCTGGTCTCGAACTGTCTCTTGAAGCTCGCCTTGCAGTTTCTCGTATATCTCCGAGAGCAGCTCGGTCCTCAGTTCATTCCGTAACTTTCCGTGAAGCTCGGCATGGAGCTGATTTCGGATCTGATCGCGGATTTCGTCGCGGATTTCGTCTCTTATCCGGTCCCGGATCTGGTCCCGGATCTGGTCCCGGATCTGGCCTCGGTCTAGGATCGGCTGAGATTCGGTTGTATCTCGAGCAACAGCCTCTGGATTCTCTGAAAGGCGGCGCTGTTTGTACTTGGGACTAAAGACGGCTAACTCCGTCTGATAGGGTGGTGGTGGTGGTGGTGGTGGTGGTGGAGGATCAGGTGGTATACTGTCATAGCTCGGCGGCCGGCCATCCGCGCCCGCTGACCTCGAGGCCCTTCGGCAGCGGATTGATGCGAGACCCATTCTCCAGATATGATCTTACCGCCGCGCCCGCCGTATAGAGTGCTAAACCTCATTTCATCTTTCACAGAGGTGACAAACGACGTTTCGGGTTGCGTAAGCGCTTCGCAAACACAACACAGCAAGTCTGCTTGTCCTAGAACTTCAACTTGTCTGGAATTTAGGTAGGTGGATGTCCAATTGTATAGCCTTGGTGAGAATCCGTAAGGAAGTCAGCATAGCATTGTCTTCAGATGTCTTCATCTTGGGCTCACTGCTAGGCCCTACGAGGGCTGGTGACTTGCGAAGCTCAAATCGAAGGCAGACGGCCATATCGACGAGATTGCTGTCCATTGGTCTCTCAATGCGTTCCAGGCTTCGTATATGTTCGGGTTGAATAAGAACTAGGAATACCATAGATCGTCGGGCATCCTGTATGCTAAGTTTGGTATGCAAACGGTGTGCGAATGCCAGGCAACCCTCCGCCTAGATAGCCTCAACCGCACAGCGGTTGTTTTTCCACTATTTTCTCCTCTCTTCTCTTTTCTTCAGCAGCTATCAATACAAGCCTTTTCCCCATACATTCAAGGTGCTCAAGAAATAGTTGTATAGCAGATAGAGGGCTATACTTCTCGTAGCGAAGCTTGGCTTGAATGTTGCGCACATCCTCAGCAGTTACAGGCATACTTTCCAGCTAGCGCGGGAAAAGAGCTGTTTCTGGTGCAGATGAGGCTGATGATGATGCTGGCTGGTCCCCCTACCGAAATGTGGGATTGATAGCATCCAGCGAGGCGTTGAATAGCGCCTCTGGAAGGCTCTTTACGTTCTTATTAGCATCAGTATTGCATACTTGATCAAGATCAAGGTTGCTATGCAAGAAGGCAGCGATCTTTTCAGAGGTATGCTGAGCAAGCGATAATTGCTCAACCCATTTCTCGACGACGCTAGGGTGCGAATCCCTTCACCAGCGACGGAGGACTGGGTCTGAGATGATGTTTGCTGCTGGCTTGTGGTTGTGACGGTTGAGGAGGATCCCTTTCTTTTCAGCAAAGCCAACTAGCCAATCCCCACTGGCCTGAAGGACGATCTTTGCATGCTACTCGCAGTCTGTTTTGCAAGTATAAGCTGTACGCTGGCTAGAAGAGGGTTGATGCGCTGGCCTCGTGCCTCCATGCCGACAGTGATAATCATACCGAACTATCTGGCCAGATGGATCGTATGCATGGCTTTTCTTCTTGCGCACGAAGCTGCTAGCTGAGAAATAATATCTAGCTGAGCAGCAGAGATCACGAAGCGCACCCTCTGCAGCATCGTGATCTGTGAAGAGGGTGTTGCAAATAGAAAGATCGGTGCAATGTGAGGGTGGCAGGACGCTGTCTGGCGAGGTTTCCGATATTGACGCGTTTGAGCGTGCAGACAACGTTTTGAACCCAAAAAAAAAGGCTGAGAGGTTCTTCTCGATGAAGAGGATATATGAGGTGATTCTCGTGATGCTAGGGATAGAAATGAAGGCTGTGGGGATAGATTCAGTCGATGATGTGCGTGTTTGTTAGACGGGAGTGTCGCGATAGTTACTATCTACGGTGGAGGGCGCCTGAGAGAGCCAGAAGTGTGTGCTGGAGGAGGCGCTAAGCCAAATACGGTTAGAGGGACTATCTTTTTACCAGACGGAGACTATCGATTTAGCGGTTCCGGGAGGAACGGAGGTAGTGCCCTATCCCACATTCAGCCGCCGAGACGAATGACTGACTCTGACTCGGAGAAAGATGTACCTTCCGGATGACTCAGCCGCGTGGCTGGGCTGCCATCGCCGAACGCGACTTCCATCAACCGTGTTCATCTCGGGGGTCACATCCTCCTCAACCGCGTTCAAAGATCATCACCAGCCGCTCGTCTTTGAGTATTTCGCGAAGAAGAGAGTGTCTTGGATCTGTTCATCAGCTCAACCAAGACGGTAGGGAACGTCTGCCAGCTTCCAGCTCTGCATGCTCACCCAGCTGATCACATTATAATATAGAGCGTTGCAACCTGCCAGGACGGGCTGTTTTGAAGCTATCTCGCCGCCCAACGCTCTCTCTCAGCCCCGTCCTCGACCGCTTCAAGCCTATCGCGCTGTCGAATCAATCCCTCCTCTTATACCCACGGCCTCTTCCCTCTAGCTTACGCTGTAGCTCTACATACCTACGATGGCGGATCAATCGCTGTCAGAGATTAGAAGCTATCCGATTAGGAATAATCTTGATGCTTTTCGTGCTTCTTTTGCTTCACTCTGTGGAGACAGAAACATCTCTTGCACTCCAGGCGCGCTTGATCAGCTTGTTAAAGAAGATAAGAGAGATGGATGCCCAGCTGAGAAGGTCCTGTCTAATGTCTATACAGATATCCAGATTCTCGCTCTCGATCTCCTGTTTGCCATTCAGAACCACCCAGCTGTTTGTAATCTACAGCTGACTGCAACCCATAGTACTCTTTGCAGGAGTCTCCTGAATCTTATCTCTGCTGTTAGCTCTAACAACTTCGATCTCGATTGTATCAAATGCCTCCTTAAGACAGCTATTGATGTTCATTCCAACGATGCGCTGATCTGGGACCAAGTCTATGCCGCTATCACTGCTGCATTGGCCCCTGCTGCCCCGAAAACCCCTTCTCGAAGCATCCCGACGCCTGTCAGCGGCATGCCGGTGGTCCGCTCCACGTCGTCGTTTCAGGGCAAGGAGCAGACTAAGAAGATACTGAATCGGGCTCTCTTGTACGAGCTTAACGGGACTATCTTTCGAGGCGTCAAAAGCTTCTTCGAAAAATACTTCGAGGGCCAGTCATGGACTGAGCAGTGCAGGACTATCTACCAGTTCATCAGCGCAAGACATGTTGACGGGCGGTGAGTGGACTTTCCCGATCCCCCAATACAGGAGGATATCTGAGTATAGCTGCTCCAATTCCAGAAGGATTTTCTCGTTGGTGCATCATTTACATATCACAGCGCTCCGAGCATCAGCGCTATAACAGGCGGTAAAGCCTTGCAGCAGCTCGATGTCTTTCTGAAGCCTAGAGGCGTTAATACTCCCAAATACAACTGGAAGGATATACTCGTTCTCGGAGAGCATAAGCAGTTGCACTCCAGCTCTAAGATGCTGCTGCTGTAGCTCTCTTGCTACATGCACAATCTCTTCACCAGCTAGTCTATCCGTTGGTTTGCTTACGGGTTCTTTCTATACAGGATCAAGATGGAGCTCTGGGTTTTTAACAGGTTGGGCTTCTATAGCTCTAGCGAGTTTGATATTCATGAGAAGCTCGAAAAGTTTATACTCTCTCTGGCTGGATATGCGTTCATGAGCAATCAGGAGCTCGGCTTCGATATCTTTACCGAATGTAGAGGCGCTAAGCATACTATTATCATTACAAGCGATGTATGCAGCAAGAAGAGGAAGCTGCAGCTGGATCAGAAGCTGTTTGTTAAGCAGAGAGCTGTAGTCTGCTGGGGCACAATTTGCTTCAGGACGACTGATTACAATAATGTTGTGAAGTTCTCTTGAACCTCGGATAAGCGACCCCCTGAAGCAGATTATCTCAGGCTTGCTTACGAAAAAGGCGTTGAGGGCGTTGCTTAGTTTGTAGGATATCAGAGTATTACAAGCATCGCCGACCTTCGCAGCGGCCTCACCTTTGATCGCTCTTGAACTATCCGTGGCGCCGATACCGAGTTCGATTCATCTCGCTCTCTCACCTCACAATCGCTGCTCCAGCTACAACAGGTCAGCACAAACGAGCCGAACGAACAGTCCACGAGCCCTGGGTCCCTGACACGGGTAATGCAGCTAGCTCTCCAGGAGAGCTGCGAGCCAAGGAAGCGAGCGTCTGTTGACAGCCAGGATACAGCTATTGCTAAGAAGCAGAGAGCTAACAGCCACTCCTCAGGGCTTCGCTATGAGCTGAAGCCTGATGCTCCGGGCAGTCTGTATGATCGGAGCCCTGACCTGTACAACAATCGCCAGTTCGGTTGCCTCGCCATCTCTCCTGCAGAGCGGGATCTCAACAGCTTTACAACTATACCTGAACTGCTTACCGCTCTCCGAGATACTATCAAAGCTCATCAGTCTCTGTACTTAACCAGCAAGATCCTGCATAGAGATATCTCGGAAAACAATATCATTATTACAGATTCTTATCATGCTAACAGATTTACCAGAATGCTGATTAATCTTGATCTAGCTAAGCAGGTAAGCAGCAGCAGATCAGGTGCATGCTATCAGATCAGCACAATGCAGTTCATGGCTATTGAGATTTTGCGGAAAGCTGCACATACCTTCCAGCACGATCTGGAGTTCTTCTTCTGCAGCTGCTGAATATGGGAGAGAGGGTTTCTTTGCAACTCTCAGGCAAGGCCGCCCAGGGATGTTTGGAAGACATGATATATGGATTCTTTCGATGATATTGCACAGAGCAAGCGGGGTTTTATGCATGCTGATGGCTTCGATGAGCTCCTGGCCCAGTTTCCGCCATCTCTTACATGTATCAAGCCACTGTGCAACAGACTTCGCCGGATTCTGTTTCCCGTATCGGCCGAGGGCAAATTATATGTCGGCACGCCGCCAGAACCAAAACCTCTGTACGATGCTGTCATTAAAGAGTTTGACATTGCGATTTCTAACATTGCATCTCTCGGAGGTTAGGTAGGGAGATAGGTGGATCGAGGGGAAACGGCTCGTTGGTGGAGGCTTATTGTTGTGGTGGCCAGTGTGGTGGTCCGTGGGACATTGGGTGCAGTGGGTCGAGGGTTCTCATACATATAAAGAATACTACCCACTTTTCAAATTCTTTAGCTATAGGCAACAATCAAGCATCCTTTTCTCTTCTTTTCGATTTTGAATTCCTTGGATAGATCTAAGACAGGTTTTTCACTCTGTTCTTGTGCTCGTATAGCTTTAGTTTGCTGTTCTCATTTGTACAAGTATGCTTGGATTGCATGAGCTCTTGCTTATTGCTTTGGTAGCTGCTCTTCCCTCTTTCTTGAGAGCGATGGCGCCCTAGTTCTGGTTCAACGCTATTCTATGCTGCTTCTTTAAAGGGATATTTGGATATTATTTGGCTTTTTCTCGAAAGAGAAGCTAATATTGCTATAGCAAATAAAGATAAATAGAGGCTATTTTATCTAGCTTTTAAGAATAGATATTTGAATATTATTTAGCTTTTTTTCGAAAGGAAAGCTAATATTGCTATAGCAAATAAAGGCGAATGGATGCAATTTTATTTAACTTTTAAGAATGGATACTTGGATGTTATTTGGCTTTTCTTTGAAAAAGAGGCTGATATTGCTATTGCAGCTTAGAATAGTATAATGCTACTCTATTTTGCTTTCCAAATTAGACACTTGGACGTTATTTAGCAAAACCCAGCTCCAGTGACAACAAAGGACGTACAGCACTTTCTTTGGCGGCTGGTCAGGGCTATGAAGGTGTGATGGAAGTTCTTCTCGAGAATGAAAGAGCGAACGGAAACTTACGAGATTGGGACGGCTGCATACCCTTAATGTCGGCTACACGGAAATCTCAGGAAGGTGCAATAAGATTGCTCCTCAAATATAATTGTTGTACTTGCAATGGAGATTGAGACGAACTAGTTTCCCAAGCTGTTATGTTTATGACCGCCACAGGAATTGAGGAGTTAATGAAGGCGGTGGAACTTGAGGATCGTGAAGATCTATTTGGTCTCCATATTTTGTTTCGGGAGTTTTAGTTCCAAGTCCTTTATATGGCCCTAAAGCACTGAAATGTTTTAGCGTATTATGATGTTGTATTTCATAACTTTTAGCAATGGCAAATTCACATTCACGCCCACTTCGACGAGACCTCGTATAATCTTCAAATCGGCTGAAGGCCGTGGTCCCTTCCGGACTATCGAGTCGCAGTCCATGCGTTGCATGAATAGTCCTTCGGCAAGAAGCAGTTGAAGGAACCTTTGCGAGTGGTTGTCTCGCTTGGTGTGTCCCCTGATGGACCGCCAGAGTTTGCTCGCACTGCGAGGCAGCGTCGCTTATGGCGAACACCAGCACAGCGGGTCATTCGCGGAACCGTGCTGCGTCTCTGGTCCGTGTTTGAGGGTCTCCGAGACGGTGATAACGACATCGTCGACGCACCACAGCGGGCCATTCGAGCTGTGCGTGGTCATGGATAGCGCGTTCCGGCAAAGCTGCGCAAACTGCATCGTCAATCACCAACGCAACAACTGCACCTACACTCTCCGACGGACACCCGAGCCCGATAACGAATGTGTTCCCAATCAGAACGAGGAGCAACCACGGCGGATAATGAATCGTCGAAGGGCACGAGCTCATCAAGGGTTGCTCAGCGGCCGGCATTTTCAATGCCCGGGGCGTGGGACAGCGATGGATCCCTATGAGTTGACGGCAGAGGAGTAATCAATTCTCGTTATCTGTTTATAATACATATGATCATGAAGACGATTTTGTCATTGGCTTATCATGTGACTACACTTTCAATAGGCGGAGCAAGCTATTTCCGGCCGTAGGAGACCCTTGCCGACGATAAAAATTCAGCGTGAAATGGCCTCTTTGAACAAGAACTGCTATACCTCGAAGCGACTTCACGAGAATGTGCGGCGCGAGCTGGCCCAAGAACACTCGAGTTGAAACCAGCAAGAGCACCGTCACAAATGAACTTAATTGCTCGCATTATTAAATTTCACACGTATATTGGGCCGCATTGCGCAAAATCCTTCGACCTGCTGGATATACAATTTTAGCTTGTATTAAGGGCTTTCGTCAGCACTTCCTCGCCCTTCCATTTCGAACAAGATTGTCCTAGACCTCAAAGCACGCACATCAAATTCTTGAGAAAATCATCACAACTAACGCTACGCGCGTACCTTGCAGTGCAGCGATCAACGGTGTGACGATATGTCCGCCTCGTGGCCACAAAGCAAAGCGATGGATGATGGCCTCTACCCTGCCAGAAGACCCCAGAGCCAACTACCGTACAAGGGGCAGACAAACTCCGGCGACAGGAAAAAGCAAATCTTTGATGTTGGGGATATGTACGGGTGGGGCGGGGAGAGGCCGCGTGGACTTTGTACTCCGCAACGAATAGGTGCGCAGGTGACGCTGGAGGGACTTTTGGGTGCCTCTTCCACAATTACATCGACGAGTCTCTTGCGAACCAACATTCAGAGTCTACAAGCGATCGATCTTACAGTGGTATGCATCTCCGTGTCTTGCTCAATGGCACAGTCAGCATTTCCTGACGGCTAATTCTTCCTTCGGAATCATCGACCGGGCCAGCTGACTCGCGGAAATTGTGTGTGCCGGCGACTGAGCCCACTTGGCTGTTCAGACGAAGGAAAGGGTGTACCCGGATCGTGAGGGCCAATCACGTCGGCGATGCTGAGTAATCACTAGCATTCGGTGCCGATGCGGCGAGCGGGCTGCTATAGCAACGGCTAGCGCTAGCTCGGAAGGCACCTAGGTACGAAAGTATAAATCGCAACATTGAACCTTGTCCAACTCACACAACTTCTTCAACCCCTCGACCAGATCAGATCAAACCATCCTAAACAAATGACGCCAGAACAGGTAGTCTTGTGGCTCTCAACCCTCCCGAACGAAGTCGGCCTCCCTCAGCACGACGGGAAGGAGCGCAAGCGAAAGCGCACGCACGCGCACACGGAACAGCAGGCGGGCTTCCTGTCACCACCGCAGTCCGCGATGGATGCCGATGCTGAGGAACGGCAACACAAGCGTGCACGCACCGAAAGTCGCGACCATGATATCGACCAGACTCCTCGCGCTTCACGACGCCTCGGTCTTGGGGGACCGCAAATGGACGCGCCAGACACAGAGTCCAGTGCAAGTCAATCGGTGACAGATACGTCCGGAAGGGGCAGTTCAAGAGGAGGGCCTGGCAGTAAAACAAGTGGAAGATCGTCGCCTCGCAAGAGGCTCCGCGCCCTGGCCCTGCAAGACGATGGCATTGTTGTGCAAGACTTCACCACACCTAGCATCACAATGCCGGTAGAACTGAAAAGCTTCTTGCACGAGTTTAAGGTTATCAGCAGTGGTGCCGGGGTGATCTCGTCTGGACGTCGTCAAGAGATTGAGAATATGGTAGAGTCGCCGGCGATAGCAGACACGTCTCTGTTTAGCGCCCCGTTACCATTCCATTACACGAGCGACGGCGCAGAGCAAAAGAAACGGGATAGCCTCGGGCCGACACCTTCTGTAGATCAGGTTCTCTGTGTCCTCGATTGGGCACAACAGTGCGCTCTACGGGCAGCGGAGGAGGCGATGTGGAATTCGGCCGTCCATTTCCCGCTGTTGAAGATGGCTGTTCATGGTGGAGGCAGAGTCCCGGCGGGAGGAGACACGACGACAGTTGGCCTGACCCAGTGCACCACGGCCCGCATTATCCAAGAATACCTTCCGGTCAAGGAGACTTCTGCTAAACAGATTGATTTCTGCCTTCATTTAGACGCAGACGCTGATGCGGCAGCCCAGATCTATGCCATTCGGCAGTCTTCACTCTGGCAGTCCATCAACCACACCTTCTTCGAGGGCTTGCTCGATCGTCCTATCGTTCTGAGTTGTGAGTCTAAGAGACTGGACTCGGAAGGCACGATCCAAGCCACGCTCCAGATCGGCTTGTGGCACGCCGCGCAGTGGAAGCATCTCAAGACTTTGGCTGTACAGCAGCAAAGCTCAAGTCAGCTGCCAACTTTTTTGCCTGCTGTTATCATCTCCGGGCATGATTGGTTGTTTGCAGCCACAACTCAAGTCCAAAACAAGACGGTATGTTTTCTTTCAACTGCTTGCGTACATTGAACGCTGATTAACACTGATTCAGATTCTATGGAAGGAGTATCCATTTGGGCACACTCGTGACGCTTGGGGGGTTTACAGAATCATCTGTGGCCTTCAAAGGCTCAAAGCATGGGCGCTTAATGACTACTGGCCGTGGTACCGAGGTCATATACTTGGTTTAGCAACGTGATAATGTTAGTGCCACAGTAATACATCATTCCCGTCTACAAACTTACTCCCGATGTCTAGCAATGTTGCAATAAGACCAAGCTGTGGGATGCGAAGAGCGGCGCCTGCACGGCGGCACTCGAGAACGACGGCCATAGCGGCGGGGTTACATCTGTGGCCTTCTCGCCCGATGGCAGACGCGTGGCCTCGGGGTCGCATGATAAGACCGTCAAGCTGTTATATTCAAACAACCCAACATGTTGTCAGATTGTACAATGCTTTCGTTGATTTTCCATGTTTCAAAATGCTTAGCAATTGAGCATTGAAATATAAAAATTATAAGCATGTTTGAATACCCAATATAAATCAATAACAGTCCTTGTTCACAGTAAGTAATCAGACAAATTGCAGATTAAGCAAAGAAACTGCAACTCAGTGCAAAGAAAGACTTGTCTACTGGCAAGTAAAGTACAAACTCTATCCTAAACCTGGAATCAGCCACACCTCGCAATCTTGAACCCACCAACTGCAGTCAGACTCGATTGTCCCATCTCTGCCCGGGCTCGTTTTTGGATGACTTTTGTGGTCTACCTTATAAGCATTCCAGATATCAGGTGACTCCAAGCTCTTAAGAGAAAGCTTCTTGCCTCGCGTTGCAACAATTCGGATTATGTCACGGTACTTGGGCTTCGTTAGTCAGCTGTGTCGTATTGAATGCGGTCTTGTCAGCGTAACTGCCACATACACTTCCTTTTGCTCTGTCTCAAGGCTGCCCCGCATCTACGGCATTGTTACTAACACTGCAGGTGAGAATCCGTTCGATCACGATAGATGATTGGGCGCGCACAAATTACGCAGCACTACGCAGCAAGGCAGTGCGGGCTGGACCGGTCTGGGATCTCCTGCTCACTCATGTTTGTACCTGGGCTGCCTACTGTCCACTATTTATATACAGATTGACAGATACTGCCAGATCACCTGTCTGAGCTGCTCCAAAATACTCTGCCTTGGCGTCTACAACATAGCATTGTACTAAATCAGGCGTGGCACAGTTGATTTGGTGTAATGAGTCCAGCAAAACAAAAAAGCAAACTGAGATTGCAGAGACTGTATAATACTGCAAAATTGCACGTTTCACCACAGTTTATGAGGCATTCGGCCGGGAGCCACGGGGCATTCTGGTCGTCAAGAACGTGCCACCCCAGCTCTGAATAGTATGTTAACCACCCGGCACTTTTATGAGATTGCTTACAAGGAGAAAAGATTTCCGTTCTGTGCTGGTATGTCTTATTCCTTCTAAGCCAGAGCAGTCCTCTTGTCGAATATGAGAGACGGAGCTTATGTATTACAAGCGAGGAGGCCTGCATTTCTCACCCCTGATATCTGCATGCTTCCGCGAATGTACCAACGTCAAGTCTTGTAAGACGTCTTTTAACGTATCCTCACTGCGCTAGCCTCTAAACTCCGCATACTCATATCCTACTTAAAGACATAACATCCAAGGCACGTCACCCCCAAGAATTTGACCAGAGACATAGAGCTATTGTTATTAATAACTTTACTCGCTCTAAGTCGAAGCACCCCCTTGTGGACACCCCCCCCTTGTGGACACCCCTGGCCAGCCACACCGCCATTTCCACCACCTTTACTTTTATAACCTTTTCTCAACCAATTCTTATCCGAATAACTTCATCTTTTTACAGGGCCTTCATACGACAATAATGAAGTCATATACCGAGTTTGAGGTAGCCCAGGCCGTCGAGGCTGTTAAAAAAGGCTGGTCTCAGAAACGAGCCGCACGCGAATACGGGATCCCGAGGACTACTCTTCTTCATCGCCTGGCAGGAAGAGAATCGCATCAAACAGCTCATCAACATCAGCAAAAGCTCTCCTTTCCTCAGGAAAAGAAGTTGGCTGAATGGATTCTTGTTCAGGAAAGCCTAGGGCTTGCACCAAGCCACTCAGAGCTTAGGCACTTTGCTCAGAGGATCCTGGAGGTCCAGAAAGATACTCGAGGGCTAGGGAAGAGATGGACTGAGGGCTTTTTGAAGAGAAATCCAGAGATAAGGGTACGAAAGCATAAACGGATTGCCTCTGAACGAATCAATGGAGCTACAACAGAGGTAATAAGGCCTTGGTTTCGTCTTTTCGACCTTCCTCAAATCCAAGCTATCAAACCAGCTAATAGATGGAATATGGATGAAGCTGGAATAGCTGAGAGCTAAGGAGAGAACGGATTGGTTCTTGGGGGCTCTTCTTCATGTTCAATTCATCGAAAAGAGCCTGGGTCGAGATCCTGGACTTCGATCCTCGAGTGTATCTCTGCTACAGGCACCTATCTTTCCCCTCTAGTGATCTTCAAGGGCCAAATAGTATAATAGCAGTAGTTTCCTCTCTTCTTGGAGTTATTTGAGGGCTAGCAGTTCACAGCTACGAGCAATGGATGGACTGATAATGCTGTAGCTCTCGAATGGCTGAAAAAGATCTTCATTCCAGGCAGCAAGCCAGCAGACCCCTCAGAGGCTCAACTATTAGTCCTGGATAGCCATAGCAGCCATACAACTGATGAGTTTATGTAGCAATGCTATCAAAACAACATCCTGTTGATTTACTTGCCTCCTCATACCTCTCACGTACTTCAGCCCCTCGATCTAGGGGTCTTCTCGTTTCTCAAGAGAGCGTACAGGCGAAAAGTCAGTTCTATAAGCCAGTAGGAGGATTCAACAGTCTTTGGCAAGCGAATATTCCTCGAGACCTATCATCAGGCTCGCTTGGAAGGCCTTTCGAGCCAGAATATCAAGTCTGGATGGAATGCTTCAGGCTTATAGCCTGTTAGACCTTCCAAGCCACTCCTCAGCCCTCTTCTCCTCGAGAACACCTCTCAGTTCATCCAGACTCAGGCAAATTCAAAGTCAACAGCATCAAAAGCAGCCCAGAATACCCTGAAAGCCTCCTCAGGCCAGGCAGTTATCTTTTCAACGCCTTGCGAAGCTCGAGATATATATCATCAACTATAGCAGAATCGGCACCAGCTTTCATCTTTGCCAGTACAACGTATACTTTTCAGGAAGATATGCAAAGCATTCAGTGAGAGGGATGTCGAACTAGCTAGAGCCCTGGAAAAGAATGAGATACTGAAAAAGCAGGCTGAGGCTAGAAGGCCAACTAAAAGAAGGAAGGTAGATACAAGCTCAAATTCGAGGTTTGCAGATATTGAGGCTATACAGAAGGCTCAAAATGCAGTCAACAGGAATGACGATAGTCTAAATGAAGAGAGCGATGCCGAATTACCTACTGATGAGGAGGACTGTATCGTGGTAGCTGATTAGGAAGAGAAATGTATATAAATCAATGTATATATATATATGCGATGTGGCTGGCCAGGGGTGTCCACAAGGGGGGGGTGTCCACAAGGGGGTGCTTCGACTTAAGTTGCTTAAGTTGTAGAAGAACAAACTGTTTGTACTAAATACAGCTTTGCTAGAATCATTATAAGCAGAGGAAATACTATTCATTAAAGTAAGAAGATCTATTGCAACGAGATAATAAACAACAATTTTTGCAGTGCTGCATAACAAATTAGCAATATTCTGCTTGATAGGAAGAATCCCTATTAGCTTATCATTATATATACCTTCAATCTTGAGATCAGCAGCAGCAGATATATTCCTCATGCTCTATCCAGAGAACTCTCTCCAGCTGCAGCTAGCTAGCTAGCAGCAAATACTCAAGTTGCTATCGAAGCAGAAGCTAGCGAGTTCAACAATCTCTTCATGCCTGCAAGCACAACAGCACAAGTGCTCCAGATGCTAGAAACAGCTCGCTTGCGCTCAAAAGCCTCGAGTATATACAAGCAGATCAATGCTGAGATTGCCAGCTAGAGGGATCTCTACAGGCAGCTCAATATCCATTGGCAATGCTGTAATTCTATGTGCTGTACCAACAACAGAAATAGTACTAAGTTTGCTTTATATTATTGGGTTGAGCTTGATAGTTATTATCTGAAGCTTGATTAATAGGATCTGATGCAATGAGCAGAGAAGATTGCAAACAAGGCTGAAAAGGCTGATATTAATCATATTCCACTTAGTATATATCATTAGATCCTCAGTTGTGCTATCTTCTGTATACAAGCAATCTCAAGCACTGGAGATAGCCTTGCATCCAGCTTAATAGCTGAAGCAGCATCAGCATCAGATATATGAAAAGATCTTCTAAGCAGAAGAGGGAAAGCATGCACTGGAAAAAGTAACAGCTCTATCAGCAGCAATATTATCAATATCAACAGAGAAGGAGATCCTGCAATGCTAGCGTAGTTGCTTCAAGAGCAGCTGAGCAGATCCGAGTTAACAATGCTCTCATTCCTGCTGCTATCAGCTTCTCTAACAATGCTTCCCTCTGTATATACATCTTATCAGATGCCTGAAGCTGAGCCTTCCTCGAGATATACGCCTTCTCAAGCGCTAACTATGCTACTAGAGCAGCTAATTGTAATATTCTCTTCGAGCCCTGTTATGCTAGAAGAGCTTGATATAAATAGCTTTATAAACAAGTTCTTCAAAGTACTTCAACAGCGCAAGGCTCGAGATCTGATAGAAGCTAAGGCTGTTCATTGTATGGAAGAGAAGCTAGCTTGTAAGAATATTGCTCTTAGCAAGCTTAGCAGCGTACTATATAGCTAGTATAATATACATAGCATTGAAATATGCACTGTTAATCTGATGCATTAGTTTCTAAAGAAGTTTCTTATTGAGAAGAGTAGGAATAGCATTAACTTAGCTAATCAACAGCCTAGATGTTATGACCCATTCAACATGCAGGTCACGAAACAGGCCCCGCCGACAAGGAACCAGGTGTCACGACCCAACATCGGACAACCACTAGGAATTACATAAGCAAGGGTTAGGGTTGGATCACGATAACATAGGTGAGCCGCTCACTGGATCACCACGACACAGATCACGGATCACGGTGAGCCAGGTGAGCCACGATGAAGAGCTGGATATATAAGGACACATTCATTCCCATTAGATAGATCTCGTATATAGCTCTTCAGTTGTCAATCTAAGTATTCAGTTTCATACACTGAGTAGCCCCAAAGGCAGTGAATACTTGCATCGCTTATTAGGACTTGTACGGTTCCGTATTCAAGGACTTGACACTTTGATACCGCTCTTGTTAGCATAAATCCCTTTGTGTACTTAGGAATCTTCGGATTGCTGCAGTGCTTATTACATTTTGATAACTCTTGTTCAAGAACGGTTCAGTGTTACCCCTTGAGCAATACGGAATACGATGGCTCCTCCAGGAACCCCTTCGTCCTCGCGCGCTCCCACTCAGGAAGAACTGGTCAACCAGGTGTATCAGCTTACTCAGCG